ATGAAAGATTTGGGTCTTTATCGGAGACGGGCCCCGCGGGGGCGGAAGGATGGGTTCATATTGTCGCCTGTTGGACTCGGAAGCTTAACCAGAACTTAGCTACTTATTCGAGGAGCTGTGACGCGAGACCCTGATTGCTATTGTTAAAGTACCGAGGCTTGCTATCTTTCATCTGTCATCGGAACGTTTATTGATCCAACGGAGTGCCAATCATTCAGACTCCCTTATTCAGCATCTTTGTACAAAATTGACCTTCAACGTCCACTGTGGACAGCATCAACAACAACACAAACTACTCAGACATCACTCATCAACATGGCACCACAAGTAGAAGAACCCAATACCTTTGATGTTATCATCATCGGCGCTGGTATCTCTGGCATCAACGCCGCCTACCGTCTCCAAACAGAAGGTCCTTCTGACTTGACCTACGCCATCCTCGAAGGCCGCGACTCCATCGGCGGCACCTGGGATCTCTTCAAGTATCCTGGCATTCGATCCGACTCTGATATCTTCACCTTTGGCTTCCCATGGAGTCCCTGGAAGCATGACCAGTCGCTCGCACCGGGTGACAAGATCAAGGACTACATGATCGAGTCGGCACGATCGACTGGTATTGACCACCATATTTGCTACAAACACTCTGTTACAGAAGCCAACTGGTCTTCTAAGGAGAGGCGATGGAAGCTTCAGGTTACGCGACCTGGTGATGAGAAGCCAGTTACCTTCCGGGGTCGATTTCTACTCCTCGGCACTGGCTATTATGATTACCAGACCCCTCTGCAGACTGTGATTCCTGGAATTGAGAAGTTCCAAGGCAAGGTCATCCACCCTCAATTCTGGCCCGAGGACTACGATTACACCAACAAGGAGGTCGTCATCATTGGCAGTGGAGCTACCGCCGTTACAATTCTTCCATCCATGTCCGACAAAGCTAAGCGCGTTACCATGCTGCAGAGAAGTCCAGGCTACATCTTCCCTCTCCCATCAAGCAGCCTTTTCACACGTCTTCTCTTGACTCTTTTCCCCGCCAGCATCGCCCTGTTCCTCAACAGACTCCTGTGGCTGGTCCGAAGCTATCTTACCAACGTGTTCTGCAAGTCTTGCCCAGGTCTGGCCAAGAAGCTCATCAAGTATGTCACCATTAAGAATCTTCCTCCTGATGTCAGTTGGGATCCTCACTTCAAGCCTCGATACAACCCCTGGGAGCAACGATTCTGCGCCAGTCAGGATGGTGATTTCTTCGCGGCTATTCGCTCGGGTAAAGCAAATGTTGTGACGGATAAGATCAAGTCTATCACGGAGAAGAGCATTGAGCTTGAGTCTGGAGCTTCATTACATCCCGATCTTATCGTCACAGCAACTGGCCTGAAGGTTCGTTTCGGTGGAGGTATCAAGTTCAGCATTGACGACGTCCCCTTCAACGTCGCCGACAAGTTCGCATGGAAGACCGTGATGCTCCAGGATGTGCCAAACCTGCTTTTCATGTTCGGATATGAGAATGCGTCGTGGACACTTGGTGCTGATGTCAGCGCGAGACTGTTTGTGCGCATTCTGAACAAGATGACACAGAGCAAGACCAGCGTCGTGGTCCCACGTCTGTCTTCATCAAGTGGTATGCCAGTGAAGCCAATGATGAGCCTATCTTCGACCTATCTCAAAACTGCTAGCTCTGTGTTCCCCAAAGGCGGCACGGGTTTGTGGAGTCCCAAATCGAATTACTTTGCGGATATGGCTGGAGCGAGATGGGGAGATATCTCTACGGGGTTGGAGTATAAGTGATGATAGTCTTATGTATCAAGAATAGCCTTTCGTTTCTCGTTAGTAAATACCAACTTGTTTCCGTCACTCATGTAGCAGAACCACCGTGATTAACTCATGCTACGGTAGTAACAGATCTAATGTTACCGTTCCACGCCTGTAAGCAATTAGAAGGGGTCCTGGCCAGTCGTCTTACACGGTTCATGCTTATAGCTTTGTCGTGGAGCCAGTGTGAACTGAAACAAGTCTGAGTCAGCGAAAATTCAATCGTGGGCACCTGAAGCGGAGACAGAAGAGTATGTAAGCAGTTCAACATCAGACCATACACTATTCCACTGAGCTATCCAACCGCAGCCGTATAGAATAATTGCAGCTGTTTTTTTCAATTTATTCTGATCAAATTTTTGCAAACACAGTTGTAATTAGTTTCAAGTCCAAGCTATGAAAAACGAAGAACATCATCTAAAAACCCTAAGAAACCGACAAGCTCCTCGAGTCCAGTGACTTCACATCAACAAGGTAGTCTGACCACGAGCACTCAACTTCGTCCCAAGAACGAGTGATATTAGGCAAGATCGCCTTTCATGGATGCCCTCCTTTGCGACACCCAATGCATTCCAAGTTGCGCGCATAGAAAGATCCAGCTCTCGGCTTCCATCCATAGGGGCGCCTAGAGTTCAGCAAGCATGCCACCACGTGGATGTCAGATTTCTAACGGTTGTCGGTGATTAGCCGGATGAGCTGATCCAATTCTGCCAAATCGGTTCGTAAATGGCATCCTCCGCATCCTTCGTTGGAGTTGGATGCAACCTAACCCCATCTCTGAGCAGGCTCGGCAAGAGGCATGGCAATTCGTTGAGAATTATGCGAATGGGCAACCTAGTAGAATGACTTGCATTGGCCAACTCTACGACTATACACTGGGAGAGCTAACCAAGTAAGCTTGACTTTCCTCGATGTGAGGTGCTCGTCTGGATAGGCGTGGATTTTCAGGGAGACAGCCGTCATCAACATATCGACTCTACCGTCTGCAACGATCTGTTCGATGGCTATCATTGTATTCTGGTACGTGTCTAGTTTGTGCCTAGTATAGGCAAATTGAATGATTCGGAATATCGGGTGTCTTTGCCATGCTCGCTAATCGGATCATGCTATAATATTGCCAATATGAATCAAATCCAGCAAAGCTTCAAACAATAGAGGCAGACGTTCGATGATCGGCTAAATTCACTATCCATTCCCCGCAGACCTCTGAACAACAATCCCAATGTTACAGCCCCCAGCCTGGCATCTAGTCCCAGAAAGGGACGTAATATCAGCATGCATTAAGAAACCCTCCCCAATTCGTAGTAGGTCTCGATCTCAAAATAATATTATCCGCTGCACAATTAAACAACGACCCATAATTGCGGGGGGCACCATTGCAGCTTTCTGTTTAGGGTGTTGACGACAAACTTGGCGATGCTCCGACATTTCCTCAATGGGCCTCATTCGGAGCTTGGTTCTCCGCACATAAGGCTCTATAACCCCAGGCATGCCAATTTCCCGGCAAAACACGATGGAGTCGATCGGATTGGTCAGGATTCACGATTCTGTAGAGCCGGGGGCGAATATGCCATGCAGGATACTATATCATCGATATATATAAGGACTGGAGTAACCCCTTGACGTTACGTTCGATACAATCAGACAGTATCTTCTGCTTCGAAGCATCAGCTCACTGAGATTAGTCAAAATGCATACCCTTTCGGTTCTCCTCGCTCTCGCTCCCGTGTCCGCCCTGGCCCAGGCTCCCATCTGGGGACAGTGTACGTTACAGTAGCTCCAATGAGTCGATGCTCGATAGTTAAAATTTCTCACAGGTGGTGGCAATGGTTGGACCGGTGCAACGACTTGCCAAAGTGGTCTCAAGTGTGAAAAGATCAACGACTGGTACTATCAGTGTATTCCCGGATCTGGAGGATCTGAACCGCAGCCCTCTTCAACCTCCCAGGGTGGTGGCACTCCTCAGCCTACCGGTGGTAGTGGCGGCACTGGTCTCGACGCCAAGTTCAAGGCCAAGGGGAAGCAGTACTTTGGTACTGAGATCGACCACTACCACCTGAGCAACACTGCCCTCATCAACATTGTCAAGGCCCAGTTTGGCCAAGTGACATGCGAGAACAGCATGAAGTGGGATGCCATTGAGCGTAAGGTTCCATCTATCGAAGAGAAGTAATGCCGGTCTGACGATGAATAGCTTCGCGCAACTCCTTTAGCTTCGGCAACGCTGACAAGGTCGTCGACTTCGCCACTCAGAACGGCAAGCTCATCCGTGGCCACACTCTCCTCTGGCACTCCCAGCTGCCTCAGTGGGTTCAGAATATCAACGACCGCTCCACCCTCACCTCAGTCATTCAGAACCACGTTACGACCATGGTCACCCGCTACAAGGGCAAGATCCTCCAGTGGGATGTCGTCAACGAGATCTTCGCTGAGGACGGCAACCTCCGCGACAGTGTCTTCAGCCGAGTTCTCGGTGAGGACTTTGTTGGCATTGCTTTCCGCGCTGCCCGCGCCGCTGATCCCGCCGCCAAGCTCTACATCAACGACTATAACCTCGACAATGCTAACTACGCTAAGCTGACCAACGGCATGGTCGCTCACGTCAACAAGTGGATTGCTGCTGGTATTCCCATCGATGGCATTGGTTCTCAGGGTCATCTTGCTGCTCCCAGTGGCTGGAACCCAGCTTCTGGCGTCCCCAATGCTCTCAAAGCCCTTGCTGCCTCGAACGCCAAGGAGATTGCTATCACTGAGCTTGATATTGCCGGTGCCAGTGCTAACGACTACCTTACTGTCATGAACGCTTGCCTTGCCGTACCCAAGTGTGTCGGCATCACCGTCTGGGGTGTCTCTGACAAGGACTCGTGGCGACCTGGCGACAACCCTCTCCTGTACGACAGCAACTACCAGCCTAAGGCTGCTTTCAATGCCTTGATCAACGCCCTGTAAGCTGTTGTGAAAGCATATTGTGGGTTATACTGCGAAACGCCCTAGTCGGGTGGAGCGTGGTGGTGGAGGAGCGTTTCTCAAGGAAATAATTCAACTGTACATATCTATTTCTCTCGTACATATTTAGCAGAATGGAAGTCACTGCCTACCTCCTCACTATCTCAATGCTCCATCCAAGTTTCTCACCTATCGATGCTCCTACTTCTTCCTTCGATACCATGATCAATAAACATCAAGATCTCACCTCAGCTTCGAGCTGCCGCGTTCCAAAACCCAGCTACATTAAAGCCCCAGACCTCTTCTCTCGAAACATTGGTACCAAGAGCTGGTGGAGGGGAGATATGGTTATGACCCTCCATAACCTGAACTTCAAGCTCTACACCCGAGGTTCCCTTACTCGATCGCCATAGCTCAATAAACTCTTTGTTGCTGCCCAGAATTTCATCTTCGGGGTCAAGGGATCCATACAGTAGAAGGAACTGGACCCCAGGTGCAACATCTGACACACCATGGTTCTTATTACAGGCCTCAATAAGCCCGACGGGACAATCCTGCTCGATCGTTTCTCCATAATAGGTTGCAAGAACAGCAGCCCGATAAGGGCGAGGGTTGCGGAACGATGCCGGCATCGAGCAAAAGACAGCAGCCTTAAGCCTGAAGGGGCAAGCGTCGCTATTACTTGTGATCTTGCCGCGAAGCTCAGCAAACGAACGGTGCAGCAAGAATGTGCAAAGGTGAACAGCACCGGCAGAGTTGCCCATCATGAACAACGATCTTGGCTGTGAGCCTCCAATCTTGTCATTGTTTTCTATAAGCCACTTCACAGCCATCTCGATATCTTGTCCGCCCGAGGGAAATCGTGCCTCTGGCACAAGGCGATAGTCCGGAATGACAGTGACGAATCCACACTTCTCGGCAAAGAAGTGTCCGAGGTTTTGATAGAGTAGATGTTCTTCAGAGGCTCTGTCTCCTTGAGTGAAGCCGCCTCCATACGTAAAAATGAAGACAGGGCACCCAGCCCCGGTGGGATTGTTAGCGGGATAATAGATATCCAGGTTATTGCGAGGGTTTGGGCCATAAGAGAATTTTTTTCTCAAAGTTGATTTAATGGCAGTTGAGTTTTTGTTGAGAAGCGGAAGGTAAATCTTCAGGGTCGGCTCAATGCTTTCAGCAATTGAGCTGGGAAGTGAATAGAGTTGGTCCATTTCGGAAGACGGTTGATCAGCTTGTATTGTTATGGGAAGAAACTGCGACTGATGTAGTTCTATTTGACTTTCTTTCTTAGTTTTCGCAATCGGGACTCTCATCTTCATATATCCATACTTCAAATATATCATGATGCCCTTACCCGACATCCGACGAAGTAAGCGGCAGCTATGAGCACCAAACGCCGACCGTTAAGCCTTGAAACAGTGACTATTGCCAAATCCGGTTCCCGAGACTGACTACCGTTGAGGAGGAGGCGTTCGTGACCCGCAACAACGGGCCATAAGTCCCGGAGCACGGTCCTAAAATGACATTCTTGGCCAACTATTGGTTTCGCTCGGCGCGCACAAAATAGAAAGACCGATATGAAGACCGAGCCGAGCGAGACGGTCTCGAAACCTCCGTTTAATGGCGATGCTGTTGGACGTGTTTCTAAGAGAGCTCATCGATCATGAGACTGTAGATGTCAGTTTTGTCGTATTTCGCTCCTCCAGCAAGCGCCGAGACCAATGATGAAAGTTAATCTCGGCATATATACCCAAGTAAACCCTGTATCCGACTACCCTAACCGTTAAAATGCATTGTCATACGTTTCGTATGCTTGATTTCCCCAGATTCACGTACGGTGGGAGTGATGATATACGATAAATACTCGACGGTCCAGCCGATGATGAATGAGCTGATTCAAAGGTTCTGAATGGTCCAAAATCACCGGAAAAACCTATATCTTGTATTTTACTTTCATTCAATACATAACCATGGAGCGCATCGTATTCCCACCATCGGTAGCTGGAAAATCATCTGCTGCCAAAGATCCCTGTATCTTCGAATCATTCGCCGGAGACAAAGTCTACGTCTCGGGCACTCCTTCAGTCGCTCGTTTCCTTCTGACCGGGGAAGAAACAGCCGGGAAGTTCACCATTCTGACCAGTGGTGGTCTAGCCTTTCCCTCTCCTATTCCAACTCACTATCATAAACATACCCACCATGACTTTCTCTGCATCAAAGGCCAGCTTAAGGTCTGGCTCAATGACCAATGCAAAGTCCTCAGCCCTGGAGACTATGCCAGTGTTGCTCCAGTAAGTCGTGAATGTCGTACTTCCATTCATTCATGCTGATGATTCACAGGGCGCTATCCATGCATACCAGTTCATTGGCGACCATACTGAGATCTTCGGTATAATTACACCTGCTGGATTTGAGCACATGTTTCGAGGTCTGGGTGAGTCATACACTGGTCCGATGTGGCCGGACGCCGACATTGAAAGCGCCGGTCAAAAGCTCAACTCTGGCGTGGCAAATGTCATGACCGAGTTTGACGTGATTCCTGTGCCGAACCACAAGCTCGTTGAGCCGCAGCCTTGGAGCGGTTCAGAAAACCAGTTGCCTGGATCTCAAAAGCCATACTTCCTGCGCAACCGCACAGGACCAAGTGCTGTTCTCGGCGGAACGGTCGTTCGTCCATATGTCACCGGAGCCGAATCTGGAAACAGATGCAGCCTGGCTACGCTCGAAGGGTCTAACCAGTTTGAAACTCAGGTTCTGTCTAGTGGAATTCGGTTCCCAGGCGTCGACCACTGCTTTTATGTGTCGGATGGATATCTTGAAGTTACGATAAATGACACTGACTCTTCACGTATTGGCCCCGATGAAGTGGCTTGGCTGCCTGCTGGAACTCACTTCAATATCAAGCCTGTCAGCTCCTATTTTAAAGTTTTCATGTATTCGCAGCCTGGTGGACTCGGCGATTTAGTTTATGCGGCTGGCAAGGATAAGCCGTATACTGGGTTGAACTGCATGATTCCTGATTCACCAAGCCCTTTTGACAGGGAGAAGCTCTCTCAGTATAAATCTAAGTTCAAGTTTGACTTGATGTAAGTAGCTACGGAATACACTTCTATTTTACTAACGCTTCGACTTAAAATGAACTTTCAGTATGTGCAAAAAGACTCAGAGAGCATGATATAAAACACAGTGTCAAAGAGCTCTATCGGCCTATTGTAAGATATCCTAAGCTTAGTGAAGTATTTCTCCAAGTTATCAGATGCTTTATTAAAGTGATCATGCTGTCTACTGGGGTTTCTAGGTCTATGTGAATACTGTCATGTAGAGTCAGGGTCATGGATCTTTCAACATACCCTGCAGTTCGTCATTTTCATCATGGGAAACGGGTTCACAGGATATCTTGTCTAATAAATCACAACTCCTTGCTCATAAATCTTCAGACATACAATTACAGTACCTTGCAAGATCCTTCAACCCAATGCAACGCAACGCAATGCAACGGTTGGCGGTGAGTGTCGTTAACAATAAGCTCACATCAAGAGAATAATACACCATTTAGATTATACACTACAGCAATCTTTCCAGTATGAAAAATAATCAACACAGCCTCAGGCATGCGCTGCCGCCGTGGAACTCTCTAACAAATGACGTGAAGCAAGTGAAACCGAGTACCGCATGGCGACGGATTGCAGACTTCAGGGTAAGCCATTCTCAATGTGGCCAGCGCTCTCAAGCCTCACGACAGCCACGACGATAAGATAACGGAAATCGACCGAAGAGGGTTGATAAAAAAATTACCCAAATTGGCACTAATAAAAAAGTGAAAGTGGTCGATGTCGGTCAGAACTTTAACGAAGCGATAGTTTGCTTGACTCGCGGACTCTCAGACATGTCGATTCCAAATCTAGTCTGTGCGATGTGCATGCATGCGTGGGGTGAATAGATGCGATAGCTCAACTGTCAAGAAGCAGCCACATTCACGCCAGTTAGGAACTCAGTTTACCAATCCACGCATCCAAACTACGATCCCCTCAGCTAAACTCGATCGAGATGCTCAATTTCCCAGCTTGATCCTCCAATCTGCCCCAAATAGCGCATCTTCTAACCCCGCAATTCGGTAAAGCTTGCGTGTGACGTCTTTTCGCTCCCGTCTGGGGCTTCCTCGTGCGGGGTGCATTAGCCCCAGATGCCATGGCTTGCGAGCATCGCATTGCCGAAGGACGAGATGGATGGCACAATCTAAGAATGTCATAGCGCTCTTTTGCTCGTTTCCTAATTCAGGACCACCTTCCGACGTGTCCCAAATTGATCATCGCAGCTCTAGTTTAGTTCCACTCCATGCCGAGGGAGTCCATCTTCACATTGCTGATCTCAACCACGCCGTGATTCGTTTCATGTTTGCTTGTTTCATCGCAAGACAGATAACTAGACGACTTCTTGGAAACTGAAGTTTTGGAAAGATCATCACATCGTAAGTTCTTCATGAACGAGCTCTTTGCTTGCTTTCTAAATCACTCATTCTCATCAGTCAGCACACTCGATATCACAATGTCTTCTTCATCTGAGCCAGGCACTAGGGGCAACCTCACCCTTGAGCAAAAGAAGAGCCTCCAAGAGGCTTGGGTCCATATTCTGCGATTATGCGGAAATGAGAATATCGCCCACGATGCCCCAGACAACACAGACGAATATCTCCAACACCTCAAGAACAAGGATTCTGATCATTTCTCACGGAATCTCTGGGAGTCGATCATGGCCGATCATCCCGATACCACGCTTCTTCGATTTCTTCGAGCTCGCGACTGGGATGTTAACAAGGCTGTTGACATGTTTGTCTCTGCTCTCAACTGGCGCGACGAGCGACAGATTCAGAAGACTATTGTCGGAGGCGGCGAAGCAGTCGGTCTGAAGAAGTCCCTCACTACCGATGAAGAGTCATTCATGGCGCAGTATCGCTCAGGCAAGAGCTACGTCAGAGGAACCGACAAGGACAACTATCCCATCTATGTCATCAGAGTCCGCCTTCACGATCCTCATAAACAATCTGCTGAGTCCATGGAAGAATACGTCTTGCACAATATCGAGACGTTGAGGGTGATGGCAAGAGAGCCGCAAGACAAGGTCTGCTTGATCTTTGATCTCACAGGTTTTGGTCTTCGCAACATGGACTTTCATGTTGTGAAGTTCCTCGTCGATATTCTTGAGAAGCGCTACCCCGAAACCCTCTCGGTAGTGCTTGTCCACAATGCGCCATTCGTATTTTGGGGTATGTTTGACACTCTGCCACCTCCAACTCTATTTACATGCTAATCCTTTCCAGGTGTCTGGACCGTCATCAAGCACTGGCTTGACCCTGTCGTCGCATCAAAGGTCCACTTCACCAGCGGTACCAAGGGCCTTCTCAAGTTCATCGCCAAAGAGAACTTGCAGAAGTCTTATGGTGGTGAAGATCCTTGGGAGTACAAATATGTAGAGCCTGTTCCATCTGAGAACGAGAGGATGCAGTCTGAGGAGAAGAAGATAAAGATACAGATTGAGCGACAGGAATTGATTGACTCGTTTAATCGATCGACTGTTGATTGGATTGGCACAAATCCTGATACAGACGCTGGAAAGGAAGCGCATGAGAGGCGAGATGAGTTGATTCAATTGTTACAGATGAACTACTGGAAGTTGGATCCATACGTTAGATCTGGTACTTACTACCATCGAGCTGGAGTGGTCAATAGGGTTGGAGGTGTTGATTTCAAGGCAGCGCGATAATTAGTTTAGAGTGTTATTCGTATTCAATTCCGTAGTAAGCTTGTTTTTTCCGCACTGAACTTCAATTGACCTCAATTCTTGCCAAGATGTGTTTCCTCATCTAGACCTGTCAGTGCAATACCTTACTTGAAACGTTACGGCCCGACACTATCATCTGAACCCTCGTCCCCAGTGTCCGAGTCGATGCCGTAAATATCCAAGAATTCCTAGCGGCCTCTACCACCAAAGTCGTCCTTGGTTTTATTGTAACCAATCGGCCCCTGTACGCTCACGTCCTAGCGGTGCTGTTTAGCGTCTTCGTTGTCGCAGTGCGCTTTGACCCGTGGCGCTCATCACCAACGGACCCAGCTGCGCTGTCGCCATCACCCCCATGGTGAACCCCAGAAGCTAGACCAGGAACCTTGTCCACGAGACCGTGCAAAAGGGCTGATAATGATGTAAAGCCTCGTGCCCAAAGCGCAATAGTTTGCGAGATGCAGGGGTGCTCACCACCTCTTGGCCAGAACAGCAGGGATCGTCACAGCTACCCCTCCAGCACCAATTTCCCTGCCGCGGTATCATCCATGATTTCTGGGGTACGGCTGTGGAGTGCCTGCAACGTTCCCGAAAAGCAAATCCGTGTGTGATGACTGGCTGAGATAAAGAGCCTCCTTTAAACGAACCCTTGGCGGCCTGATTATCTCTTCTCCCCCCCTTCTCCTCGCTACAAGTCAAGCTGTGATAGTGAGACAGTTCAGTCGGTTTCCTTATCTCATCTTCTCTTTCAATTGTCACATTATGAGGTTCTCAACGGTGCTTCTCTCGGCTCTTGCGCCATTTAGTCTTGCGGCCCCTGAGCCAAAGACTGTTTCCGCACCGGAGCTCTCGGGCCAATTGGTCGAGCTTTTGGAGAAGCATAACCTCGCGCTTGTACCGCGATCAGAACTCACAGATGCGTTAAAGGAATTGAATACACTTCTCAAGAGTGATAGATTTCCTCGCGCACCTGTTCTGATAAGGCGACAAAATACTACCTCTGGTTCTGGCTCAAAATCGGGAGGCTCTAGCTCAGAATCTGGATCAGATGACGACTCAGATTCAGATAGCGGTGGTTCAAGTCGCGTTGTCTCAATTCCTGGGCTTGATGGTCTTGGTGACCTTGGTGATGGCCTCAAGGGATTGACAGACGCTCTCGGCGAGTTGGGAGACCTTCTCAAAGCTCTCAAGGGTCTCCTATCAGCCGAGTTCCTTGACGCATTCCATGATGCTATGGTCTATCTCGCAGCAACATTGAAGCCTCCCGCGCCCAACCAAATCAGAAGTCTCCTTGATAAAGCAGGTCCTTTGCTGGATCTTGTTGGCGAACTCAACCTCAAGGATCTTGTCGACCAGCTCAAGGATGTCGATATCGCTGGTATCGTATCCAAGGTTCTCAAGCTTCTCACCGACGATAACCTCAAGAACATCAACGGTCTTCTCACCAATGGCGCAGGCCTCTTGACACCAGACTTCGTCAAGCAGACCAAGGGCCTTATTGGTGACGTCTCGCCTCTTCTCGACGAGCTTGCTCCTCTTCTCAAGAAGCTCACCGGCCTTGATCTCGAGGGCATTCTATCAGCTTTGGACCCACTTCTCAAGAAGGAGTCTATCCAGGGCATTGTCACCTTGCTCAAGAACGCCGGCGATCTTCTCACCGCCAAGACCGTTGATGAGATCCAGGGTCTTCTCGGTGAAGTCTCGCCCATCATCAAGGATATCGCCCCACTTCTCGAGCAACTCACCAAGCTCAACCTTGAAGAAGTCCTCAAAGCGCTGCAGCCGCTCCTCAAGGATGATTCTATCAAGGGTATCTTGAGCTTGCTGAAGAACGCCGAGACTCTCTTGACACCCAAGTTTGTGGACCAGACGCAAGACCTCATCGGTGCCGCGTCTCCACTGATCGACAAGTTGAACGATGTCGATCTCAAGGGTGTTCTTGATGCCTTGAGCCCCATCCTCAAGAAGGAGGCCATCCAAGGACTTGTTGGACTGCTTAACAACGCAGAAGACTTGTTGACCAAGGATACCGTCAAGAGCATCAAGACTCTTCTGACCGAGGCGTCTCCCTTAATTGAGAAGCTCTCCGACATTGACCTCAAGGGGGTTCTGGACGCGTTGAGCCCCATCCTGAAGAAGGAGGCTATTCAGGGTCTCGTCGGCCTCTTGAACAACGCCGAGGACCTTCTGTCTAAGGATACTGTCAAGAGTATCAAGACCCTACTATCACAAGCATCGCCATTGATCGACAAGCTCTCAGATATCGATCTCAAGGGCGTCCTTGATGCCCTCAGCCCGATCCTCAAGAAGGAGGCTATTCAGGGCTTGGTTGGACTATTGAACAACGCCGAGGATCTACTTTCCAAGGAGACCGTCAAGAGTATCAAGACCTTGTTGTCCAGCGCCTCACCTCTCATCGATAAGTTGTCTGATCTCGACTTGAAGGGCATTCTCGATGCACTTGGCCCCATTCTCAAGAAGGATGCCATCGAAGGTCTCGTTGGTCTTTTGAACAACGCCGAAGACCTGCTCGACAAGGAGACTGTGAAGAACATCAAGTCTCTGCTTACCAGCGCTGGTCCTCTCATCAACGAATTGAAGAAGATTGATCTCGCTGGCGTTCTCAATGCACTGGCACCTATCCTCACCAAGGACTCCATCAAGGGTATCGTTGGATTGTTGGGTAACGCCGAGAGTCTCTTGACCAAGGATTTCGTCTCCGACACCAAGAAGCTCATCTCCAACGCCAGCCCGCTCTTGACCAGCCTCGGCAAGATTGATCTCAAGGGTCTTCTCGATGCGCTTGCACCACTGCTTACCAAGGATTCGATCAAGGGTATTGTCGGTCTTTTGGGTAACGCCGAGAACCTGCTCACCAAGGACTTTGTTTCTCAGACCAAGTCTTTGATCTCCAAGGCTTCGCCTCTTCTGGACAGCTTGGATGATGCTGATCTCAAGGGTCTGCTTGATCAAGTCGGTCCTCTTCTCAAGGAGGTCGGCAAGCTCAAGCTCCAGGATATCATCAGTGCCGTGGCACCTCTCCTCACCAAGGATTCCATCAATGGCATCGTTGGACTCCTCGACAATGCCGAGAACCTCCTTACCAAGCAGTTTGTCTCTCAGACCAAATCGCTCATCGGAAAGGCCTCTCCTCTTCTCGACAGTCTTGACAAGGCGGATCTTGCAGGCTTACTCGACCAGGTTGGTCCTCTGCTCAAGGAAGTTGGCAAGCTCAAGCTTCAGGACATCATGAGTGCAGTCCAGCCACTGCTCACGAAGGACTCCATCAATGGCATCGTTGGTCTGCTTGATAACGCCGAGAACCTTCTTACCAAGGACTTCGTTTCCCAGACCAAGTCTCTCATCTCGAAGGCTGGACCATTGATCACTAGCGTGTCCAAGCTCAACCTTGAGGACCTGCTTGACCAAGTTGAACCGCTGCTGAAGATGCTCGGCAAGCTTGATCTCGAGGGCATTCTCGGCGCTCTTGCGCCTCTTCTCACCAAGGACTCAATCAAGGGCATCGTGCGCCTCGTTGATAACGCTGAGAATCTGCTGACATCGAAATTCGTCAACGAGACTCAGACGCTTATCTCTGGCGCTGTTCCCCTGATCTCCTCGCTAGAGGACGCTGATCTGCCCGAATTGCTGGACCAGGTAGGCCCTCTGCTGAAGGAGATTGGCAAGATCGATCTCGTCAAGCTCGTCAAGAAGCTCTCGCCTCTTCTGGATGAGATCAGCGACTTGGACATCAAGGGTCTTTTCGACGCACTTGCGCCGCTACTCTCACCCAAGGGAGTCAAGGGCATCATGGATCTTCTTGGCAACGCTGAGGATCTTCTCACGCCCAAGTTTGTCAATCAGACTCAAACGCTTATTGGTGAAGCTGTACCGCTCGTGGAAGCACTTGGTGATATCGATCTCAAGAAGCTCATCAAACAGCTCCAGCCTCTTCTTGAGGCCCTTGGCGAGATTGACTTGGGTGATCTCATCAAGAAGGTCAAGCCACTTCTCAATGCTCTCATGAAGATCGATCTCGTCAAGCTGGTTAACAAGCTTCTGCCGCTACTTGATACTCTAGATGACATTGACCTTGACGGCTTGCTCAAGGCGATCGAGCCTCTTCTTACGCCAAAGAGTATCAAGGGCATTGTCGGTCTCGTTGACAACGCGGAGGATCTCCTCACAGCCAAGTTTGTCAACCAGACACAGACCCTCATTTCGGGCGCAGTACCATTGATTGAGGTCTTGAACAAGCTCGACCTTGAGGAGCTCTTTGAGATTATTGAGCCTTTGCTCAAGGAGCTGGACGGTCTTGATCTCACTGGTCTTGTCGACGCTGCCAAACCTCTGCTCAAAGCCCTCAAGAAGATTGACGTTCAGGGTATTGTAGATGCAGTGGTGCCATTCCTTAACCCCAAGACCATTAAGGGTCTTCTCGGCTTGGTTGGAAATGCTGAGGATCTACTTACCAAGAACTTCGTGAACCAAGTATCGGAACTCATTGGAGACGCGACACCGGTAAGTCAAACCTCACGATTCTACCACGAAACTATGCTAACTTCTGTTTCTAGCTTGTTGCGACGGTAGGAGACTTGGTACATGCGGTACTCAAGGAGCTAGTGGGACGGTCTTAATGTGATGATTGGGTTATGAACGTGGTTACGTGATGGGATGTTTTAATCATGTATTAATGAGTTTGGATATTTGACGTATACGATACCCTATGAATGCGCCTCTACGGTGCCATAATGAAACTGTCTTTATCCGTATCTAAGAGCGCTGTCAATTGAATATGCTTGCAAGATCTCACTATAGTCGTCCGGGTATAAGACAGACGGATGATTTGCGCATGGCAGAGTAGTACCCGTTGGCATACGCCGCACTGCAACATCAATTCATCTTCCCTGTTTAGATCTCTTTCCTTTGGAGTATTCGCGATACCAGCGCCATTGAGCGAAAATAGCACGCGCCTTTCCGATGAGGTCGTGACATGCATTCGCATACATGACTGTTCTGGGCACGCCTCTATCAGCGCAACAAGGTGCCATTTTGTCTCGGTATGTCTCGGTGAGACTCCGCTACTTGCTTTGTCGCGGTAGACAAGGCCTACAGAATAACATGGGGGGCGTGGTCTGTCTGTAACCTGACTAGACGTGGGAGCCTGGCTCGCCGGTAACTTACTCGCAACCCTGTCCAAAACCGTTTCCTTCAGGCCTTCAATTCAAGCCCCCCGAGCTAAGTTCCCCAGAATCTTAGCACATGCAAAGCATCCCTCTCGGCTTTCGGTTGAGGACTTAAAGCTATGGGAGCTATCGCAAACTAGACTCATTGGGGATTTGACAAACCTGTTCGATGCACACACTTTACTCTGCAGAGAAAGTGAGGGGAAGTGATCATGTGCCGGATCTTCTGCCCATCACTTATCAGATTCGAGTCTGGTTCGTATTCACACCCTGGCACCCCGGCCCTTTAGTTGCTATACCCCGCTTGCAGATCAGAATTTCCAGGACGGCACCAGCTGGGATGGGCCTGGTTAGTGCATTCGATAGTTTGGCGTACCCTGGTATAACTCTAGAGGCCCGTCTTTCGCGCTTGGGCGACTAAATTCAGGGCATGTCTTGGCCTAAGACCCTCGCTGTTCTGCCTTAAGTCTGAGCCGTCTGTGGAGCATCTCATTCTTCCTCTGAGGCATTGGTGATTGTTACAATTGCTTGCTGTCAATTGTATTGTCCCAGTCAATTACAATGGCTTCTGAGAGAGAACCTACAGCGGCGGGCGCTGATACTTCTGCGCCTGCAGACACGACAAATGCTGCTGGCGAACAGAACGCGCCGGCTGCTGATGCTGCCAGCAACGATGCCTCTTCCGACGACCATGTTCGCGATGAGAAGGTCGCTCCAGGCCCAACCAAATGGCAAAAAGTGAAGAGTCATTTCTGGCGGTACAAATGGTGGTATTTACTTCTTGTCGCTGTTCTTCTCGCCATTTTACTGCCACTGCTGTGAGTGTCGTCCCATCAATTGAGTACCTCTTCTGACAATGCACCAGCTTCACTGTAATCATTCCCGCAATCGTCCAAGACATTCTCAATGACCAGAAGCTCCCCATATACGGCGGCGCTTTACAGGTTATATCTCCAACCGAAGTGAACATGAGTATCGAGACACAGTTAAAGACACCAATCGCTGCGACTCTGAAACCAGTGGATCTCTTCCTCTACAGCAAGGAAACGAAGCCCGTGTCGTCATTTTTCAAGCTTCAATTCCCTGAAACGCACATCAAGAGTCACACTAATGTCACCATCACCAACCAGACACTCCTGGTGACAAATGAGACTGAGCTGACGAAGTGGTTTAATGTTTTCTTCGACAAACCCGATGCCGAATTGTCGTTGGAGGGAAAGCCTGAGATTAGGCTTGGCTCTTTGAAGTATCACCGCAGTCTGAAGAAGACTGTTGACATCGCTTCTCTTAACTACCTTGACGGCTTTGCGCTCAAGAGCTTAGACTTTGATCTGAATGCCAATCGGACATCAAAGAACAACATGAAGGGAATGCTAAACATCCCAAACTCCGGAGTCCTTCGACTTGGACTAGGCAACCTGACATTCAATGTCATGTCGGGCGACATTAGACTGGGTCTCATCAACCTCTGGGATCTGCAGCTCTGGCCAGGCAACAACTCTGTACCGTTCGATGGCAACTTCTACTTCGACCAGCTGGTTCCCAACCTCTCTGAGATCCTCGATATGCAAAAGGGACCTCTAGGTAACGGCTATCTGGAGTTCAACGCAACAGGAAACACCACCATTGCTGGTGGTGAGCACATCAAGTACATAGAAGGGGTGTTGAACTACAAGCATATCAGGTTCACCTTCCCTGTGATCACTCTGCTGGGTGATGTCCTTGGTGGCTTGCTGGACGCCAACCAGGGCTCGCTTCTGGATATCTTTGGCACTTCGATTGGAAATTCGACGTTGCTTGAACACGTCCTGGGACATTGGGATAATAACGGCGAAGGAGGATCTTCTAATAAGACTGCAAGGAGTTTGATGGAGAGGAGTAAGACCAGAGCACCAAAGGCCTGGATGTGGAGTCTTCTTAAATTGGGTTTAACGAGGAGGAGCTTATGAGTATGATAGTGTAGTCTTGGTTTTTAATATGATCTGATGCCTTTTATTGCATAACCTCAACCATGAGACCGTGAATGTCGCATTGTCACTATGTGAACCCTGGCGCTGAGTCTAAGTGTAAGTACTTGTGCGTAGCTTCTCAACAAAACTGCCGGTGCTGTTGTAGCGTTCAAGCAGCATGATTTCTGTTTGCGTTCAGCTTCCGTGCTTCCTGTTCCTCTTTCACCCTCATTATTGTCCCGAAGCCCAACCGTGTCACTATCAAGCCTTCGCTGGCACGTCCTGACTTGCAACAGTCTTTTTTACGAAAGCCGCAAGTTCATCTAGGTATCGCACGTTAGCCGCCCCAAGCTGTTTCGATACCCATGAGAGCTTCATCGCATATGCGGCGAGACCACCCATAGACTCCCAGTTCTTGATTTCACATGCATCTGGCCCCTTGGGCGTGACAGTTTGTACCCGCTCAATGGTTGCAGCCCACCAGGGTAGATACTTGCTTTTCCAAGCCAGCTTGCACTCTTCCTCGCCATAGCTTAAGTCCAGAATCTATATATAGTCAGTAAGATTCTACAGCATTTATTCTTACAGTAGGATTGTACCTCAATTGGAATTTCCATGATGTCGCCGTCGCTGTCGGTCAGAGTTTCCAGAATCCCATTGGCTCCTGGTTTCACCGCATCTGAAGCCTCACTGTCGGTGAATGTGAGTCTGGGAGTCCAAGTGTTCCACTCGCTGTATCTTTTGAAGTCAACGATGGTATCGAAGACTTCTTTAGCAGGTGCGTCAATGGCGATAGTGCTTCCGGCGGTAAAGACAACTCGACCAGTACCCAGGGATGGGGTTGCCGTCGGGGTTGTCCACCCGACTGCCTTGGGTGCTTCCATAGTCAGACCAATCGCAGGAGATTTAATGACGCTGAAGATTAGTGAATATTACAGGATTGAAATGCCAGAAAAGAGAAACATAATCATTCCGTTCTCTGTATGACAGCTCGACGTCTCACACGTGACGTCAGAAACTCAAATATTATCTCAAGACTAACCGAGTCAAGACATTCAGATGGCTAGCCCGGTTTAAACTTTTCTCAGTAGCCTTGTTTTCTCTTCACCAGTTGAGAGATGTAAAGCCTTCAAATCTATACGACAGTAGTGTATAGTCATAGTAACCAAGACTCGAACCATCGTAATACTATTCACCATTCCTTCGTTCTTGCATCCTTCTTCACAAAGGGAAGCAAGAAAACTTAGGACATCTTTTATATATGATAGAAGAATTGGGCAAACTTCGGATAGATTCAGAAGAACCTTAGAGTACTTGTTTTTGACGTCTATACTAAGGGCCAGAAGTTTCCTTGCGCCCTGGGGTTTCATCAAGTGCCTGCCGAATACTGTTTGGACCTAGGACCTTCGGTACGTATCATAAGCCTTTTCTATATTGATCTCAGACTAATAGACTTCTGCTCGAGAATTGAAAGTTTGTTTCGAACCTCTGGCTGTTCCGAGAAAGCTCCCCCACTCCCAAAGATACACCGTAGGAAGTCATGGGCGCTGCGGATAACCCTTCAAGAGTGCACTCTGTCACTAAGATATCATTCAGTGACTCACTGATCCTCGGGACTGGGGTTTGACGGCGGAGTCCTCTTCAGTGTAATGACGACCTTATCGTCAGATTGGCCAGCATCTGAAGCATTCCAACCAATGGCATAAACACCATCGATCTCTGATGGCGTGGCATACCAAAGTGAAGCCATCTGTCCATTCTCTTCGACCATGACAAAAGTGCCATAGAACGTCAGATCAGATACATAACCACCTGTATCGGTTGTGCTATTGATGAGTTTGACGCTATGAGAAGACGATGACGGTCCCGGAACAGCGAAAGTGTAGTTGGACCAGCTCGGCTCACGCCCTTTGGCATAGCCAGTCGTGTTTGGAGAGGCATACCATGCATCATCTCCCACGGTAACTGAGTGGTGTCAACAAGATTCAAGCTGGAAAGATGCGTTACTTACATTGAATCGGGGCGGCCTCAGAGTCGTCGACCTTGCTGAAGTTGCCAACAAAGACCTCATCTAATGGTTTCTATAAGCATGATTCACCGAACGATGGACAAACAACATACCGCCAGAGGAAAAGATGGGAAGGCCACCAACCCCAGTTCCATAAGCATAAAGAGAAAAGGGACCGGTGTTGCTTGCTGCAGTAGCTGCAGTCGCAAAGAACGACGCTGCAAAATTGGTGAGTCTAAGCTTATGCATTTTTCTGAGTACTGTATCGCCGATGTGATGGAGAAGAATGGGGCAACTAACCAGATTATATGATAACAAGATACGTTAATAGACCAATACGGGGTTGTGGCTGTGAACCCACAAGACGGGCCCCATTGGATACGTAATCGGTATAATGGATTGTTTATAGATGTCTCAAGGGGTTCATGCCGACGAAACGCTGACGCGGATACGGGGTGAGCCACAACCCTCCCAATCCCTGGCATCCTCCGGACGGACCAGCCCGCCCCGATGTGACGATAAATTTGTCCTTCAGCCAATCACAATTTTTCGTGGGCGCTTCCTATCTACTCACAAGATCGCTCCGCTCATAAAGTTCTTTTTAAGCCTATGCGGATGGCACGGAATGTGGGCTGTCGGTGGTTGTAAACCTCCGTGATCGTCCCGGCAGTTGTGAAATCGCCGAGTGGCTTCGTTTCTTACAGTGACGACGACTTGTCTTAATACTCCATCTGTAAGAGGTCCGTGATACGAGAAGTCCTTTTGCAGAATGATAGGTCTCTTTTACGATGGGCAGATGAGCTTCCGAAACGGACAACACGAGGGCTGGGTTGTAATATTTAAGAACGGGCTGAAGGGGAAAAATAGAAGTGAAAAATAAAACAAATCATTTGAATCTCTTTGTTATCTCATTTGCCATCATAATTCTCTGTATTTGAAGTCCTTGGTTGAGATTCAGCTTGTGTCGGCAGAAATGAAGCTCTTGCAATTTCTCCCGGCTGGCATTCTCTGCCTCAGCCAAGTTCACGCCCGAAGCCCTCTTCACCAGCTAAACCGCCGCGCTTGTAGTGGCAACACTGCTTCTACTCGCTCAGAGTGGTGCGACTACTCCATTGACACGGACTACAGCACTGAAGCTGTAGATACTGGCGTCACTCGCGAGTACTGGCTAGAGCTGACAGATGTTACTGTTGCCCCTGATGGCTACTCTCGCTCGGCCATGGCCGTCAACGGTACCATTCCTGGACCTACTCTCTTTGCTGACTGGGGTGACACTGTTGTCATTCACGTTACCAATTCTCTCAGCACTTCTCTGAATGGTACAAGCATGCACTGGCATGGTATTCGTCAGAACTATACCAACCAGTATGATGGTGTCTCATCTATCACTCAATGCCCCCTTGCTGTTGGGGAGTCAGTGACTTATACCTGGAAGGCCACCCAGTATGGCTCGACTTGGTATCACTCCCACTGGGCTCTGCAGGCATGGCAAGGCATCTTCGGCGGTATCATCATCAATGGACCTGCCACGGCAGACTACGATGAGGATCTTGGCATGGTGTTTCTCAATGACTGGGACCATCAGACCGTTGATGAGTTGTACAGCTCAGCTGAGACCAATGGACCTCCCACCTTGGACAACGGTCTCATCAACGGCACAAACGTGTACGGGGACGATGACAGCTCTTCTCAAACAGGTACTCGCTTCAATGTCTCTTTTGAGTCTGGCACTTCTTACCGTATGAGACTTGTCAATGCAGCAGTTGACACTCACTGGAAGTTCTCGATTGACAACCATACCTTGACTGTGATCGCAGCAGACCTTGTACCGATCGAGCCTTTCGAAACCACAGTTCTGGACTTGGGCATGGGTAAGACTGTTATTAATTCATCCTTTTGCAATTAACTAACCTCTGTAGGCCAACGCTACGACATCATAGTCACTGCAGATCAAGCTGACGTCGCCGACAACTTCTGGATGCGCGCCATCCCGCAAGCCGCCTGTTCCGATAACGACTCCACCGATAACATCAAGGGCATCGTCTACTATGGAGACAGCCCCGGCACGCCGTCCACTACTGCCTACGACTACACCGACGGTTGCGATGACGAGACGGATAACATTGTACCATACATATCCAAGACAGTTGAAGATGCCAACTGGAATGATCTTGAGACAGCTACAGTTGGCAAGAACACAGCTGGTCTGTTCAAATGGATGCTCAACAGCACCAGTATGTTGGTGGACTGGGCAAACCCTACACTGGCTCAGGTCCTCAATGATACAGCGGACTTTGAGACCGATGATGCGGTGATTGAACTCAGCGAGGGAAACCAATGGGTTTACTTCGTGATTGAGACGGCTCTACCAGTGCCCCATCCCATTCATCTCCACGGACATGACTTCTTTATATTGGCTCAAGGGACGGGTACTTATTCTTCCTCCATCACCCTGAACACAGATAACCCTCCTCGACGAGATACGGCTATGCTGCCAGCTAACGGGTATCTTGTTATGGCCTGGGAGACTGACAATCCTGGCGTTTGGCTATGCCACTGTCATATTGGTGAGCCAAGATCAGTCTGAATTTAGAGCATTACTGACTTTGTGAAACTTTAGGTTGGCATACATCTGAGGGATTTGCGTTGCAGTTCCTCGAGCGTTCAAGTGAGATTGCCAACATCTCTACATCGAGCTATGTGTCGGATGTTTGCGATGGCTGGAGTACTTTCCAGAGCGAGTCGTCGATTGAGCAAGAGGATTCTGGCGTCTAATACTACAAGCCTATTTCTTGTACACGAACTTTCGCCTATTGACTGAAACTGGGAGCATAATTGCGTGCTGATTTATGGCTACACATGTACTTCTCTTACTGATGGGCGTTGCCAACCGTGACCACTATAGCAAATGATCCATTCCAGCCTCACCAACCTTCAGCACTGTCCAATCCTCCATTCGCTTGGCCCCAAGCTTCTCGTAAAATCTCAGTGCTCTCGCGTTATCCTTCAAGCAGAGCCACTCCATCTTTACGCAACCCGCTTCCTTAGCCGCTGATGTCATAGCTTCGACCAACTTCCGCGCGTATCCGTGAGGTCTGTATTCTGGGACGACGTAAATCTCCTCCATGCAGACTCCAGGAGCAGCTCCCCATGTCGTGTAGTTGAAGAAGTAGATTAACAGCCCAGCGGGTTTCCCATCTGGTGAGAAGGCTAAGATGGGATGTCCAATACGGCACGCCGAAGAGTCGGTGACGTCTGATAAGTTGAGTGTCTTTGCGAGACGCTCTTCAGTTGCAGTGACGACGGTTCCTGGTGCTTGCTCTTCTGCGCCAGCACGGATTAAACTCAAGATAGTAGGAACATCTACCTTAAGACTTAGTAGAGGGACCAATGGTTGTCTTTACAACTAAGTACCTTGAGAAGACGCAGGACGGATTTCGGGTGAGGAGGCCATCTCGAATCACGAATCTTCAATGTTGGCAGCGATATTCAATGTACAATTCCTCAAGGAGTAACGATCATGTAGTAATCTTTCGGATTACTGGAATTTTCGAGAGTTCCATCTTATTTATACTAATCTCCTCATGAAGTAGCTCTGCGCCCTATCCATGACAGGTGGAGTTTGCGCTGGTTTGCTTGCGGGGCTCAATGACTCAGCTTGTCAACCCGAATGACTCTCTCGGTCCTCTTTCCAGCCGAAGGATCAAAGAAACACATATAACCCACTGAATAACATATTATGCCAGTAGCGCTCTCACAGACATCCACGGCGATAGGCCGAATTACCAATTGACAGATCAAAGCCCGATATCGGTCCAAACCCCACTGAATGGACAATGGGAACAAGTGACAGCCCGGGGACTTGCTCCCTTTTGAATCGAGGGTAATTGAATCGCGATTTACTATAGATTTGATTTGAAGGGCTAGTGATATTGAACTACAGAAAATGAACTGAATCAAAATGATGATAGGAACGGTTCACCGCGAACTGCTCTGGCTGCAGCCACATACTTTTGCCAAGCTAGAGAATATGATATCGTAGAGGCAGGTTTTGTTTAGAAGTCCTATAAAGCTTGTCTAAACCTTTTCGGTATCTGCGCAACATGACCGAAGGCAACTGATGAAAGATAAAACCCCATTTCATATACACTTTCAGGCACCAAACAGTAGCTAGCCAGGGTCCTATGATGAGACACTCTCATTACCTTTGCCGGAGAGACTGGGCACCGGGCCAGTAGAGTTTCCCTTGGCAAACCGCATTTCCAGTTCTCTTGATTGACCCTTTTTGCCTTTGGTGTGTCTCACTGGGATACTTCATAGTCAAAAGTTTAAAACTTTGTTAGCCAGTGATGTTGTCGTGCTGGTCTTGGACAGTTTTTTGTTTGAGTCTCGACCATTCTTCTGCTCAGTGACTACCTTCGGTTTTATCAATTTGACTTTTCTAAACCCGTGTTACGCCCAATATAACCAATCATCACTATCAGCTTGTTCCAGAATTATTCTGATATCATTACACGACATTCCAAGACTATGAAAGCTGTTAGACCTTTTTTCTTCGGCCCATATCTTTAGCTATGATTATCGAAATCCCTCATCTTTCTTTCGTCCCTCGCGTTGCTGAAACGGAGGGACAGGCCAGCACCCTTGAGCAAACGTACTTAAACATCTGATCGATGTAAACGGTACTGGCTACCTACCTAGCTCAGTTGGTAAAGATGAACTCGACTACGCCTCTGTTGTCCTCTCATCGAGTGTCAATGTCCTACAGCAGCTTGACCAACTTCCCTCCTCTGATTCTCAGAAATGACAGGAGGCGCAGAGGGACAAAGAAAAGCTTGCGAACCAAGATACAGATTCCCCTGCTGTGCTACGCGCATTTAATGGTGGCGATGGCATACTTCTCCATCTTCCCATATGTAGCTCTGATGGCACAGCACAATGGCAGTTCACGGGCCACTGATATCCGTGTCTATGTGGGCTTTTTTGAAGCACTATTCTTAGCTGCGCAGGCCCTGGCTTCGATATTTTGGGGCACCATGGTGGATAGGTTTGGTGGCAAGACGATGCTCATCTGGATTCTTCTTGGCACGGCTATCAGCTCGCCGATCTTCGGCTTTACTTCGTCGCTCTGGCAGATGGCGCTTTGTCGATGCTTCATGGGAATGGTGTCAGGTGGCGACGTCGTCATCCGCGCTATGATCGGGAAACGGTGCATGACGGAGACAGAGGCTACTCGTGGATTCAGCCTATCTGCCTTTGCTGGAAGCATTGGAATGGCCTCTGGACTTCTTATCGGTCATGCCCTTGTCAATCATGTCAGCCAATACTCGACTATCCTCAAAACAGTTTTTTTGCTTGAGCAACATCCGTTTTGTCTTCCGGGAATCACGATCAGTGTCATGAGTGCAACTTGCGCTATTGTCATTACATTGTTCGTCGAGGATGCCCAACAAAAGGTCAATAGAGTCGTGGATGACACTCCATCTACGAATTCTCTGCTCCCAACCTGGACATTCCTCTGTCAATTAATCGCGTCTCGTGGTGTTGGCGACACACTTTCGTCTTTTATCAATATTAGTCTGCTTGTATCTGCTTTCACGGCCGTGGCAACCCTCGCACTATACACAGACATTAGCCAAGGCGGCCTGGAATTCCCGGGCCACGAAATTACGCTGTACACGATCTGTCAGGGCGCTTTCTCAGCGTGCTGGCTGTTTTTAATATACCCAGCTTTATATCGACACTTTGGTACACAGAACATCATCTCATCAAGCCCGGTTCTTTTTCCTTTCTTCTTTCTGAGTATCAGCATCATGAACGCATTTGTTCGCCCTGATAGCGAAGCTGATTTCTTCATATTTCGGGTCATTTTGGGCGTGATGACAATCATGGGGCCTGCTGTCTACATGGTAGTTACGGCAGTCCGCGTTGGCTTACAAGAGGTATCGCCCAGTCCTCGAAAGCTTGGTTTGCTCAATGGAGTCGCAGAAGCGGCTTCTTGTCTACTACGAGTGATAGCCTTATCTATGGGTATTTTGATCCATGCCTTTTGCAATTACCATAGTGTGACAGTTGGGTACCTCAACTGGGTCGTCGTATTACTGATTGGGTTATCTTTCTTTGTTTTGATGTGTCCTACTTGGGCGAGGCTCATACGAAGTTAAAAGAAGAGCGAACACCGGGGCTCGTGGCTTCCAAACATTTATCTTAGTCAATGGACATTTCCTTTATTCCAGTTGGCATTGTATCACATAGATAGTGGTGATCAGCCGCATGACGTGGATGTATTTCGTAATATACGTAAGACTTCCTTCACTAGGAGGTAACAGTCGCTCTTGGCCCAACGATCCTTTGTTCCATAGATCTGTTTGGTGGCTTCCAAATAGGCTACTGATACCTCATTTGGTGCAATTTGGACTACAGGTCCGTACTTCTTGTGCAAGTCGAGAATAATGTCGCTGCGACGACATAAAATCTCATATATACTCAGTGGTATGTTGGAGACCTTACAATACCATGGACCAGGGACATGACGAAGGCTGCCATTACCGAGAAGATACGCGAGCCATGCATATATCAGAACAATGAAGACAACGGCAAGGGTAAAGCATAGGGCCTGGACGGTGAGGGCGTAGAGTAGCGTGTGTTCGGGTGGGGACGGCATTGCATATCCCGTTTACTGATGGTAGCGAGTAAAAAGGAAAGACAATGGTCTGGAGCTGTAACACTTACTTGCCGAAGGACTCTTAAACCCGTCTCAATAGTAGCCCATGGCCTTTCCTTTCTATTTATCCCGACTCTGAGAGATTCATGCATCTCTTTGTCGGAATGTTTGAATGATGTATGAAGTGGCACTGCACTATGGAACGGCCCTGATTGATGCACCAACACCTTTGCACAACTTGAGCATGCATCCAGCGTATTGACTCGGTTGTCTTCCCCTCAATCGTAGCACATTACACAGGCTTTCTTGCATTCTCCTTAGTCACTTGTAAGACCTTATAACGATAATTCAGAAAAAGACTTCCCGCGATATTCGGGCTCTGTCCTTATGCACGCATGGGGCGGCCTCGACTTCAAAGCCGCTTCAGGGAGATCGAAGTCGCTTATTCCATCGTGCCCTATATAGTCCCGTTCTTCAAAAGACAGAACAATCGGTACCGATTTCAACACATCAAAAGAAACTCACCATTACGTAGGTATAAATGCGCCCAGCTAGAGCTAAATGGTTTGCGTTGAAAGCTGAAGGCTTTATGTAATGTTTATAATACCGTTTATGCTTTGGACAAGGTATCTAAACGAAGTTCTGCACGACGTAAATCTTAGTGGTTGCCTCGTGATCGGAAGATCAGTTTTCTTCAAACGGTACAAGTGTCACCAAGATCGAACTGAGGCTGGCGACATCAACGAGGTACAGATTTATAATAGCGTTACCAATGCCCTGTCCCCCACGCTTTCATCTTGCTCTCTTCTGCGCTCTTGACGGTTTAGGTAAACGAGCATCCAAGTGGCACTCCGTCTATCACCGCTATTTCTTCTATGTTGTGTCATGACAATTTATCATGGTCAGTGACTATCATCCTACAGCGTTAGGTATAATGTCGCCTCATTGAAGTACGCTGAGAATATTTCGGCTACGTCTGGCACGTTCCAACTAAATGCTACCGAGTATCCCTATGGCTTACATTTCCAATCAACTATACTCTCAAAGCTATTTACTTCTACAGGATTTCCTTGGAAATACATAAAGAGTTCCATATCTTCGTCATTCTTTATGCACCATTGGCACCTTGAGCTCCGTTGCTAACATTGCGTATCTCCAGAGTGTGTTCATCACTTAGCTTGCGGGCTCCCCTCAATGTCACCTTCGTTTCTTCCCACTGCTCAAATCGTCTATAAGCAATTGGTGCATCCTCCAAGCTGTACTCGTTTGAGAAAAGGAAACCAGGCCTCGCCCTTCCGCTTTTCACAAGCTCCACTAGAGCCTTGATGTTCCCCTTAATGTCCACAAGTCCACCTTGGATACGGATTCCTTTGATCCAGGCTTCAGCCATCGGAAACTTGATCTCAGCCTTCAAGTCAGGCTTATGAACTATTCCCCTGCCACCGAATTCACTGACCAATGCAGTGATATGTACTCCGATGACACCGATACCACCACCGGAGGTAGTGATTTTCACAGCTTCACGAAGGATATAGTCCTGCTGCGGCTTCAAGTCATCATTGAGGCAGACTTCGCCCACGGCGTCGATGGCTCGAGTGACTCCTTGAGGGCGTAAAGCAAGGATCTGATCAGATGCTTTACCTCCACGGGTGAAGTTAATGGGCTGCGCACCAATGGAAGCAGCCTTGGCGAGGCGCGAGGCAACATGGTCGATTACGTAGACATGAGCGGCGCCGCGAATTATGGCGCTGTATGCAGTCATGAGTCCAATGGCACCAGCACCGAAGACAGCGACAGTATCGCCAGCCTCAAAGCCAGAGAAGTTGAGAGCGGTCCAGCCAGTGGGGAAGGCATCTGTAAGAGGTAGCCATTCCTTGTCATCAAGCTTATCGGGGAGTTTTGCCATTGAGGAATCAGCCCATGGAATACGAGCATATTCAGCTATTCACAAATGTCAGATGCATGAATACGAAGATTACCAAGAAAGCCATCTCACCTTGTAGCCCAGTATCGCCATGGAACATTCCACCAAGACCAAGGCCAATAATTGGCTGATCCGTGACAAGCATTGAAGGCTTGGGTAGTAAGTTTCCATCCTCTGCGAAGGCCAGAATGAGAACTCGATCACCGGGTTTGAAGAAGTCCACGGCTGGACCGACTTCCTCGACGATGCCAACGGCCTCATGACCCACGCCGAACTTTTCTTCTGTGCCGAAGAGACCGTGGTAGATATGAAGATCAGAGCCACAGATAGCGGAAGTGGTGATACGCACGACTGCATCTTCTGGTTCGATGAGCTTGGGGCGTGGGATGATGTTGACAGACATGTCACGAACGTTGCCCTCCCACTGGACAGCACGCATGAAGCCCGTCTTCGAAGAACTATCCATTTTGAAAAATAGTAATTTTTTTGAGGCAGGGAAATTAATTATACAAGAAATCTTTGCTTGAAGCTTGCTCTCCTTCTATTCAGCGGGTGGACACAGCAATTTATATCAACCAATCCTTGTCAGCATCAATTCCAGTCAGCTTCTCAAAGTAGAAAATGACGTGATATAGAAGAATCTGATCCGTCACAAGGTTTTAAGCTTAGCTGAGATATGTAAGAAATACTACCCTTGGGAATGCTTTGGTATATTATATAGTAAGCGGAATGGACTTGTGATGGGAACCGTCAGCGCCCAGCCTCACCGTGTAAGATTGGTTGGGGTAATACGAGGCTATGCCAGGTAACATGACCAGTCGCAAGTATTGATTCGACTAGAGAATTCCTTGTTCCCTCGTCAAAAGTTCTTATAGGCCTATGGATGGTTGATGGGTCAAGAGAGATGATGTTCTTACTATCAGGTGTGACACTCCCAAGGCTCACACGGCACTGTAACAAATGAAGCATCCGAATTATATGTCCAACTCTAACATTTACGGCTTTTGAGAACTATCTTCGCCAAATCTTGACCGGCAGCTTGCCCATGATCAAGTTGAAGGCTTCGAACCTGTCAACCGTAAAATCCTTAGTCGGCATCGCGAAGTCATAACGATGGACCAAAGTCGCCAATACAATCTGCTGTTCCAAATACGAGATATTTCGTCCGATACACCCTCTCGCGCCCGCTGAAAATGGGATGAAGAATGGTTCCATCCTCTTTCGTTCCTCCAGGTTGAGCCACCGTTCCGGTTTGAAGACGTATGGCTCAGGATAAATGTCCTCGTTGTGATGAGCGCTCCAGATAGTCATTGATACAGATGTATCGCCTGGGATCCAGGTGTCCATGATTTTAGCGCCTTCAGGTGGTGTTCGTCGTGGAAGGCCTGAGCTGACAGGTGGAATAAGACGAAGGCCTTCGTCGAGGCAGGCTTTGAGATATGGGAGGTCTTTGACTTTGTCGAATGGCGCAATTATATCGTCTTCATCCATAACAGCAGCAACTTCGTCCCTTAACTTTTGCATCTGCTTGGGATGACTAATCAAAAGCTGAAGGATATGTGTCAGGGCAATAGCTGTAGTCTCAGCTCCAGCATCGATGATAGCAGAGGTCTCAGCTACAATCTCTCCCCACTCAAGTTCGTTGGGAATACCATTCTTGTTGACCATAAGACACGAGAAGAAGTCATCGAGTTTTTCTCCTGCCTCATATCTCCTCAATCGGTCTTTAGCTTGGTGGTAGCAAATATCTCCCCACGGTGCACTGGTGGCCCAGTAGCTCTTCCACTTATTGGGGACGACTTTCGAGATACGGGCTAGCCATGGGTACAGTTCATACTCCCAGACGAAGATAGATTTGCACATGGCTGCGGCGTTCTGGGCTTGGCGGTATCGTGCCGGATAGAGTGTTCCGTCGGGTTTTTCGGCAAGGACTTCATCTGTACCGGTCTCGAGAAGAGTCATCTTTGAGGAGAGAGCGATATAGTTGATTGCTTCGATAGTCCAGAGATTGATCCAGTGGTTGAAGTCAACTGTGAGATCTTCGGGGTCGGGATTGGTGTTTGGCTTCAGAGGTCCCGTGCATCGTTGATCAAAAGCATCAAGTAATCGCTGCGTGGTATACTGAACTTTGAACTCCCACTTCTCAAGGTTCCTTGTCGCAAAGGCAGCAGATAAGAGTCGTCGTTTTCTGCTATGATCACCCTTATCAACAACATCGAACAAGTTACGATGCGTTCCGGCTAGGACTGTCTCCTTGTGATCTTTCGTGCACTTTGTCTGATGACCGTAAATGTCTCTGACGGCCTGTGGATGGCTGAATGACAATGCGTTGGGTCCGATCCTGAGAATGTGCTCGTCGCGGCGATCATGTTCAGCAGCGAGCGTCTCGGATCGAGTGCCAGTGTGACTGAGATAACAGTGACGCAGATCCGTCAAAGGAGAAAGCCAAGAGAAGTTTGCGTACTTCCTCAAACCCTTGGGATCAATGAAATACAAGATGATGGGATAAATGAAAAGACGAATCAATAGGGCTGCAAGGCCGGCCCCAAGGAGAATGAATCCGATCATGATTACAATAGCGTTCAGGATGAAGGTGAGTTGATTGATCTCGAATTCATGAGGAGTCGGATCTTATATCTCAACCGTTCAACTCAGAGGGTCAAATAGTGCGGCGACAACCCCGATGCATAACTGAGATGTGCACCAATGAAACTTCTCTATGTTCTCCATATTCAGCAGAATTTGATATCTATTGTTAGATAAATTGCCCGCGGGATTCACATTTCGGCGAAACACTTCCTAATTGAGATGGGTCGCCAAGCAGCTGGAGGAGTAAATTTCCGTTCCTGGTAATGGTGTCGAAAAGGTGGGATCGTGGAGTTGCGGGGAAGACGTGCACTAACATGACATCAATCGTGGGCCAGAAACAGCAATTGATTCCGCGGGAAATACATCACGATGTGAGTCGTCAAAGAAGCGAATACCAACTTTCAATTTACGCGAGCTTATTATGGAAAGCTCTACTTGTCCCTCTTCTGAATCTCAAATAGCTGCGGCAGCAAACCAGACAACATATCGTCCAAACTCTGCCATTTGATGCCCAAAGCCTTCTCAGTTGCACTTGCATCTACACCAAAATGCGTAGGAGCCTCCCTCAACCACGGTGTTCCCGTGGGAATCTTATCCTTGTTTTTCCCCGCAACCTCTCGTGCTACATCAGCGATCTCCTGGTTACAGTACACTCCCGCCGCAAGAAGATATCTTTCACCACTAGCTTCAGGAACCTGAATAGCCTTGAGATGCGCAAGAGCTACATCTTTGACACCAACCCAGACAGGGCCTTTGGTGGCAGGTATCTCGCCGTCTTGGCCGGCGGAGACAATACCATAAACGATTTGGTTGGAAGTGTTGAGATGTTCTGATGACTTAGGGACAGCGCCCTGCAGGAATGGTCCAAACACCATAGCCGGGTTCAAGCTTACAAGATCAAAGTGCGCAGCTGGGTTCTCTTCCATCCACTTCCACGCCACCTTTTCGGCAACGGTCTTGCTGGCGCGGTAGGCAACTGCTGCAGCTGGTGCATTTACACCATCCTCGTACGTCAATGGAGACCAATCTTTGGCAGTATAAATCTTGCCCGGCTGCAGTCCTTTCGAGGCATCGTAGATACCTGCAAATGAGTTGGTATGCACAATGCGCTTGACGCTACCAAGCTGATTTGCTGCGTTGAGGATGGCAGTTGAACCCTTGACAGCAGGGATCATAAGGTCTTTTTCCAAGTCTGTTGTATCATAGTGAAAAGGAGCAGCGAGGTGTAGAATTGCATCAGGTCGAATGGAGCCAAAGGCTGAGATGTATGATTCAACGGAAGTGATGTTCTCAACTACTCTGACAGAGAGATTGGGATCTCTGCCATGTAGTTCAAGAACTTGCTCAACTTTTGTCTGAGATCTGACGGTACCCAAGACCTTGTATCCTTCACATAAAAGAAGAGCAATACAGTGTTGGGCTATGAAACCATTGGCTCCAGTGACGGCGATAAGAGATGGTGGCAGAATGGGTTTGGGATATGCTGAAGGCATTTTGGCAGCGACAACTCCAGTGAATGGTTGCGATAACGCTGGAAATCAGGTTCAGGCTATGGTTGGAAATGTTTGAAGACTATCAAGGCGGTCATTATCGAACATACAGAGGTCTATTCTATTCTATTGACAGATCACCCGCGGTATTCATCGCCTGTGCTTCTTTTAGTCTAGCCTTGTCATGGCCGTCGCAATGGTAACTTTGCGACGGCTGCAGCGCCGGAGCGCGTTCGATCAAATCAGCGACGGGTCCCGCCGATCGCGCTCCACTCTTGTGACAGTCGGATAGCGGCGCCGATTTTGTCCAAGAGCCGATTGATTCTCCTCATGTTGAGATGACGTCACAAGCAGATTGTCTATTATTTGGAGTACTACAGGTTAACCCCGCATAAGCAAACAGCTGAGCATTTTATTCGATAGTTACGCTAAGTTCTTCACTTCCTTTCGGTTTACTTCTCTCAATTCAGGCGCTATCGTCATCTGTTGACAGTTTGCGACGGCTTATTGAGTCCTATCTTATCGTTATCGTTCAGCTGATAGCGCCGATAACAGCTGTTATCGGCCAAAGGTCAGTCACTGGCCTGTGGCCTCAGCAATGGTGCTGTTAAGCATAGCATACCCTGTACACAGTCAAAAATCCCAGCATAACCATGTAAAAAACAGAAATAAAGCGATTTTATGTAATCTCATAAGTGTCAGAAGGTTTTACAGAGCAGCAAGATACCAGACTAGTGAATTAAGCGCCAACAGCTGGGCTTTGGCCTCTCATTTTGCAGAACCATGTTGTTCTACTAAGATTTGGCGTATAACTCATCTCACATGTACCACCTTCAGGGTCAACGTTTTTCAATCGATGCTTTAATTGGTAATGACTAAACTCCCGCGATTGCCCTCTTCTTCAAAACAGCCGAGTTCTCATTTAATCCGGCCCAATCATGAGCATCCAAGCAAGCCTGTCGACTTAACAACACAGCGACTTTGGTCCTCTCCCTTAACTCCGCCTCATACTCATCAATAGCTTCACCTAACCCCTTTCCTTTATGATAGGCTCCTTCCAGAACTTTTGTTAACCGATAAGCGTCAAGGATACCATGGTTCGCTGCTTCGCCTCGATACATGGTCATCGCATGCGCCGCATCGCCAGCCAGAGTGATCCTACCATTGCGATTATCCCAAGGTGGACATGGCCAGTCCTGTAAGACAATCTCGATGACTTCAGACCCCTCTGGGATCCTTTGCACGGTATCCCGTAGCACCGGATTGAACTCTGTTGCTCGTTGCTTCATATATGCCAAGCGCTCCGCGTCAGTGGCTTTGACTTCGTCTTCTGGTGTCTTCATAGGCCAGGATATCATGACCTGAACGCGATAATGCTCGTTATCTGTTCCCGCGCTACCGTTGACGAGTGGCGTTTCCAGCATACTGAACCAGAAGAACGTCCCTGTTTCAGGATGACAGCCTTGAAATAGAAGAGGATCGATATCTTTTAGTGGCTTTACCTGCTCTGGCGTAAGATCTAGAGCAGCACCGGTAAATCGTACGGGTAGTCGAATATTACGGTATGACTCTGGTGCTAAGAACTTTCTTGTTCTTGAGTTGCTACCCTCAACACCAACGATGAGAGACCCTTCAGCTCGAGATCCATCCTCAAACATAGCGACAACACCATCATCGCGCTCTTCGATTGATGCAAGTCGCTTATTCCAATTGACATTATCAGACACGCTCTTGAGCAAGACCTTGCGCAGCTTCTCTCTATTAACACGTCTTCGGTCGCCAGGTGGGATAAGGAACTTTGGCTCAAGGGTCTCGAGGTTGATGAACACGAATTTTCCAAGCCCTTGACGGTCGGCCTCTGGGTCGACTTGGACTGATTCGACGTCCTTGAACGCTTCTTCTGATAGGAGTTCTCTGAGGAACGGGAGGACCCAATGGAGGGTTATGGCCCAGCCTTGACCGCGGGAGCTGATGTGACTGTCGCGTTCGTAAATCTGGAACGGAATGCCAAGCTTCGCGATCGATGTCAGTGCGTCAATTGATGAAATGCTCGGGGAAGTGGATTACCTTCTTGAGGCCATGGGCGAGGACAAGGCCAACGACTCCAGCGCCGATTATGAGAACTGGCTTACGGTCTTTGGACATGGTGATATTCGCGTGAGCTGACAAAGAATAGTCGATGATTTGGGTCTGTGTAATTCTCGTCGCTTTGAACGAGGGGAAATATCAGGGTTTATTCTCTCATGATATCAGTTGGACCCTTGAGTCCCTTTGCATTTGAAGTGAGTGCGACGGCATCACACGTCATGAAGGAAGCTCTTATCGGGGCTTATCGGCGTTACAGTGATGTCCCAGCAGCGCGGTTCAGTGCGTCCAGCTCAGTGAGGGGTCGGTCGGAAGTCGCCGTTATGCAACCGTCGGAAAACCATCATCAATTGCGCGCCAGACTAGCTCAAATTGTCACTGTAAGATAGCGGGGACCGCGGAAATTAATGATCTTTGCGACAAGGCAATTCACATTGGAACATGCGCCGGAACTGGGTGCGATGGAGGTGAGAAAAGATTCATTCAAGAGTCAATTGATCTCGCTTCCGATTCATTGCATCCTCAACCCATTCACCCCCAATATCGAATCTTTACAGCAATTGCCATGACACAAGACACCAAACATGAGGCTCTCCAGCCTGTTCATCCCTCGATGAAGGGCAAACTCGACCCTGTCTTTGAGAAGCTCTACAACGACAATGTCGCCAACACTCCCCTCAAACCGATTGACCTCGGCATCCTTCGATCGAAATACTCAGTTCTCTACTCGTACGGCACTGGCCCTGCACCAGATGTCGCGCGCCAATACGATACTCAAATCGTCACGCATGAAGGCATCACTCTTGATGTGAGAGTGTATGAGCCCGATACTGCTGGTCCATGGCCTGTGCATATCGACTACCATGGTGGCGGTTGGGGTCTGGGCGATCTTGATACTGAGAGTCATATTTGCAAGCATATCTGCAATGTCGCTGGCGTCGCAGTCATTGACGTCGCATATCGTCTTGTACCTGAGAATGCTTTCCCATGTGGTGTTACCGATAGTTTCGCTGCCCTCAAGTACATTTACGAGAAGGGCGCTGAGCGATTCAGTATTGATCCAGAGAGAATCTCCGTCGGTGGAGTCTCAGCCGGTGGATTCATCAGTCTTGCGCTGGCACACATGGCGCGTGACGCAGGCATTCCTCTTAAGCTTGTTGCTGTTGGAACACCAGTGATTGACGATTTGAGTCAATACTCTTCAGCATCAGATTCACCCTTCAAGTCTATGCAAGAAAATGAGCATGCGCCAACACTCAATTGGGGCCGACTAGCTTGGTTCGACAAGCTCAAATGGAGCTCCCTGGGTTCTGCACCCGAAGAGATCGCTGAGAAGCGTGCGCAAAAACCCGCGATTTACGGCAACTTGTTCAAGGCTGATAACTTCAACAACCTTGCAAAGACCGTTATTTACACAGCTGGCGCAGATCCATTGAGAGACGAAGGTGAAGCTTACGGTATGAAGTTGATTGAGCATGGGAATGAGGTGACGATGAAGAGGTTCCCGGGTGTACCGCATCCGTTTATGCATATGGATAAGGATCTCTGGCAGGCGAAGGAGTTTATTCTGCAGACTGCTGGTGCTATTCGGACTGCTTTACATGAGCTATAGCTTTAGATAGTGTAATTAAATCATTTTGTTAAAGACTGAAAGACGTCATAAGCATCGATATCGTGAGCCTGTGTATCATCAATCCGAGGGAGCGCAAGGAATAGATGAACCTGCGATGCTCATAGAGTTGGTAGCTCAAGCCAACCAACGGCTGGTCGCTGAAGACTTCACTGTTAGCGCCCTATCTCCCCATACTCGACAGCGCTATCTACCCCGCTTGATACCACTGTAGCGCCTGATATGACGGATACCATATCACCAAACTAGCTGTTAACAGTCTAGCACTCACGCGCTATCAAGATAACGAGGGAGCCGGTTCGTAATTCCGGGTGACCCATACCTCCTCCCTTTCATTACCCCAGCTTTTCCTCCTCCTCATTGACCTCAAAATCATGGCGACGCGCGAGCGATCGAGTAATACCTGCTTACGATGCGCCGAGATCAAACAGCGCTGCAAGGGTGGTGTGCCCTGTGATCGGTGCAGCAGGTTGAGTCTCCCATGTCGTCCGAAGGGGTACTCGGGTTTGTTTTCCGGAGAGCTTGGGCTTGATGGTGGCGATGGGATTTCTGTTGGTCAGCCGAAAGCAAAAATACGCAGGGTACAGACAGGTTGTTTGACGTGCAAAAGGCGTAAGAAGAAATGCGATGAGCGGTGAGCCCCCACCTCGTTTGTCTTGATGAACCCGATCTCATCCTTGTCATAGGAAACCCAGCTGTGGCGATTGCAGGAGACTGTGCCTCGACTGTTCGTGGCCGACAGAGAGAGCAAGTAGACAAAGGCTCAACAGCTGGACCAATGAATCATGGCTCAGCGCAGAACAAGTCCTCGACCTATCTTCGGAGACATCACCAAGCCCAAATCCTTCACCAGGTTCAGTCCAATCCAACGTGGACCTGAGTATCGCCGACTTGCTATGCCAAATGTCCACAGCCGTTCCTGTAGATGGTGCCGACGTTGATATGACGGGGACGTTGCCAGAACTATCCTGGGACTTGACAACTGACTCAGGGTGGCTCGATATTCTTCCGGAAACACCTCCCGTTGCTGAAGACTCACCAGACAGTCTACCGAATACCACGCTGACTCTGTATACACCGAGCTTGGTACCGGACATGACATCTCCTCACGACAAAGCATTACTAAACCACTACTCAAATATTGTCGCCTCAGTGCTATCAAGGCATCCAAACACGACATCAAACCCCTACCTCAGCTATCTCGTACCCATGGCCGTCTCAAATCAGCTTATCCTGCATTGCGTCCTCGCTTTGAGCGCAACACATTGGCAGAAGCTTCAACCCGACATGCGAGATAGGGCGTTATACCACAAAGGGCAAGCGACACAATCTTTGGCCGGTCTCCTACCCCATGTCGATGGGGGCTCAGTGGATGTTGCGCTGGTGTCTTGTCTGCTTTTGTGTATGTCGGAGCTGTTCGATGGTACCTCGGCAGGATGGAAGCTTCACCTCCAGGGCGCAAAACGACTCCTGTCAACAGTCAAGTCCCAGACTGGTGGTAATTTGGCAGGGCACTTCAAGTTCTTTGTCAAGCTAGCACGCTTTCTAGACAGTGCAGCAACTACAAGTACCTGCAAGCCTCCTCTAATAGATGACAAGACAGTAACCACTACACCTGAGCCGACTGAAGATTCTAGCAATGATGATGCTGCAGTTTATGGAATACCGAAAGAACTGTTCCACATGGTCGATCGTGTGAACAACCTGGCTAGCAAGAGAGGAACAAGGGTTGATGAAGCATCGGAAGCCTTGTTTCGCCAAGAAGCTGAAATGGTTCAAGGTCGACTGGATAATTGGGCCTATGATTACGGTGGACTCGCTGGCGCTGTTGCATCTCTGTCACCAACAAATGACGACGTACTCAATGCAACGACTGCATACGAATGGGCACTCCGGCTCCGACTTCACCAAATCACAGAAGGATACTCTCTGACAGAGAAAGTATTCGAGTGTGTCCAGCACATTCTCGACTCAGCACAGAAGATCCGTTATGGCAGTCCTCTCGAGAGCTGCCTATTGTTTCCTCTGGTGATGGCAGGCGGTGCATGCAATTGTCTTGAGCAGAGGATGGTGGTGCAAGACAGGCTGATGATTATGGAGCGGACTTGTGGATTTGGGTATGTACACCAGAGCCGTGAGCTGGTTGAGACTGTTTGGAAGAGAAGGGAAACAGAGACCATGGTTAATTGGGCTAGGATTCGATATGAGGAGATGGGTGGATTAGCACTCTACTGATAACAATGCACAGTATTACGAACAAACGCAATTGTACTGGTGAGACATGTAATTGAAAGGCTATGAAAGAGAGGACTATTTTAAACAGGCTATACACAAGCTCTAAGTCACCCCTACGAAGAGACTTCCGCATCATTGACCAGCCCGGCGATATGAGCATGCATATCATAAGCACAAACCTCATCAATCGTCAACATACCCGGCTTCGTATTCTTGCTCGACCAACCAATCCTTTCATTCAGATTCTCTCTCGCACGCTTGCTCGCTTCTTGCAATCTTGTAGCACGTGGCTTTCGCTCCGCCTCATACAACTTGAGACGCTGCTCAACGGTCAGGTCTGAATACTTCTCTGAGAACAGAATACCCAAAGCACCTGCATCTTCGATTGCCATGCATGCGCCCTGACTTTGGTCAGGCATCATGGGATGCGCAGCATCACCGAGCAGTGTGCAGCGGCCTTTTGTCCAGTAGGGATAAGGATCGTGGTTGTATAGACGCCACATCTTGATGTCTTCTGCGTTGAGGAAGAGCTTGATGAGCTTGGGGTCCAGCCCAGGGAATGTAGAAGCAAGGACGTCGCCGGTAGTGGAGATGTTCCATCCATCTTCCTTGGTGTCATTCTTCTCAGCTGGGTAGAAGCAGTAGCATGAAACAACGTTGTTATCGCTGCATGCTGACAGAACGATCTTGGTCTTGGTGTCACCTCCCCAGAACTCAATTGCCTCGTTGTTTATGTACTCCTCCAGACCGAGATCGCGAAGCTTGTCGGCGTAGATGATGCAGCGATAACAGCAAGATGTGCTGGGCACGAAGTTCGGAATGACGCCGAGCTGCTCACGCATCACACTTCGGATACCGTCGGCACAGATGATAGCATCATGTGTAGCCTCATTACCATTCTCAAAAGTGATATGGCCAGTTTCAGTGTCAAGCTTGGATGCCTTGTGCCATGTCTTTAGCTCAGCAGGTCGGCCTTTGCCACTTTGCGACAAAGCAGTGTCCTTGAGGTGATTATGCAAATCGATTCGATGAAAGTTGTTGTAGTCTGTACCGAAGCGTTCGCGATAGTCTCCCAAAGGGTATGTGCCTTCGACTTCTCCAGTAGAATAGTCGTGGCGAATGAGGTTGCGCAGGATGACTGGCTTGGCAGCGGGAATGTCAACGTCCCATTCTTCCAAGAAGCGGGAGCCATTGGAGGCGACTGAGAGAGATGCACCGACTTCACCACCAAAGTCGTAGCGCTCGTAGAGAGTAACTTGGTGGCCAGCTCGTCGGAGGGCGATGGCGGCGGAGAGACCACCAAGACCGGAGCCGATGATGCCTATTGAGAGAGACGTTTCTGTTCGTCCAGGCATGTTGTGTTGTGAAGAGCTTGTATGAATAAGTTGAGGCTAAAATTGAGCCGCTTGGCTTAGTGATACAGAGAGGTGCTACAAGATGCAATGAAGTACTTTGTAAGATGTGATTGAGTGTATTGATGAGAAGATTGTAATTGAAGTTCTAATTATATGTATCGTAGTCTTATGCCCGGCGCTCAAGTCATGTCATTACTCTCGTCTCACATCATACCAACCCCAGACTGTTCCGCCCTCCGACAACTGAGGCTGAAGACCACTATCTCAAACCGCGCGGACCGCTATCAACACGACGAACCCAAAAACCATCCCTGAGACCTTGAAGCGACGGGCGGGGAAGTAATCCGCATGATTTCATTGGTCCCGCCCATCAGGATCCGACGGTTGCAGCTTTATCGCGGTCTAGCCCAATCTAGATAGAGTTTACCGACTTATCATCATTCCCCAGGTTTTTGAAGTCTAGGCTCGGAGCTATGACTTGAACTTTGTCAAGATAACATTGCGACTGCTCATGTTTGGCTGGTAGACGTCGTAAAGGTTGTATCGCAGGTTCGAGGTACTTAACCCTGTCTTGTCGTCCCATTGAGGCATCTCCTTTTGGCTTCAGTACAGGCTGCCTTCGTCTATCGATCGCTACCTTGCCACCAATTGCACTCTTCGTTCAACTATCTGACTCTTACTTCAACTCACATCAACCATTTGTGTAGCCCGATAGGTGAGTACCTAACAACTTGCACTGACTGCATCTGTCTAACATCTTCTTGGCAGCTTCACCATGACTCCCACCGACAACGAGAAGATCCCAGACATAATGCGTCCTCCCTCCGTCACCAAGGGCTCAGTCCAAGATGTCATCAGCGAGACATCTCTGAAGCCAATCACTCGCAAAGTCGACTACCACCTCGTTCCTCTCATGCTCGTCTGTTACTTTCTCCAGTTCCTCGACAAAGTCCTCATCAACTATGCCAACATCATGGGTCTTTCCGAGAACCTCCAATTCACAGGAAATGATTTCTCCTGGATGGCCACAGCTTTCTTCATTGGTTTCGCTGTTGCTGAGTTTCCTCAGGGTGTCTTGATCCAGAAGTTTCCCGTCAGCAAGGTCCTTGGCCTCAACGTTGTTCTCTGGGGTATCGTTATCTGCTGCTCGTCTGCCGCGCACAACTTCCCTGGTATGACAGCTGCGAGAACTCTTCTTGGCATGTTCGAAGCAGTTATCTCACCTGCCCTTATCATGATCACTTCACAATGGTACACCAGAAGACAAGCGACCCCAAGAACCGGTATCTGGTACTGCGGTCTTGGCATCGGTCAGACTGTTGGTGGACTGATCTCGTATGCTGCTCAGCACGGTAGCCGAACCAGCAGTTTTCAGAGCTGGCGCATCATGTTTGTGTCAGTGGGCGCCTTCAACATCATGATTGGTCTTCTTGTTTTCTTCTGGATGCCTTCCAGTATCAAGGATGCCAAGTTCCTTACAGAGCAGGAGCAGATCATGCTTCAAGAAGCACTTGACGCTGATCAGGGAGGGAAAAGCGCCAAGGTCTTCCGCCGCGCAGGTATTTGGGATGCTCTCAAGGACATTCAAGTTTGGCTGCTTTTCCTCAACACTGTTCTCATCGTCATCCCATCCGGCATCATTACAACCTTCTCTGCTACTCTGATCCGCGGCTTTGGATACGACCCCAAGCAGGCCGCCCTTCTCAACATGCCTGCAGGTGTTGTATCAGTGTCGGCCACCTTACTCAGCACTTTCGCCATCCTCTACGGGTTCCCACGATGGCTGGGTCTTTGCCTTCTCATGGTCCCGACTCTTGTTGGCGCAGGACTCATGTCCTTCTACTCCAGCAGTCAAGCTGGCTCCCTTGCTGGAATCTACCTGATCAACTTCGACGTGGCACCTCTCGCACTTATTTATGCTCTTGTCGGAGCTAATGTTCAAGGATACACCAAGAAGGTCACTACGAACGCCATAGTTGCTGTTGGCTTCTCCATTGCCAACATCATTGGGCCGCAGACTTTCCAGGCAAAAGACGCGCCAAGCTTCATCCCAGCAAAGATCACCGTCTTCTGTGTTTGTGGTGGCTCTGTGGTTGTTACTATTCTTACTAGAATTCTTTATGGCCTTCGAAACAGGAAGGGAAGAGTTTCACAGGATCTTGGTCAGAGTGGAGAGGTTGATCCGGATACCATGACGGATAGGAACAACCCTAACTTCTTCTATGTTTACTAAACAAGACGAGTTAGTTTCATAGTATTTTAGTGCTCTAAGAATGAGTTTCAGCCATCCTGATTATTGTATCTGCGCTTCTGAGAAAGCATTTAGTCGACTTGTGATGGTAGTCAGGCAAGGAGCAACACGACCCGAAGATCTTAGTAATTGTAATTCTTCAATTTGCGGTATCCAAACTAGTTGACCTCCATAATAAACTCAACATAAGCTCCCGAGTCGGCCATCGAGCCGAGACCGACCAGGAAGAACGAAATAGTCCTCCACCTCAGCCTTTCACTGCGGAATCAGGTCCATGGGCTCAAAGGTCGTTGGCAAAGAAGACAGGCTTAGCAGCATGTCGGTTGACGCGAAGGCTCAGCTGGTCGGGTCGTGAGTAATGGCCGACGATGTCCAAGTTCTGCTTCGCCTTGTACTTCTCCTCAAGGTTGATATCAGCATAAAGAATACCCTCCTCGTGAGGATCAAGAGGCTTGACAAGTTCCTCTCCGAAAGGCGAGAAGATCATACTGAAGCCACCGCCAGACTTCTTAGTATAGTCATAGCCCTTGACGTTTGCCTTCTCATGGTTCTCCTCAGTCATGATCTGACTTGCCAGAAGAACGAAGCAGGCTCCCTCCATGGAGACGACGTGGGAGAAGGCCTTGCAGCATTCGGGAGTAATATGGTAGGGCCACTCGGGGACGTTCTGAGGGAAGATTGATGGCCAGCTGGAGACGTGGATATCGACATCCTGGGAGTATTCATAGTAGCGGAGAAGTGTCTGAGTGTGCTCCCAGCAGTTAAGACCAGCAACCTTTCCGAACTTCGTGTCGGCGACATTGGTCAGAGATTCGCCCTGTCCGTCACCGTAGATAGCACGCTCAACGTGGGTGGGCTTGATCTTGCGGCGGTGAAGAACAATGGTGCCGGTCTCGTCGATGAAAGACTTACTCCGTCAGTACGCCGAGAGGTCCACTCAGTGGCACAACTCACCTGTGCGATGTAAAGAGTTCCCTTGTATCTCTCACTGTATCCAAGAACAACAAAAACACCTGCCTCTCGAACAGCAGCTCGAATCTGGTCCATCTCAGGTGACTCTCTCTCCAATGAGTTCTTGAAGTACTCGTTGATCCACGGTGCGTTCTCGGTGGGTGAGTTGGCCCAGATGCTCCTAAAAATGAATAAGCTGATCTGCCCATGTTTTGTAAGTCTGTTACATACCATGGATATCCAGGAATAAAGACTTCGGGGAAGCCGATGACATTGGCACCGTTCTTTGCTGCCTCTTGGATGAGACCGATGGACTTGTTGACACCGCCCTGGAGATCGTTCCAGACGGGCTCGGCTTGGATAGCGGCGACCTTGAGGGACTTGGACATCTTGATAGATTATGGTTGGAGTTGAAGGGATTTGTGTTGGTGGTTGTTTTGCTGATGTTTGAGTTCGACTGAGAAGGATGATGCGATGGGGAACTTGAGGATGGTTTGCTCTTGTACTTATAGTCGTGAGACTGATACTCATCGAATGGAAAACACACGACGATATTGCCTATCTCAGCCTACAACTGCCCTTGGCAGGGATTGCTTGAGGGGTCTATCCGGATACCAGATTCCCTGACGATCATCGTGGTCGGATGATTGATTCCCGGATAACCCCCCTCCTTGACCCCAGTTACCCCAGATATGCCAAAACTTAATCTCCGCACGCCGGAACTATGATATCCGCATCATAGAGTAGATCATAGTCAATGTGCCATGTAGTACGTGACAGGCATCGATCGAGTCAGAAGTACGATAGTGGATATCCTAGAAATGGATTAAGCTACATAAGCCAGACCAGTATTACCTAAAGAAGGCCTTATTACAGTCCTAAAACTAAACAAAAAAGTCCAGAGATGACTCCCCAAAACACTGATCGTACGTCCAAGACTCAAAGATATCGTCCAGCGAAAAAACATGCTCAAAGCTACTCTCCGAACCCTGATCAGGGAAAACCACCAAATCGTCCATTTCATACCGTTCAAATTGTCGCCTACTCTCTTCATTGATCTCTTGTGCGAGACCATGCGCCCAAATGTCAATATCCCATTCCCTAGCCAGCGACAAGATCGCTCGAATAGACCGGTTAGCCCAATTCCAGTTCACATTCATCTCGTAGAGAGATTTAACGCATATGTAAAGGCATCTCATTGCCTCACTTCTGCCGTTATTTCCTGTTGATTTAATGTGAAGAAGATGGATGATTGCTGCAGTGAAGGCTGGGTGGACTGCTGAGACAGGCATACACCGCTAGTAGTGGTTAGCCTGCTAGTATGGTAGATTGAGCAGGTGCTTACCGTCGTGTAGTTCTTCCTGAAGATCTGTAGGATCCTAGCCATCCTGACAGCTGAATCTCTGCAAGACTTGGAGTGAATATCCCCTCCTTCTGGGTCATAGGCAATAGAGCTCTTGCCAGGGTTGAGAAGTTGAAAGAATGGTCTGTGAAGTAATAATATTGCATGATGGTATTGCAGACTAAAGACTAGCGGTTAGTCAAGACCCTTCCCGGTTCCATGGTGCTTACTGGAACTGATAGACGTATGGCGGCGAACACTGAAGACTGGAACTTGAGATCTTCAGGCTTTTCGGCAGCCGGTCAAAGAGCCCGACAGCTTGTAGATGAGCTTTCATAACTCGATCCTCTCTCTCTTTGTCTGTCCATGCATATCTCTGGGCATATCTATATCATGTCAGTCACCATTATATCGACTTTGGTAGGGATTTCTCACAGCTGGTCGATAACTTCCGAGGTAGCAATCAAAAGCTCACAAGTGTACATCGAGTTCTCCATAATATGGCTTGTCGGAAATGGTGTTGATATCTCGAGTTGGTGGTCAGATAGCAACGGGCTGTGTTGGACGAGTCCTTTCGGTTTGGTCGTTGTGATGTTGTACTCTTGGATACTCGCAGGCCGGCCCATACCAAGGCAGTAGAACCTAGTTACACGGTCAGCGCCTCTAACTTCTAGCATTTCCAAGTAACTCACTTGTCTAGGACATAGACGCCCCAAAATGTAACGTTTCTCGCTTCGACATCATCATCTGATACTAGACCTTTGGAAGCGTATGGCGAGCAATCGCAATGAAGCCCCAGGTTCATGGCCATTCTTGTCGCCATACCGATGTACATGAATCCGAGACCCTCATTGTCGATAGTCGCCCAGTACAGGCCCAAAAGTGCTGTTGCTTGAACCGTAGATGTCGTGGGCGCTTCACACTCGTAATGAAGCATAGTCTTTGCCTGAGCTGCAAATGCTTCACCAGCCGTATTGGCGTCATCAGGGTCTGTTCGAAGCTCCAGTCTTGGAGAGTACCGCGATGACATCGCTAGAATCGCCGCCATGAGCAAAGGTGTACAGTATCGCCCATTCTTCTCAACGTATAAGTCGCGGACAAATAGCTCTCTTGGGACGATATACTGCCAAGAGTTCTGCCATCGCCAGAAAATCTCCAGTAGGTGATCGCGTAGCTCATCGGAGGGTGTGATGAAGTCTGGCATGTTACTTGCGGCTTCTATGCCCCGATTCCTAGCTTGGATCGAGGATGGTACCTTGATAGCATGATTGTGGATGATGGAAAAGTTGCTCGATGCGCCAAAATAGCGCAGCTCTCCAATCTCGCCCAAAGTAAAGCAGCCAAGAGCATTTGCGAGATCATCCATCTCTTCTTCGCTGGTGGCGCTGTTGAGGGCTGGCTGAGCAGCTTGGGTGGTAGTCACAAAAGCGACTTCTTCATGGTCACAGTTGCTGCTGTTCTTAGCAGAATCTGGTGTCCCAACATCACCATTTCGCTGGGCGAGTTGCTTCTCCAAGCTTGCGACACGTGCTTCCAACGCGTTGATATATGCATTGGTATGCCGTCTGTTCATTTACATTAGTGTAATTTCTAGCCTAATATTCTACTTACGTACTTTCGATTGCTTTCAGCTTGGGTATATTCGCAGTCCTGTTGACGATCGTAGCATGCGCTACATCTTGGCTGACTTCCATCGCACTACGTAAAGGCCGGGTCAGCTAATGTCATCAAAATGAGGCCATACGATGGTACTCGTCCGTATTGAGGCTATAGCTGTGCAAGGAGGGGAGCATTACCTTTGTTCTCTTGACCCGGCATCCGTTACAAGCTACCGAAGCCCGCTTCCTGGGGTTAGGTGGGGCACAGTAAACAGCCGTCGTAGACATGATCAAATGCGTGATTCAAAGTCTTCAATTCTTAATGCGTGATCGTATGAGAAAACAAGGAGCCGCGGCGATGGAATCTGGGGTAATAATTGCGAGTTCTCCACTGCCGTTGCTGCCCAGGCCCAGGGCGACGGAAGGTTTAATGAATCCGAGGCAAAGAAGCTATTCCGAAAGCATGATAACTTATCTGTAACCCTCTCGAAACGATTGGCATACTGGAGTCCGAGCTTCAGTGCTAGAGCTGATAAAGCTAGATCATTGGTGTCACTAGTCCTGTCCTGGGAAGCATCGTCAATTGTTGTGATAAATGTAGCGATCGAACGGTCTCGATGTCGTTACATGGATGGAGGCTTAAGTGTTGAGATAACATCGAGTTACGCAAGGTGAAAGGGCACAATGCAGATCGGTGGTTCACATCATCAAGGTTCACGAATTGAGCTTCCTACAGGACAGTGAAGGGTAGTAGATATTTAATCCACGTACGAGCCAAATTGTGAACGTGAACTGTGCTTGGAAGTAACAAACGTAATGCTTGACTACTTGGAATTGATTCTATATATAAGAGGTAAGATAAAGCACAGAAGATAGGCAGTTACATCTATCCCGAGTCTGCTATCACTTGCGTTTGCCGAGAAGCTTGTTGTTCCCCCCGCATCACCCTGCGTTAGCGTCAGGGTATTTAATACCCGGATGTTAAGGTACCGAACAGCCCAATCAAGTTGCACCTGTTTCAATATGGACTTGGTGGTATTCTGACCCCTTTTCTGTTTATCAACAAGGGTTTATCCAGGTTTCAATGACTTGTCAGAACTCCGAATCTTGTATCTGCGCCTGCTGCGGTATGTAGCTGAATCAGTGCCGAAAAGGAGACGAAATGATCACTTCGATGACGTATGAGGCCCGAGCAAGGAAGACCAACTCGTGGGTCAGATGAACCAATCAACATCTGCAGCGTGCCAATTTTGATGCTACATCCAAATAGGAAATTCATAACTCCGCCTTGACCTCTTCCCACTTTTGCCAGCCGCAAAAGGTCCCCAGTCGAGAATGGTAGCCCTTCAGATGACAAACTTCAACATGCCAACGTCGGAGACAAGGTCATGTCTTCGCAGTCAAATGGTTTTATGACATCAAGCACCCAGCCAAAGAGACAACCTCGGCGCAGTAAAGGATGCTTGACGTGCCGCAAACGCAGGGTCAAATGCGGTATGTCGTGGTCTTGAAGGGATTCTGTATCAAGTTCTCCGCTGATGACCATAGATGAGCAGCGACCAACCTGTGAGAGGTGCAGTAAAGGCTTTCACCCATGCAAATACGATGACAACCTTGTATCTGTGAATCACTTACACGATGCTGCAAAAACTGTCCGACCTGAAGATCCTGAGTCCCGGCCTCTCAATGCAATGATTCAAAGGGAAGACTTCAAACAAATACCTGCCACAATCGACTTACATGGCTTTAAGACTGAAGTGGTCATATCCTTCTTCGTGAACAACTTGTTTGTCCTGGTCAAGTCACCTCTCGAAGACGGATCACCAATTCTCAATCTTTTCTCAGGCGAGGCAAACTCAACAACAGGCATTTCAGGCTTATGTGTTGCAGAAGCCTTCTTCTCTAGTATTCACGGTATACCTGAGATGAAGTTCCATGCTTCTGCGCTGTATGGACAAGCTGTACAAAGACTGAAGGCTGATCTTGGAACGAGGACCGAAGCGTCAAGGTCTCTCCCTCATACCACCATATGGAGTGCGCTGTTCCTTGGCGTATATGAGATGATTTCTTCGGATTCCATGTCAAACTGGCTACAACACTGCCATGGCGTTGCAGTATTAGTACGAGAAGCTTATCATGATTGTTGATTAGCTTTTGCTAACGTTGGCAGACGGAAATGGCAGGACCTTATGGATTCCAGATGGACGCGGCTAAGCCCATTCTGCAGATCAACAGATCATTCATAGTATGGTATCTCACATTAAAACTGGTAAATTGCTAACACTTTACAGTCTATTGGGGCTATGGCCAATCGAAAGCGCACCTTTCTGGAACAGGATGAGTGGAAGCATATACCATGGGCATTGCAACCCATGTCCAAGACGATTGGGGATTTCCTACAAGATATTTTATGCGACATCCCTGGCATGATGAAAGACGTCGATAGTCTTGCAAATATGAATACTTTGTCTGCAAACCTTCTGAGTCAAAAGCTGCAGGCTACTTTTGAGCAGCTTAATTCTTTACGAATCTCATGGAACTTCATGTATCCTCATAGTTGTTGGAGACAGAAGATGGTGCGCGAATCATCAGAACTATGTCATGACACACTGGGGCAATTAATATGCTTTTCTGACCTCGAAAGAGCCATCGACTTCGTTTACTTCAACACAACCCACTTGATATTGCATTCAATATTGGGACAGTTGATATCATTACCCAACAGCTGTTGGGTCTCCGATGCAGGTATGTCTCCCGACGACAACCAATTTCAAGAGGCATCAGATCTCGTGTTCTGGAACCATGAAAATCGGTACCGCAACGCACAGGCGATATGCCAATGCGTTGATTATATGTTGCAGAACGAAGGCGGAGCATCAGGAGCGTTCAATCTGCTATTCCCACTGAAAGTCGCTTATAATCACCTGAGCGGTTCTCCGATCATGCAAAAATGGGTTGCAGGTGCTATGGAAAAGATATCTACTACGAAAGGACTTTTCATTGGGATGCAGATCCTAGAGAAACATTGAGAGCTGCTTTGCTTTGCCTCCGACCTCAGCTTCACCAGCGCTCGCCATCAGCGCACTAGTTGCCACTAAAGGCAGCAGTAGGCAAGGTTGGAAGCTGTTCAGTGAAGTAATCAACCGTTCTTCCAATGGAATATAATAAGAGCCACTCACTGATCATTTGTGCCGGCGATTCCGGATCATCATAAGAAAGCGGGATTCTCAGCTTCCGTGGTGGGGCTGGATCGCGAGGTGCTGTCTAGCGTGGCTCCGCCGAAGCTGACGGATCATCATTTCACATTACTCTTTCAGGAACTGGAGCGCGAGGTGAAGTGTTAGTCCAGCTCGAACATGGCACTGCCATTGATTAAAGAGATTATTGAATTATGAGCGCATTTGCAGCAAGATTATTATAAAACATTCCCTTCTCGCAGTCTCGATCAAGTCTATCAAATCAGCAACGTCCTCTCTTTCATTGTCATCATGCAGCTCAAGACTTTTACGTTTCTTTTCGTGGCTCAAACTGCCATTGCCAGCCAGATAAAATGGGCAGGGTAGGTTGAACATGATAATCTAATTAAGGAAAAGATGACTAACATGAGCAGTGTCAACTTGTTTGGTCTCGCCAACGATGTCAACATCCTCGGATCAGCTGACAACACCTTCCTCGATCTGTCCTGCGAGCCAAGCTATCACAGCTATCCTTACATCAACACTGTGGAGGATTACGAGTCATGGCACGATAAAGGCTTCAACCTCTTTCGAATCGCTATGGCTTGGCAGCATGTTCAGACCTCGCTTGGCGGTAGCTTGAATGAGACCAACATGGAAGCAGTTGACAAGCTGGTCAAGGTCATTACTGATGATGGTGGGCAAGCCATCGTGGACATTGTAAGTTCAGACAGTATGCTCTTTCAATTGTTCACAAACTGAATATTCTAGCACAACTATGCACGTTGGTACTGCGCCGTGATTGACCAACCTGAAGTGTCATTCCTCAATCCCAACATCACCGTTACCAACGACCACTTTGCAGATCTCTGGACAAAGCTTGCTGAGAGATACAAATCAAACCCCAAAGTAATCTTCCAACTGATGAATGAACGTAAGTCAGACTCCTGGCACTCCTCAGCCCATAGTCCAATACCCGCAGTCAAACTGACAGATTTATCTAGCTCATGATCTTAACATCACCAAATGGGGCGCGACCAACCAGGCTGCAATTCTTGCGATCCGAAAGGTCACCGCAAAACAGAAAATTCTTGTCTCAGGAACACAGTTCGCTCGCCTCGTTGACTGGGAGGCTTTCTCTCAACCAGGCATCGGTCCCGGTCTGATTCAAGACCCCGCCAACAATACCCTTTACGATTTCCACCAGTACTTTGACGATATTGCCGGCGCATATGGTCTCTGTGAACCTTGGAGCGGTTATGTAAAGAGGTTTGAGGCAGTGACCCGCATCTTGCGCCGCAGTGGCTTTCAAGGAACCGTCACAGAGTTTGGTGGCGGGCCTTTTCCTCAGTGCGCCGAGACCATTCAATCTATGCTGGCATTCCTTGACCGCAACAGTGATGTATGGTATGGATGGACTGCATGGGGTAGCTTCAATGAGGGCTCGGATTTGTACCTGAGTTTGGACAAGAACTCGACCTACAACCTTATCACCAGGACTCTGGAGAAGTTCGTTCCGAAGTAGAATCGTACAGCTGATGGAATCTGAGGAAGTTGGCTCAGTATGACAAGAAGATGAGGACAGAAGATTGTATTTTAGAATTATTTACATGATGAAAGTCAAACTACGTTTCAATCAGATAGAATTCAATAATATCGTTACTTATTTAACTTTGCCAGTTTAAGAGAGAAACAATACGTGTTCTTATAAGAAGGCGCCACTTCATTTCTCCGGCTTCTGTCCATATACAACATATCTACACAAGGTTAGCTTAGTGCATTGCCGATATGGTTCCTTGACTTACATAGGCCAGTAAGAATGAATGGTTCTGTCTTTCATTTCGCGGCGAACCTTGGCGAGTAATACATCCAGCTCTTCTTTAGTCCAGCCGAGGACGCGTGTATAGACAGCAGAGCTAAGACCTTCAAGGCCGGAGCTGATGTTTTCGAGATTCCAAGCACCTACCCACGGTCAGTTCATTCGCAACCCTAGGATACTGAAGCAAAGAGTGATGCTTACCAAGCTCCTTGTGCTTCTTATCTCTCGGCCAAGTATTCTGAGGCCATTTGAACACGACTTGTTGAACATTCTGAAAGCCCTGGGCTTCAAGCTGTTCCTTATACTTATTTGCCCCGTCGAATGGCCTTCCAATCATCTTTGTGCCGCCCAACAGCTTAGTAACCCATTCATGAGTTGCTGAGTCTTTTGTGAGAGTTCCATCATCGCTGGTAATTGGGTAAATATCGGCCAGTTCGATCCAGCCGCCGGGATTGAGATTTTCATATGCCTTCGCGAAAAAGCCGGGCCAGTCAGCAATAGACGCAGTCATCATGCGACTGTAGATGAAATCGAACTTGACATGGAATGTCCATGGCTCTTCAATGTCGTCGACCTGGAAGCTCAAGTTGGGAGGGACGAAAGGACTTTGGATGGGGCTGAGGTCAATCCCGATGACTGAAGCACTGGGATGCTCATCGGCGAAGTCCATGGCCCAAATACCAGTCCCGGTTCCAATGTCTAGTACATTGTGCAATTGACGACCTTCGCGACCGGCGGGCGATAAATAAAGCTTATCATTGAAGGTGAGAAGAAATAGATGATGTTGCAAATCGAGCCTATCCTGCTCCTGCTCATCGTTGGGGATCACATACTGCCCGTCTTTGTAGGCGTGATATGTGCGACCATTCTCTTGACGATATTTCAGAATGCTTGAGGTAATTGAAGAAGTGGAGCTCCCTTCAGTTGAAGCAAAAGAGTCAGTATCGCTGGCAGTATCAGTCTCAGCCTCGTCAACTTCTAGCGCCACGGGATCGGCGGTCGAGGTAGGATCAGCCATTATCAAGACAGCAAAAATAATGTTTGAGGGATAAAACTGGATGTCATGATTGGAACGTGAGGGGCAGTTCACATGCTGGCTCGGTTAATTGTCCTGATGTGTATATTGTTGGAACCAACAGACTGGGGTTCCCCAACAAGGGTGATGAAAGGTTAATTGATCGATTCTACCGAAGTGGCTATTCTACGATATTGCATGATCAGAACGTGAAAATCTTGCTAATACCCTCTGCAAAGTTCTTGGCTAGAGCTTTGTGAATACCAACACCCGCATGATAAGTATCAGTCCAGAGGCAATCGTTCCCGCCATAGCATGTCGCGTCCTTGGCACCATACTCTTTAAAGTTTTTCACCGCGGCGTTGAAAGTTGGTTTCGTGTCAAACACCGTCACTTCGATGCCTGAGCCATTCTTTGCAAAAGCAGCAGCGCGCTCAGTCAGGGCTTTGTTATAGGCAATGATGTCTGAACGAAGCGTCTTGAGGTCCGACTCAGGCTGTCCGTTCATAGCTGGGATTTGATCCGCGAAAGCTGACATGAAATTAACTTGAGTCATTGGATTAAGGAAAGAGACATACGAGGAACACTGAGAAGAGCAAACTTCTTCAAGCCAGTCTCAGACAGAGTCTTCAGGAGCTCAAAGTACCGATCCATGGTCTTCTCAACAGGCGCGGCTGATTTCTTCCAGAATGGCTCGCCGAGATCATTGATACCAATCCAAACCGCAACAAGAGTGTCTGCAGAACTGATTTTGTCTGCGACATATTCCTTGTACTGAGCAACCTGATCATCCACGCAGTACTGTGCATATGTCGAGACAATTTCCTTGTCAACCGTAGCGCCCGTAACAGCAAAGTCATAAGTCAGGACCGTAGACGTGTTCAGCACGCTAGTCAATTGGCCCACCCAGTTCAATCCATTTGCCGTTGTTTGTCCTGGTAGAGAAGGATTTCCGAGAGGGCTGCCAGCGCTGGGCAAGTCACCTCCGGGCCAGAAGCCAACAGTAGAGTATGAATCGCCACTGAGAGTTTTATAAGAGCGATAGCTTCAACAATTCGACAAAGAGATAGCTTACAAGATAATCAGGTTTTTGGCAGCACCAGCAGCTCTGGACAGTACAGGGATAGCTGTCGCCTGGGACAGTCCAGCTGCCAGAATCAAAAGTTGAAGAAACGACCTCATTTTATGAGTATAATACAACGAAAAGAACGAAAGAAGATGGGGAAACAAAAACAGATAAGTTCCCAAACGTGACAAAGGCGTTTTAACCTTTAAACTGATCATCTTGACCCGCAACGTCCCTGCCAAGATGTTACATCCGGAAGATTGGTGACGTTTCATGATATAGCGTCCGATTGGTGGAAATGGGATAGTGATTAGAGCGGCGACTGGTTTCTCGCTTTCGAAAAACGCATTCAAGGTTGGAGAAATATGAAATATAATTATAAAGTAAAGTAAAGTATTGGTATTCTTTTAAAGATAAACAGTTTAAATACAAAGAAAGAATAAGCATAATATTATAAGTTAAATTAATATAAATTTAAAATAAATCTAGATAACATCAATGGGAAACAAGGAATTCGGTTATAATTAATTGTGTAAGAGGGGGACCCTTAACTAGGCTGATACCTAGTAATAACTCTATTCACGGTCTATGGGAAATATGGCGATGGCCATGAACGTGGAAAGTACAGCAGTACGAATTCGTCTTGCTGACCATCACAGCCTATTCATCGTACGGATCTCGCTAGTAATAGCTGATCGCAGACTGAAACAGATGTGCTATTTGACACCTGTGACTGAGAGCTTATATTCACCGCATAGAACTGAGCAGATTGAATCATTCAGCTTTTCTACGAAAATATATGACTCGTAGTGAGGTATGGCGATAGAAAGATGACACATCACTCTTGGATAAGAGTTGGAGTCGAGAGAGCTAGCCGATTTGGAGACGGAGTTGACCAACCGGGCGAAGGGGAGTTTTTTTGGGGTAGGTTGGAGATGTTGGAGCAACATTGAGATGCAAATGTGGCGAAGATGAACCAAGAGGCGAACAACAGACATAGAGTGAACTATTCGATTTTTCTTCTTATCTCGTCTTGATTAATTGAAAATATCCCTTCCTCGGCTTGATCCTTATCAATCTACCTCGGCATTCTTTAATGACCCACAATCACGACTTTTGCTTGTGGGCCTTAGTCTAATTTAGAATCACATGGCACCGAGAACGTCTCCTGATTTTTGCTTATATCCTTTGGCATTTTAGTTTTTTCATTTGTAGTCATTCCTTCCTTCCCATTCTGAATCTGTATCTTTAACATAGGAACTATATTCTGATCGAGTATACCCTTTGTTTATCTTATACCCTATCGCGCAAATTTCTTTCTTTATTTTCTCCATCAAGTCTTTTCGAGATGACCAGTATCGATAAGCCACTATCAGAAAGCCAGGCCTCGAGACCTGGTGACTTCGAAGCTGTCAGAAAGTCTATCATTGATCTTCTCCGCCAGCCTGACTACGACGATGGAAGTGCCGGCCCTGTTCTTGTGCGCCTAGCCTGGTAAGTCCATCGGGACTCGACAAACGTCAGCTGGTGACTAACGCAGCCTACAGGCACTCTTCTGGCACATATGACGTAGAAACAGACACCGGAGGCTCAAATGGCGCTGGCATGCGCTACGAAGCTGAGGGTGGTGATCCTGCCAACGCCGGCCTTCAGAATGCTCGCCTCTTCCTAGAGCCCGTCAAGCGTCTTCACCCATGGATCACATACTCAGACCTATGGACACTTGCCGGCGTGACTGCCATTAGAGCCATGGGAGGCCCGGAAATCGATTGGTTGCCGGGGCGAACCGATTTTGTAGACGATAGCAAGCTTCCACCTCGCGGCCGTCTTCCTGATGCGGCTCAAGGAGCAGACCATATCCGAGACATCTTTTACCGAATGGGCTTCAACGATCGTGAGATCGTGGCCCTCAGTGGTGCACACAGTCTCGGACGCTGCCATACGGAAAACTCGGGCTTTGAGGGTAAATGGGTCAATAATCCGACACGATTCTCGAATCAATATTTCCGCCTCCTGCTGTCCGAAAAATGGACTGAGAAGACAGTCCCTGAATCTGGTGTTACTCAGTTCTCCTCTGTTGACCCTGACACAGAAGAGGAGTTGATGATGCTCCCAACCGATATGGCTCTGACAACAGACCCCGAGTTCTCCAAATATGTGCGTCTGTATGCTGATGATAAGGAATTGTTCTTCAACGACTTTAAAGCAGCATTCGCCAAGCTGTTGGAGCTGGGAATAGCAAGAGACGCAGAGGGGAACATAACGAATAGCGACAACGAGAAGGGAGGGTATAGAAGCGCGCCGAAAAAGAGCGATTCGGTCTCAACTAATGCAGGATTCAGGCAAGGAACCAAGACAAATGGTTGCCCAGTTATGCACGCCAGGGCAAAGCTTTGACGTATTGTATGTTAGTTATATCCACGTAGAGTATGGATGGGATAGAAGATAGACAAGTATAATTAGATAGCTATAGATTTGTTTGTTTATATAATTATGCATAAACCTCGGAATTTATCTGCTTAAGGGCTTCTGGTGACCTTATTTTGCTGCCTGCAGTCTTTAAATTCTGAATGATCCGCATAGGTCGTAATAACTCTGCTACATGGATGTTTGGTAGGTGGTATTATTGATTGAGTGCCTCATTGTTGGATTATAGCGATCAATTTAATGTCGTTAACTGTACCCAGTCCATCTTCTTCGAGTCCAGTAGTCAATTTGGGAGGGCTGACAGCTGAATTTATTGCGCTCTATGCCTAATTCGGGAGTGTCCCAGCGCGATAAAAAACGAGCAGAAAAAGTTACACAATTCTGACATCATAACGTGATCTGATAGGCTAGCGCCAAGGAGCGGAAAATCCCTCCTCCACTGCCATGGGGCTTTTCTTCTCAACTTGATACTGGTATTAAGTCTGTGAAGCGAAGAGACGTCGTATTAGCGACCAGTCCGTGCATTAGATCAGGTACAAATGAGACCCATGGATCCGGCCAAGGAGCTTGATGCTGCCGTCCCCACCATGAACGACATGCTCGATTTCTTGCCCGTCCCCACTCTTGTGGTGTCACCATCGTATCGCATCCAAAGAGCCTCAGCCGGCTTGCTCGAGGCATGGGGGCGTAGGCGCGAGGTACTCGTCGGCCAAGACCTCTTCACTGCCCTCTATCATGGATCGCCTACCGAAAGGTTCGATCGTATTCCCTTTGTCTACGCGATTGAGACTGCACTTGAGGCTCGAGCTCTCCGTCTATGCCATGCAGCCTATGTCGCGAATGGAATTTCTTGGACTGCGCGTATCATGCCCGTGCACAACGGCGATGAGCTGTTGTGCCTGGTCATAGAATGGGAACAGGATGAGCTTCACACTACAACTTTAAACGGCGAAATAACACAGAGCTGGCTGCCTATTGACGATGCTTTCCGCATCCTCGTCCAGGCTGTTAAGGATTATGCCATCTTCCTGCTCGATACTCGCGGTAACGTGATGACCTGGAACACCGGAGCAGAGCTAAACAAGGGCTACAAGAAGGAAGAAATCATTGGCAAGCACTTCACAACCTTCTATGGCGAAGAAGATATCCGGTCTCGGAAGCCCGAAAGAGAACTCGAGATTTGCTTGCGTGAAGGCAGGGTTGAAGATGAGGGCTGGCGCTACCGTAAGGATGGCAGTCGGTTCTGGGCCAACGTCGTTATAACGGCCATCTACAAGAACGACATCCATGTTGGTTTCGGCAAGGTCACCCGGAATCTCACTGAGCGAAAAGAGGCAGAACTGCGGCTTACTGCTGCTTACGAGGAGAGCACGAAGTTGAAGAACGATTTCCTGGCAAATATGAGTCACGAGATCCGTACGCCTATGCATGGTGTACTATCTGCCTGCTCCTTACTACTGGATAGTCGGCTCACTGAAGAGCAACGGGAGACGGCTAATATGATTCAAGAGAGCGGACAGGTCCTATTACGCATCATCAACGATATCCTCGACTACTCAAAGATTGCGGCCGGCACCTTTCCCGTCAAGAATGAGAGGCTGGATATCGCGAATGTGATTACATCGGCTGTACGCAGAGTTCAAACTACTGTGCAGCCCGGAGTATCTCTAAAGCTGAGCTTATCACCAAACTTGCCAAAATGGGCAGAGGGGGACGCTTTGAGGTACCGCCAGATCTTTGAGAATCTCCTCAGCAATGCTGTAAAGTTCACCGAGAAGGGATACATTTCGGTGAATGCATCGATGCTCACTGAAGACGAGACCAGTCTCACGATACAAACGGAGGTCTGGGATACCGGGCATGGCGTGACAGAAGCCGACGCGCAAGAACTGTTCAAACCCTTCACGCAGCTCGATACCCCACACCAGAAGCGGCGCCCAGGAACAGGTCTTGGGTTATCAATCGCGAAATCACTTGTTGAGTTGTTGGGAGGGAGCATTGGATATAAGCCTAACCCGGAACGGCAGGGCAGCATCTTTTGGTTCTCATTCAAGGTCAAAATGCTCAGTAGCCTTCGTCAGGCCGAATCTATCATCGCTCCACCAGGAGGCAGTAGTGAATTACCGCAACAGGAGCTTCAAGGAGGCGAGGATCTTGCGACGCAACTGGAACAGTTATTGAAGATCTCACCAACAAAGAGGATCCTTGCGGCTGAGGACAACATCATCAACCAAAAGGTCCTAGTCGGAATGCTGCATGGCTTTGGCTTTAAAGATATAACCGTTGTTTCAGATGGCGCTCAAGCTGTGTCGTCACTATCCGCGGCGGCGAATGCCTTTGACTTAATACTAATGGATATCAGTATGCCGATTATGAATGGTTACGAGGCAACACTCCGGATACGTCGTAGTAGTATACGTCTACCTATAATTGCCATGACTGCTTACGCGCTTAACGGCGACATGGAGCGTTGCTTGGAGAAGGGGATGGATGATTATATCCCCAAGCCAATGGATAAGCAAGTGCTGATGAGGAAGCTGTTGAAGTGGCTTCGGAGTCCAGGCGACGTAATACAGACATGATTAGGAGCCATTCAGCAATTTGCCTTATCACCATACTACAAGATTAGATACACAACTCATACACTTTCGGAAACACTTGCTCGGTATTATTTCTATACACAGAAGTCAAGGGTGACAGCCACATGCCTTTAAGCAGAATTGATAAGGATTGTTTGGGCACAAATCCTGTTTTAGAGAGCAATACTTCAACTCAACAGACTGGTATAGCTTCTTGTTCAATCCTGAAATTTCTTCGCGCTTTAACCGTACAAACCTTCCCTAAATCAACAAAAGAAAAGAAACAAATTACGTGGATATACACCAAGGGGATAACTGTCCACTCTGCCTTAGTGAAGTATGATGGCAATGAAGCTTCACGGGATCTATCCCCGGCGAAATATCCCCAATTATGACATAGCATCTGATTGGTGGATCTAGCAAAGGAATCATGTGCCTGGATGGGTAATGACTACCAACGAACATAATTGGCTAGGTTATTTTCATATCAATATATAAGACCATAAGCGGCAGGCAGCAACATTCCTGCAGTCTGACTTCTTCGCTATCATCTCAACGAACTCGGAAATGCGACGCAGATTGCACGGAGAAGAGCCTTGGGATGCTGGAAACATCTGGGCCATAGGCTGTGAGGAATGTTGGATGTTCCTCGCGCCTGAAAAGAGACAGCGGATGAGAATGCCGGTCCTTGATTTGGAAGGCTATATGGAACCTTCAGACTTCTGCACACATCATCTGAGTTTCGACGCTTTCAAGTTTCTGTGTAACTCAATGGAAGGTGTCAAGATCGACTCGGACGAAGGGACAGTTTTACAATCGACCCAATCGACGTTGCAGCATTTACAGGGCCAAACCCGCCTAGAGATGCTTCCCGCCGAGCTTCTGGGAGCAATATTTGAACTCCTCAAAGTAGAAGAGTTTATGGCTTTGGCCTTGTGCTCGCAAACGCTCTGCTCTCATGCCATCAGGTGGGTAAAAGGTGGTTACATCCGGTGGAAGAACAATTATTCCTGGGTCAACACTCCAATAATTTGCACTGTCGGGAGACTTCGCGTACTCCCCAAAGCGTTGCAACACATATTACCAAAAGCAACCCCTGATGATATAGAGAGAGAATCCGAGCAGGCTGGCCAACTATATAACCTAGAGACAACTCGTGCATCGATCTGGTTCGACGAATCTGTGGACAATTACGAGAGAGTACCATTCCCCTACGACTATTCATACGAAGAGGCGTTCCTCAAGCAGCTTGGAGGGGCTGTTATCCCCGAGAGCCTCCACTTACCCATGAAGGCCTGTTTGCCAACTCTCAACCTTGAACCTGGAAGCGGTTGGTTTTTGCGCAACCTGACCGATCAAGAGTACATAAGAATGGAAGCTGTAGTCACCCCTGATGACGAGGCCACTATTTCGCTGCCAGGCCGTAAGTGGCTCACACTGGATATTCTTCTCCTATGGGTCATCAGTTGGAAACCAGACTACAGAACGAACAGAAAGACGACTTGGTCTTGGGAGCAGCTCGAAACCTTTGAAGGTTGCACTGATCGAGATCTCTCAGAGGCGTGCCAAGGCCCAGGCTACGGACCAATGTGTTCCGACTTTTGGCCAATCTGGGTCGGCCCTTGGGCTGGCCACAGACTAGACGTTATTACCGAAGAAAGGTTAGATAATGGCTGGAAGGATCGGACTGAGAACATCACGAGATTAGCCCCCAAAATGCTGCGTGTATTCTATGGACGTTCTCTTGCGATGAAGAACGAACATCAAGAGTACTGGGAAGAGGCCTTTAGGCAAGATGGTGACCAATGGAAGTTCAGGGAGTCATCTCCATTTCCATGGGAGGACTTTGACCTAGACTGGGACAAGCCAAAACAGAGATTGTCTCGGATCACGTGAGTTTCAAAGTCTCTTAAAGGGCTGCACGTTGATATCAATTGCTTGATGTGTTGTGTATGGGGACTTTTACCAGTGTTTGTCACGTGTTCCATATTAGTATTGTCTAGTACTTTGAATTGACCACGAGATTGATTAACTCAACGTGCTCAATATACATTTATAAGGTAGCAAGGTCCAATAATCTCAATGATTCCGGCTGCCACCCCCGTGGAAGCATCAAAAGAAGGTGAAAAGATCCCCTTCATCGTACAAAATGTCGGGAGTGTTCTATGAGCTCTGTTTCTTGACGTGGATATTCGTCCACTTGGTAAATAAGCTCGTAATGACTGTCATGCCACAAGCCGCAATAGTAATCGCAAAAGCAACTTTGATGCCCCATGCATAAGCATGCAGTATACCATCCAACTCGGCACCGGAGAAATTCTGGCGCAGAGTAGTGGCACCAGTTTCCGTCACTGAGGCGGGATCGATGGTCGGTGCAGTACTGGACAGCTTGTGAATGATCTGGTTGATGAAGCCAGATTGCGCAGCCGTGATCAAGAATGTTCCACCGAGGGTTCGGGCAACTGCAAAGGAAGAAATAGATGTCAGCTGGTGGGACGATAAAAAGAAGGAAATGAAGACGAAGACATCTAAGGAGAAGAATAGAAGGGCTCACATATGATGATCGAAGTCACGGGAGCCATGTCACTGGGCGCAGCAAACGCCTGCGAAATGACAATAGGAACCTGGAGACCAATACCGTATCCGAAGCCCGCCAAGATCTGATATCCCACCCATTTTCCCGTTGAGGTCCCAATGTCAAGAGTATAGAACAGGCCGGATGCAATAGTGACGATCACTGAACTAACCACCAGATATGGAGCTGCAGTGCCCGTCTTTGTGATAGCTTTGCCAGACGCAAATGTCGCAACGCTGAACAACGCGATAAGGGGAATGTTTCGTACACCCGAGCCTATCGGACTCTGATTATCGATGCTCTGGAAGTAGATAGGCAAATAGTAAAGCGTGATGAAGTATGAACCAGCAAAGAAGAAGCCCCATACAGCGTTGACCCAAACTGTCCTTTGGCGAATTAGTCTTGGGGTCAACATTGCGCGCTCTCCCAGCCAGAATTCTACCCCAATCAGTGCGGTAACCATAAGAACGAAGCCGACCAGTAAGCCGATGACGACACTAGAGTTCCAGGCATGGGTCACACCACCATATTGAAGAGCCAGAAGTAAAGACAAAGATGCACCCATCACGAGCGCTGTGCCTATAAAGTCCATCTGTAAAAGCTTCTCCTTGAGTGTAGCATCGACGACCTTGACCCCTGCTGGGGTCTTGAAGGTGAGAAGAATGACGAGAACAGCCAGGCCACCAATGGGCAAATTGATGTAGAAGCACCTAAAGAAAGATTGTTAGTTCACCTCTGGCCGAATGAAAGGCATAGTTGTTTTGTAACAAGAATCTCAAGAGAGTCTACTTACCATCTCCAGCTCGCCCCATCTGTCAGTCCCCCACCGATGAGTGGACCGGCAACAGCAGCAATACCATACGACAACCCGATGAAACCAGTGTATGTAGCTCTTTTCTCGGGCTCAGCAATAAAGGCAGGAATTGTGTACACGCCAGGTGCGATACCTGAGGCGCCTAACCCAGCGATAGAACGTCCAACAATCACAGTCGTCGAGTTACGAGCGACAGCGCTGATCAAACTCCCAAGTTCGAAGATGAGGAGAGACACCAAGAAGCTTATTTTCAGAGGAAAGAACTTGTAGATCTTACCCCACAGTGACTGGAAGGCCCCGAGGGTAAGGAAGTATGCTGAGCCGTACCACGAGATGTCTTGCAACCGGCCGAACTGGTCGGTAATCTTAGGTACAGCTGTTGCGACGATGGTCTTGATCAAGGTCAGCGTTGAGGATTCAAGAAGGACTGTCTGGGGTAGCTGAGCTTACCTGGTCGAGAGAGCAGAGAGTGATACTAAGCACGAGCGCTAGCATGATGAAGAACATCTCCAAGCCTTTCGGGTATTCGATGGGCTTTTCTGCCTCGCTCACACCCTTTTCCTGATCTTTATTCGCATCCCCCTCGTTAACGTCCGGCGCATCTGTGCCATTGGCAGTTGAGGATGTCACAATGGACGGTTCTCTAGACTCGGAAGCCTGCTTCTCCTCGTCGAGGCCCATGGTTGTCAATTCGTCCGTGGTCATATTTGTTTCGTTGCCGATCATCTAGTAAGAGTGAGGTACCGATTGAGACATGTAATTTTGTCGTATGGTTCGAAAGTTGATTCGGCGACAAGATCTAAGGGGCTCCGAAGCGCAACCCCAAATTGCAGGTAGCGTTAGGTTAAAGAACAAGGCTAACGGCACCAGAACCTTTACAAATATTTTTCACGCCCGATATATAGCAAGATAAATTAAAAGGAATAGTTCTACTATATATTCCTGGCACAGTCGATTTTACAACGGAGGTAGTTGTGACAAACGCCGCGAAGTCGTTAAGTCCGTTAAAGCCGACTACCCTCACAAGGGGAAGCATTGCAGACAATCCTATACCACGTCATTGAAATGTCAGACATCATTAAAGGATATTTAGAATGATCAAGAAATTAGAATAGTTAGCTTAGTAGGTTTATACTGCATCTATTTTCTACCCTGACATGAGTTAGGCGGATCAGGGTTCTAAACTGTCTAAAGCATGTCTCAGTCAAAGATAGAAGCACAAACGAGACTGCTAATAATGACTAGTACTTAATTTAGGATGGACAGCCTGTGCTTGCCCCTCATTGACTTCTCTATGGCCAGGTGAGACGTGGAGTTGGTATTCTGTTGACCGCCAGCAGGGTGAGCCTGATTCATGAGCCGCACCGAGCAAGGGGAATGGTACAAATTCTCCGTATGTCTTAAGATATGCTAGTAAGCTTCCGACGCTACTGATGGTTCTATTAAAGGGTAGTCGTATATCGACACATCGATTTGGTGGAAGATGACGTCTATTAATGTTGCACATTTAATGAAGTAGCCTGTTGCTCTTCATTCAAGGGAATTAAATTCAGCGCACCGCAATCACACCTGATTCAGAAAAATTCCATTACGTTTCCTTGTTGCACACCAGCGCCAGACTGAATATTCGCCTTGAATGACGACCCTTCCTGCTCGTAAGCTCGAGGTGGCTGGGTAGATGAAACGCGCATTCGATTGCCCTGAATTACATCATGCACCGTCTCTATCGTCACACCATAGTGTGATCCATGTTGTCTCGCTAAGAGGGAATGGCCTGGGGGAGGAGTAACCTTTCTGTCGGTATGAATGTACCGCTTCAAGATAGCTTTCGATGTTGCAGCGGCCATCGCAGCAGCATAGTCCTGCCACTCCTTGGTCTTCTCACAATCAGCAAAGTCGGACACCCCTTTTACAATGATGCATGGCAGCTCTTGCCATATGCCTGCACCTTCCATCTCGAATGCAATGATGTTCTCAGCAGCGGCGATCCGATCACGATGTATAGCAGAGATCATGACCGTGTCGCCTGAAGCCATGGGTCCGAAGTGGATAGTAGGTGCTTGTATGTTGATGGTTTGATCAGCTCCTTGTCCTCTCAGAGCCAGTGGTTGCGGCATTGATCCAGTAACGCTAATAATTCTTTTTTCCGGCCTGTCATACCTTCCATGCTGGCCTAGTCGAGCAGCAGTCTTTTTCAGTTCCTCAATAAACGTCGCAGAGCCTTTCATGAGACGTCTCTTTCCCAAGACTGTGTGGAGGCTTTCCAGGAGATTGAGAATTTCTTTGGGTACCAGATCAATATGAGAGGTCTTCTTGCGGACAAACTCCTGATCTGTCTGGTGGCCAAAGTCATATTGAACGATGGAGTCGCTGATAACCACGTCGCCCAGACGAATACCATTTTCATCTGTGGAAGGAACGGCACCGCAAACTCCAACTAGTATTGTGAGGCAAATATTTGGGTAGCTTGTGCGTAGGTCTTAAGCGGCGGTTGCGGAGTTTACCTTTCCCTTGCCTAGCAATACGATCACGACATTATGCTTATCGATACGCCCCGTGACATACATGTTCCGATCCCCACCAGTTTTGCCGAATTGATCACCATCCTCATCCCAGAACTCATCAACTACCATGCAGACAGCATCGAACTCAAGGGACAAGGGGCAAACGACGGCGACTGCAAAGTCCTCTCGGCCGGCAGGTCGCTGGTGGCTGCTCATTTCGGGGAGGATGTTCCCTTTCTACCCTCATGTATAGGAAAAGAGAACCAGCTTTGTTCTCGAAGAGCTCGGTATTTGGGTCAGGGTCAAGAGATGTCGTGGTAGAACCAGACAAACTTTAAGCTCTTTAGATAAAGCAGAAAATTTTCCAGAGTTTTCGTTTTCTGGGTCGAGCGTGATGGGTGTTGGGCGCCCCGATGTTTCATAAGTGGCTGGAGGCTGACTGCTCGTTATGTTCAGCGGTGTGGAGTCGCCAGGCATCCAGCTCTTATGCAGCTGGCATCGTGATCGGCTAACAATACCCGAGCCTGATTCAGACATGCATGAAGTGTTGCAGGTTCTTATGTGAACGGATCCCTATGCCAATTTATTGACTTGACTCCGTTTATAGCAAAGCAGATGATACGAATCTGTTTGTCAATTAGAAATCTTCTCTTTGTCAGAACAGATGAAAGTCAAAAAGATTTGAGAGGCCACTAGAATAGCATTGGCCTTTCTTCAACTTTCCTGTGTTGGTGACAATTCTTTGTGGCTGCATATATTGTTTCGTGTCTGCAGGTGTTGACCCAATGCCAGACCTGGAATTTGCTCTGCGGGCTTGAGGCCAGGCTTGGCAACCAGGATCATGCAGGGTAAGCAGTAACCAGCACATTGCACTGCCCACTCCCTCTTTCTTCGGCAATTTATGTTGATAGCGATGTTGAGCATCAATCGTCAATATAATTACTCGACAATGGGGAATCAAAAGTCAATAAAAGAAGTGTCTTTGTTCCATCTGCTGCAGAAGCGTAGCACTGTCGTGAATAATTACCCATGTGTTGTGCGAGCATCAGATCATTCGTAAAGTGATCTGAGTCAGCTAATCAAATCCTATAACTTCTGAGTGTGCTGGGGGTTTGAAAATGAGGCTGAGCGCTTAACTGCGTGTCGCGGTAAGTCGGCGTGACCATGAGAAATTTCTTTCCCCTATGCCAAACGGCCCGCCTAGTTCTTCATCTTTCGTCGAACGTTTCACACGTCACCAATGAATACGGGAATAATAATCGATGACTAGGGATGTCCGGACCGTCGCAATCACATCAAGCTGGCTCGAAGTTTGCGAGCACAATCACCGGGCATAATGTCGACTTGGGCAACAAGACGCTGACCCGCAGAGACACGGCTCAAACAATAAATCACCACAACTATTATGGACATTCTACAGCCATATTGGAGGAAAAGGCATGTGAGCATCGCGGAGAGAAGCGAAAATGTACAGATGACGAAGGTTCGTTCTCGTTACATCCACTCGGGGGCCTCAGGCACCATGAGTCTAGACTAACCTTCTCTTGATAAGCAGAACAAAGTAGGCAAATTAATCCACCACTAGAAACTCTACTTCAATCTTTAAGATTCAATCAAATCGACGCTCGGCATGACAATATCAAGAAAGCTCATGCAAAAACATGCAAATGGATCCTCAAGAGAGGGAGTACCTCGACTGGCTGAATCCCGACATGGTCGATGAACACCATGGCTTTCTATGGATAAAAGGAAAGCCTGGAGCAGGGAAGTCCACTTTAATGAAGTTCATTCTCAGCAATGCCCGCAGAAGAATGAAAGACAAAACCATCATCTCTTTCTTCTTCAATGCACGAGGAGAAGAGTTGGAGAAGTCAACCACTGGCATGTACAGGTCACTGTTACTGCAAATGCTACAGCAACTTCCAAGGCTTCATAGTCTGCTGGATCCTGGGTTGATCTTAGGGATCGGCGAGAATCATGACTGGAGTGTTGAGGCACTGAGAACACTGTTTGAGCAAACTTTGGAAGGCCTTGGGGATTCCTCCGTGGTTGTCTTTATTGACGCTCTGGATGAATGCGATGAGTCCGGGATTCGCTCAATGGTGTCATCATTTAAAAACTCAGGTAACCTGAGCGCAGCCGAAGGAGTCGGTTTCCAGGTATGCTTGGCGAGCAGACACTATCCTCACATTACGATGCCAAAGAGAACTGAGCTAGTTCTCGAAGGGCAAGAGGGACATGACCAGGACATCATTTCGTATCTTGACAGTGAGTTGGAGATTGGCGACAGCAAGCTCGCTCAAGAGGTTCGGGCTCAGATCAAAGAGAAGGCGTCAGGTGTTTTCATGTGGGTTGTTCTTGTATCTGGCATTCTGCAACAGAAGTACGATCAAGGGCGCATCCACACTTTGAAGCAAACACTTCGAGAGATTCCAGGGGACTTACACGAACTATTTCGAGATATTCTTACTCGAGATGATGCTAACAAGGATGAATTGCTGTTATGCATCCAATGGGTTCTTTTCGCAAGAAATCCACTAAAGCTAGAGCAGCTCTATTTTGCGATTCGCTCACACACAGAACGTACCACTTGCAAGTGGGATCGAGACGAAATTGGGGAACTTGCAATCCGAAACTTTATTCTAAGCTCCTCGAAAGGCCTTGTTGAAGTCACAAGGCTAAAAAATGATCCAACTGTCCAGTTCATTCACGAGTCAGTCAGAGATTTCCTTCTTAAGGACAACGGCCTCAGGGAAATTCTGATGGAGGAGAATGGCAATCTGAGTGCAGAGAGTCACGATCAGTTAAAGAAGTGTTGCTTTGAGTATATGCAATCTTACACGGAAGAGGATGGTGCACTAGTAAACAACTTCAATGATCATCTTGTGGAAGTTCGTGTTGTGGCAGACTTTGAGTTTCCCTTTCTGAGGTATGCCGCACAGAATATTCTTTATCATGCGAATGCAGCAGAGGAGGGACATATCAGCCAGGCTAGATTCCTTGAATCCTTCCCACTAGCAAAATGGATTCAACACAATAATGTTTTCCAGGACAAAGAGGTGCGTCGACACACCATTACCGCAAGCCTTTTATACCTCCTGGCGGAATATAACTTTGGGAGCCTCATTGAGGGGCATCAAAGGAACCAATCCTGCTTTGATATCGAAAATGAGCGTTATGGCGCTCCTATCCTTGCAGCAATAGCTACGGGTAGCCGACCAACAGTCTGGAGACTACTCAAAAGGGAGACACGCGATGAGCCAGCAACGTCACGTTTACACTCCTTGTGCAATGAATACGACGTGGAAAAGAAAAGGAAGCACGGCATTGGGCGCAGCTTCAGATTTAACACAACATGGGGTCTTCTTTACTATATCTTACAAGATGACGACCTCATTGTGGCGTCGTTTGCTATTGCTTCGTCCAAAGCCTACACATATATAAACCTCCGAACCCCCCGTGGCGAGACACCGTTTTCAGTTGCCATTCAACACAGTCATGATATCTCTGCTACTTTAGGATTTCTCATTGAGAACGGAGCCCGCATTGAATCTAGAGACCAGCTCAGGCGGACGCCACTTTGTCTCGCTGCTGCAAATGGAGACACAGCTGCTGTAGCTTTCCTACTTGAAAATGGCGCTAATGTTCAGAAAACCTGCATCCATGGCAAGACACCACTTCCGTATGCTGCAGGTGGAGGCAGTGAAGAATGCATGCGATTGCTGATCTCGGGTGGAGCCAGTGTTGCTGCGACAGATGACCGGGGACAGACAGCACTTTTCCAGGCCGCGTGTAGCCCAAACGAGTCCGAAGCCAAGATGCAATTATTAATTGGCCATGGCGCAGATGTTCATAGGGCAGACAACAGTGGCAGGACGCCACTCTCACATGCGGCCCGACTTGGCGCTAAGGCTTGTCAGTTACTGCTTGACCATGGGGCAGATGTAAATGCAGCTGGCAATCGTGGTAAGACACCTCTATCATATGCTGCTTCGTCCTATGACCCTGAAGCTCAAAAGTGTGTGCAACTGCTTCTAGATCGAGGAGCAATTCCTGATATAGTTGATGGGACTGGAAATACTGCTCTGTCAAATGCGGCTACTGACACTGTTCGGGCTCTACTATCCATTTCTCTATAGTTTTCGGTTACTACTAGGAGCTTTCTGGTGTTGAATGTTTTGTCGAGTACAATGTTATGGTTTATCGGCGTTGCGAAACTGGCTCGCCGAGTTTGCCAATTCAGTACAGCCCAATATCGGAATTTCGACGGAATGCCCCCCACTATGGATACCACAGCCATAACAGCTGCCGATGAGACGTTGTCCCACTGATGGGCTGTGCCGCCTCTACATGAGCTGTGTAATGCCCTGTAACTCAAGTATAGCCAAAATGCCTTCTATATTTGGAACAGACTGCATCTGTCTCCACATATCACTCGACATCGACCATGCGCGTGACCACCTCAGATAAGATGTTATGCAGTTGGTTGAACTTTTACAAGGGTGAACCAACAGCGTGGCTAAACTGAGCAAATGAAATGGGAAACATCCCTTTGTACTGCGGGTCAATTCTGCAACGGGAACGAGCCGGAATCCTCTCCATGCATTACCTATCACCTGTCAGAGGCCTGAAGTTTGACCTCATAGGCAGCAAGTAGCTATGTAACCTCTCCACTCATGACCAGGTGTTGGTCCTGGGCATTATGGTAGGTGACTACGTACATAGTCCCAAGGGTCTCAACTACTTTATTTCCCCCATGTCCCTCCCTCCAAATCTTGTACGAGCAACCTTTTCAATATGCCTTGGAGCCGATACGATCTTGGCCAAACCAATATCTTCTATGATGAAGCAAAGCCTCCGCTTCCGAGCTTTGTGCTACCACCACATGTAGAAGACGTCAGAAGATGTTTGACGGACTTTTCTTGCCTATTCAACGAGAAGGATGAATCTTTTCATACCATCTCAAAAGATATTGGGGAAGGGATGGACCAAGGCTTGAATCCAGACCCAATTCGTAAAGCAGCAGAGAGGATTCAGCATGAGGTTCTTAGCAAGGTGGGTGGGGGTTATGCGGAGAATGTGTGGCAGGATATCTTCAGAAAGCGCTTTTTCGATCAGCTTACCGACTCTCTCTCTTTATCGAAAGAAGATTCAAGACGGTAAGTTACTTGATACGATTCCAAGGTAATAGAATCTAACCAAAGTTCCAAGAGTATCACGAAGCATATACTACTATGATCAGGTGGCAAGGTATGACTACCACGAAGTCTTATCCGACATGAATTCTTAACAAGAGAGACAGAAGCAGTGATGAAAATTGGACTTTATTCGAGTCCGGGAAGGAGGCAACAACCTCGCGATTAAGGCCAGTCAAATGTCCAAAACCCGATCAAGCTTTTTTCTTGCCTATTTATCACCATCGCAACAATAGTGGACTCCCAAAAGTGGCAGATCCGAAAGCGCGGCAATGGAGCCACGCTGGGGACTCCCAACCTGTGGAGCCTTTCACATGGTCGACCCTCCAAGCACTGAACAAATTTGGCCTTGAACCGTCTCCGTTTCGCATATTCGAGAAGTCTCCATTGGAGGCCAACCTCCGATGTTATCCTTGGCTTATAATAGAGCACAAAAAAGAGAAGGATCAGAATGAGGCACTCGAGCGCGTTGTCAACTGCCAGGGCGCCAACGCTGCGGCTTGTGCCATCAGTCTGGTCCAGCAGACGGCTCAATATGCTGTTAACCTTCCTAGACACGCACATATCCCCCCAATCCCTGTAATTACTACAGTTGGACCTTCTGTCACAGTATGGCTCATGTACTTTGCCGAGGACTTTGATGCGCCATGTAGCCGAAGGGATACAGATGAGGTAATAACAAGGAGGCGGAAAGAGGGCTACGTACGTGTTGCAATCACGAGCCTATACACCGTCAAACACTATACTGATATCGATAGATCATGCGAGCGATCTGGAAAGGCGACGTCAAAAACCTCACCGACATCATGGCGTTTCAGATGATCATCGAGAATACACACACGTGGGCAACCCGAGTCTTCAAGCCTTTAATCGCCTCGTATATCGAGCAGTGGAAACACATACACAGCGGGCAGAAGACAGGCATGGCGGCTGACCTACTGCTGACGGCCAAGTCAGAAGCATTTCGTCAGAAGACTATAGAAAAGCGAAGACTTGTCGTGCCAATGGTTCGAGATCTACTAGATGCACCTGCAGGCATGGAACTAGATGATATGGCACATAAAAAGGTCACGCCACTGTTCCTTGGTATGCTTATGCATCAGATATGCTCCACGGAGAGAGAATTCATTTCCAGCCAAATCGACAAAGCGGTAATGGACAGGCTGCAGGTCATTGTTACGAATGGCTCTACAGTTACTACTCAAGTCGAAGCCCTTCATCGAGTTGAAGCAACAGCACAATTGCCTCTCAGGAGTCAGCGCGAAGAGACAACACAGAGTTCCAATTCAACGCAAGAGTCTCAGATTCCAGAGGTCGATAATGACGATCCAGATGACTCAGACTACCATCCTACAAGCTCTGAATCACGATCAAGGTCACCCTCAGATGCCCACACAGATGATGGAGATGCTCGGTCTGAGGCTGCCGTTTCTGTAGCCTCTACTTCAGCCTTTTCATTTAGCTCCTTCTCAAAGGACTCAACGGTCGTATGGAAACCTCCGAGTGATCCTGAAACACCAAAGTCTGGATCAAGGAGCAAGAAGGGACCTGAAAGACCGGATATTCTTCATCGACAGTCTTCGCAGCCATCTGAGGACTCCGACGACGCGACGCCGAAGCCGACCACAGTGGGTCATGGGATTGATTTCAATTTTGCATCTCCAATTTCAGGCTCGCGTCTTGAGCGACTAGGAAAGAATGTACTCGACGGGCCGCCAGTGTTCGCAGGTCGATCGCCACCTAGTCAACCAAAGTGGCCACCGGGGCGAAAGTTTGTCTCACCAAAGACTCAAAGTTCTCCCAAGGCTCCCATGCATCGGGGTGACATAATTACATCCCCCCCTGCAGATCCCAAGGCGAAACTATACATTGACTTGACGAGTGATAGTCAGAGAGACCACCCAAATACCAAGGAGTAAATGGCTGGATGGTCCTGTTCTGATAAAGGGGCCTTTGGATATCATATTTCATCACGTACATTCCTTTGTCGCAGTACTCATTCTTATAGCTACACATTCTTTCCACTGTGGTGCTCTCAGATATGTAGCCTATGATTATTTCTACCTCACAATCAAATTCCTATTGCTCTGCAAGCTCTGGCTCTTGTAAAAGTAGACTGTCGCGGATTGATAATCGCTCCACGTTATGAAGATGTAATTGGGATCCGCTCATGGCTCGGCTCTTGCTGGTTAAAGTTGATATCCGACACTGATCGGATATATAGGACGCCCGTTGCTCGATTTGTCAGTTTCGCCCATGCTTGGTCCTAATTTCTAAACTAGAGTCGGCTAGATCTACTGTCATCTAAATTGCGTATTTTGTAAGACCGTGATTAACAATAGCAGGGATATGATGGCCTTTAACGTTAAAGTCTCGGCTAGCGTTACATAATGCTGGTGTACATTATGGAGCATTGCATATAGCGTACGACTTCAAATGATAATTCAGTATATAGTTATGTCTTGCCGTCCTGAGAATCCTTTTATTGATATTGACATTTACCTAATCAAGTCCCTTGAAACCCGAGTTGGGAGCCAGACAACAATCATGGGTGTAGCCAATTCTCTTCACGACACTATCCGAGACGCGCCTCTGGGACAGATTCTCCGATTCGTTACCAACAATCGCCTCTTCAAATATCCAGAAGAACATCCAGAGTTTGAGCTACCAGCTGCTTGGAATCAATTACTCAGTAACGCCGATCTCGGATACGCATGCCATACTGGGACGGAGACCCCCTCGACCATCGTCAATCCAACATCCGATCAGAATACCATTGAAGGCCTAGATATCGAGAGCAAAGCGCTCGACACTGATGGGATTACTGATGCCGCGCCAAATGCTACCGAGAACGGGGTCATTCTAGTTGACTGGTACTCAGACCAAGATCCCGCCAACCCCCAGAACTGGTCGAACCTTCGTCGTGCCCTCGTTGGCTTGATCATTTGTTTCTACACTTTTGTTGTATATCTAAGTTCAGCGATATACTCACCCTCAACAGAGGGCGTCATGGAGAGATTTGGAGTCAGCAACCTTGAAGCAACGCTCGGTCTTGCTATGTACGTTCTGGGATACGGCATAGGTCCATTGCTATTCTCTCCTCTCGGGGAAATCCCTCGTATCGGTCGCAATCCTGTCTACATCGTCACTTTCGGGATTTTTGTTATTATCTCCATTCCAACCGCTTTGGTTGATTCATTCGCGGGACTCATCGTCTTGCGGTTTCTGCAAGGATTCTTCGGGTCTCCATGTTTGGCCTCAGGTGGTGCGTCATTGGGTGATATGTATGGTATGGTACATATGCCTCTCGCTATGATTGCTTGGGTTGGTGCTATGTCTTGTGGCCGTAAGAACTCCGGCATGCTTTGTTTTTGTTCGCGTTTTCTGACTGTTTCGCAGCATCCCTTGGCCCATTGATCAGTGCGTACGCCGTTACAGCAAAGGGGTGGCGTTGGTCTTTGTATGAGTCAATTTGGGTCTCAGCGCCGGTACTGATCGCTCTTTTTGTTTGCATGCCGGAAACAAGCGCCTCTAACATCCTCCTTCGACGAGCCCAAAGGTTGCGCCGGTCTGCGGGCAGTCAGAGGCTTCAGTCTCAGAGCGAGATTGACCAGGCACATCTTACAGTCTCGGGCATAGCTGTAGACGCTTTGATCAAGCCCCTGGAGATCACCATCAAAGACCCAGCCGTCCTATTTGTACAGATATATTCGGCCATTCTCTATGCCATATACTACTCATGTAAGTAAACTATGCCTCTGTCCTGCATTCACATCTGACCATGTAGACTTTGAGGTCTTCCCATTAGTCTTTCCTGTCTATTATGACATGTCTACTGGAGAGGTTGGCCTTGTTTTCATCTGCATCGCCGTTGGGTGCATCTTGGCTATCATTCTATACGGCTTATATCTATATTACGTGCTCATACCACGAATGAAGAAGTCTGGCATCGCCCAACAAGAGGAGGTACTCTCGCCTGGACTTGCAGCCTGCTTTGGCCCGACTATTGGCCTTTTCATATTTGCATGGACGGCTAGGGTTTCCATACACTGGATTGTGCCCATCATTGGAGTCACGATCTATGCTGGTTCAATCTTCACTGTGCTACAGGTAGTATTCCTTTATATCCCCATGACCTACCCTCAATATGCTGCTTCGCTGTTCGCAGCCAACGACTTCTTTAGAAGTGCCTTAGCCAGCGGCAGTATTCTATTCGCTCATCCACTTTACAAGAATCTCGGCTTTGCAAAGGGAACAAGCCTTCTTGGTGGTCTAAGCGTCATTGGCATCTTTGGCATGTGGGTGTTGTTCTTTTACGGTGCTAAGCTACGAGCCCTCAGCAAGTTCGCTACGTAAGCTAGGGATGGGACTGTCTTTCTTTGCATATGAAGCATTGATCGTTGAGATAGACCCCCGATTTAATCGAATCAAAACTGGTGGAAGGTGTTTGGATATCGGCCAACTATGAAAGGCTAGTATCAGACCATGATTGACAGTCTATTAACAGGGCCACATCAGACTAGTCGAAGAGAACGGTGATTTTAAAAGTTGCGGGACGGAATGATGTATTATTTTAAGATCTATAGAGATTTGGACAACAACTTCTCCTCTCTGACAACATCCACTACTATCACACCTACTTCAAAACAACAGTCTTCCACTAAATCTTAAGTCCCGATACCCCATACTGAGCTGCATCTCACTAAGTTCCCGCAGCCTTAGTAGCAAGTATCTCGAAGAGACGGTTTAGCTCTATGATCCAGGTATATAGCTCGCCCAGACTCGCTGTCCTTCATGGCTGCGGAACTCTTAATCATGACTTGAAAGGAAGTTCAAATGCTATGTGTGAATTGGGAGGCTAGACTGCCTGAAATATTTTTTTGAGATCAGTTATTGAGATTGGTACAGCTGAGAGCTGACGCTCACATCGTCGGTGTTACCTCACTGTGGTTAGGGGATGTCAACTCTACACGATTGAAAACACAATACCTCTTTATGGCTGTGGTAATAGTACAGGGATCTATTGCGATGATTACGGAACAATGTATCTGAGATGCTGGTGACTATGCAGGTTTAGCTCATTGATATGAACTAGTTGAATGCATCTGTTCCCGAACCTTCCTTGTCTCCAAACCATGACCAGATATCGTGGAGAAGCAGATTAGGGACCTCAAAGGCAGCGAAATGGCCGCCATGGTCATGTACGGTTCTCTTTAGAACATTTCCTCCTCTCTTCGCCCAATCCAACGGCATACGGTAAGTCAAGTCGTAAGGGAATTGACTAATGGCGACTGGGACCTCTACCAGGGGCAGGGTGCCGAAGTCGAGTGTTTCAAAACCCCCATCATTTTGAACCTCCTTATAGAAGCGCATGCCACCGTACGGACCTTGAATCCAATACATCATCGACCAAGTAATGATCTCATCTGGAGTCCATGCCATGATAGCCGGGTCGATGACCCTGTTCATAATGGAATACATCCACATGGCGTTCCCAAGTGGCGAGTCCGTCATACCGTATGCGACGGTGAGTGGTTCCGTGGACATTATCAGTCGGTAGCCTGATCCCTGATTCTCATACTTTTCTATAATCTCGATGTATGCAACTTCATCAGGCGTTGCTTCTCCCTGTGAAAGTCGGCGAAGGTCATTATTCCCGGGCTGGATAATCCAGAAATTGCTGAGTGCCGATATCACATGCTTTGGGAAATGGTGGGCTTGGTAGCGAAGGATGACGCCACCAAAATCTCCACCTTGAATGACGTATCTGGAGTAGCCAAGTTGAAGCATCAGTTCGTTGAATGCATAAGAGGCCGCCGCGGGACCAAAGCCTGGCTGCGTCGGTGCGGGAGAGAATCCAAAGCCTGGAATCGAGGGCGCAACAACATGAAATGCTGGTACAGATGAATTTGGTGGATTCGTCAGATTTCCGATAATGTTACCGACTTCAAGGAAGGAACCCGGCCATCCGTGAACAAACAGCAACGGTATGGCGTCTGACCTTGGTGAGCGGTGATGGACGAAATGTAGCGGTACAGAATGAGTGACGTTGTCGATTTCGGGCTCAACAATAGTCGTAAACTGGCTGAATCTTCGCAAAGTATCAGTATTCATCGTTAATATTTCCGCTCGTGTAGTCCTTACCTGTTGTTGATAGAAGCTTCCGTAGCATTCCAATCATACTCATTGACCCAGAAGTCACGAACGTTTGTGAAGTTCTCAGCACCGGGGCCATCGCTTGACACATTTATGAACAATGGTGACCTTGTATGAGCAACCCGCTGCCGGGTATCCTCAATGAAGTCTCGGTCAACGTGAATCCGAAACGGCCTAGGGCCCTTGGTAAAGGTGGCATCGACATTTGGCAGCGAGGAGGGCTCTGAAGCAGCACAGAGGAGAGAGCCAACGGAAAAGACAAGTATATAAAGGCACCGCATGATGGCTTAGGATGAAAGATATGTTGGATGTATGCGTTTGGTTTTGGCATAAAACACTCTTATACATTCATTCCATGATGATGTGACCCTGTCAGATGGTCCCTCACCTACCTTCTGATTTATAAGCATTCTACATTCTTAACGAGTGTTCTCAAGGTTTAACGGTTTTATTTTGTGTTGACGAAGCACCAAGAGAGTTAATTGGGTAATCCTACGAAACGTCATGGACTTTGGGTAATCCATCTGAGTAATCAACGCCCTTCTGATGACACGACTAAGCGTAGTCGAATGCTACTACGTTAGATTATTTCCCTCCAGCTTTGGTAGCTGAGAAGATGATCTTCTTGAAAAATGCCGCAAGCGAATTTTTGTTATCAAATTTGCTCATTCACCGGTTCCGAGATTCCCGACGCTGTATCCGAAGGCGTCCGGATATAAACCACGTTGCCCAACCCAGCGATTGCGCTCGGATTACTCAACTGCTTGATCAGATAAACCGCGTACATTGGATAATAAACTGTGTAAACTGAAACTCCCGTTCGATTCATACACAAGAGCTTAAGGTTGTCTGCAAGTACTCTAGTCCTCTTTATCAGTACAAACGGACTTATGCCCACTATTCTAGCAACTTTCTGGATGAGAGAAAAATGCAAAGGCAATAAAACTTCAAATTGAATCTTGGGACTGTATCCGAATGATCACGGAAGTTAGGCACCACAATCAGACTTTAGGACATTTGTAATCTTGGAATCCCTGGTGGAGACTCTACAACCCTTCACGTTATTTATCAACACCTCTCAATATGGTACTTTGTAACGATCTTGGCCATAAATAGGCCATGCCATCATTCTCTCGCTATTCTGTTATTTATTGACTTACACAAATACCTACTGCAGAATCTATCTTTCATCAACTACAGTCATGGCTACCGTTCAGTTCGGCATTCTGGCCTATGCGTATCAGGTAATTGACGCCAGCGGACCTATGGACCTCCTCAACTCGGCCAACAAGACGGCATTCCTAATTAATCGAGAGTACGGACCTGTTAGCGATGATCTCATCTCACAGGCACCACAATTCACATTCCACCATATCGGCGTTACCAGAGATCCTGTTAAGCTCGGCACCGGTCAGATGACTATCATCCCTACAACCTCAGTTGATGACTGCCCCGAGCTCGACATCTTGCTTGTTCCAGGACCTTACCTCGGTAACTTCGACTTGCATCCGAAGCACGCCGAATTCATACGTAAACATGTCGCTGCCGGCAAGTTGCTCTTTACAAGCTGCACAGGTGCTAGTCTTGTCGCATCCACGGGTGTTTTGAACGGGAAGACAGCTACTGTCAACAACATCGAATTTGATTGGGTCCAAAACCGCTGGCCACAAGTCAATTGGACACGAGAGAATAAATGGGTCATTGATGGGAATATCTGGACTGGATCTGGTGCTGTTGCCGCTATGGATATGGTGGCTTACTGGCTCAAAGAAAATTATGGCCTGCCTGTGCTCATTCAGGCTGCCTCGACACTGGACTATGAGCCTCGGGATGCGGATGGTCTGTTCAATGTTTTGCCTCAAAGATATGATTCTAAGGGAGAAAAGACTTCTACTCACGTATTTAAGTATTACGATTCTTAGATAGCACGACTCTCACAGTAGAGAAAGCCCCAAGTTGCAATAAAGTACACTATGCGGAAGAGTTAATAATAAACCCGTTTCGTTACCTCATAAATCTCCGATGTCAGCATTATTTCCGCTTGGTTATTCCCTCTCGGGCCGCTTCCCCTCCCACTTTTTGTCACCGCTTATGCTCCCCGCTTATACGTCGATCCCTCAAATCTCATGGTTGGTGTATCGGATTGAGGAAGCTTGCGGTAACTGACGGGAACAGATGGGTTAGAGCCTCTGCTGTCAGCTTGCACCTGCTTATGCTCCCTTACATGATAGTCAACAACAGCTTTTCCCTGACCTTCTGAGGAGGGTTATAGCAAATAGGAAAGTCCCCCTCGTACCAGCCTCGATCTATCTCGCCGAGAAGTGATGTAGCTCACAAACACAGCATTCTCAGTCTACGGCAGTCACGACACAGACGCAACCCTATGTAGTCACTACTGAACAAGGATGAACAAGGATGGAAGCATAAGCAGTGCCGGTTGCCGTTCACCGTATAACTTCTTGCCAGTGAGGAGCCAATCACAGTTCTACCTTGGAACGGAAACCTCAGTGAGCCGCGCGTTGCTACCCATCATATGGTAACAATTTAGTCAATAACGAGAATCAAGGCAGATGACAACTACTGCTGTCACTTCTGGGCGTTGCCGAGTCTACAGACCCCCTATGGCAATACATACATGCATGAACTCCACAGTTACGCATGGAGTTTTATGGGTTGGAAATCCTAGAATGATGCACCTCATTTTCCTTTTGACGGGGCTCTCTTGAGTAGCCTCCAAGCGAGTCTGATCTGCTCTATTGGCTATGACTTCGTGATACCAACTTTTGTGCCTTGATCCTAGAACGGTCACTCGGATGTAACACTTTCCGCTTATGAGTATGTTCCCTCATGGCTGTGTCAGTGTCGATGCAGGATAGTCTCCGGTGAGCCCTCAGTGACCTACAGTTGGAAAAGGCGGCGGCATCTGATGGAACGTCGCGGGTATAAAAAGAACCCAGGCTCCCCTTCTTTATTGTGACAATCAACCCTTCATAATCTTATTCACAGACACGAAGACACTTGTAACCACAAAAATCTGTTATTTGAACAGTTCTATCTCATGATGCAGTTTGCTAGCCTTCTTTCCGTTGCCACCTTTGCCGCCGCGGCCATGGCTGCCTCCGTCCAGGTCAACTTGTCCGTTTGCCCCCACTGAACACAACATGTCTGATGATCTAATCAAAATTTAGTTACTCCGATACTGGCTGCCAGAACTTCATCGGATCCCGCTTCATCGACTTCGACCCGAACCAAGGCGGCACACACCATAGCGGTGGTCCCGCAGGCTCTCGTGGTGGCCTGTTTGTCAACTCCAACGGAGACAACCTCGCTTGTGCGTTTCTCACCTTCTATCCCTTTTTTTGTCCTATATTCTGACTCTGAAAATTGCAGTCCGTGGGTTTAGTAACCACCCTGACGGCAGTAGCCCTTTCACTGGTAATGTCGTTGATGGCGAATGCATTGGTACCCTCAATGGTGTTGTTGCCGTTTTCATCGTCTGAGTGACATGTGTTTCATGGAACTAGGAGACAATGTCATCTTGATAAGCGAGCTACATGAGTTATGGGCATGCAGGTCCGAGTGTTGGATATGGGGCAAAATGACATATTCAACATATGGGTCATTCTTTAAGCAGTCACAGTCATTACGTACAATTCACTCATTACGTTCAAAGCAACTAGTTGATCTAAAAAAGTCTCAATTACCCTAACATTCTCAATGATGTTTATTATCTGTTTGATAGAACCGAAGAATAAGCTCACATTATATCAAGTGTCAATCAGTCTCCAGAATGAGCTAACTGCTCATATATCGTATTCAAACTATTTGCGGCAGCTGACTGCCTCATCATCTCAATTGTTTATTGTTACGTGGTGGGTTGTGGGGTAGAACGACGTCAAGTTTGTCTCGCTAAATGAGCTATTTTGCTGTCCTAAATTCCGTCTCCTAACGCCCAAGCCCGCCTCTCTACACCTAATTCCTCACTGTAATCACCAAACTCGTTGAACACGTCTTGCGTCATCCCGTTATACCTCCTTGGCCACCGAAATTCTTCAAACATGCTCTTAGTGTAGTCCCAATATTCAGGATAATATCCTGCTGTTTCCCAGTCTATAATGTCACTTAACCGCCATCCTCTAGCTCCGGCAGAATCTTTAATTCGTTCCACCATGATGTTGCGAGGGCTGACGTCTCCGTAAGTAAAAAAAATCTAGTGCCCACGCTGGCTGGACTCATCTGAAAATTGTAGATTCTAGCTAAACGACGCTTCATCTGGAAAGGGTCTGATAGGGGCCCAATCTCGAATGCGCGGATCGCGGCAGGCTTCGCCCAAGGTATTGCAGATACCATGGTTTGCCGGCTTGGGAATGTCCCGCATCTGTGAGACACAGTCCTTGAGTTGAGCGGAGAGGTTGGCGTAGTCTTGGTCAGAGAGCGCATCCCAACATGTCCCCAATGCTGTGCCTGGAACCCTACTCATGAGGAGATAACTGAAATCTTCCTCGCCAGTGTTCTGAGAAACTACATCAAAGGCTCGTGGCGCAGGAATGGTTGTCTTCTGTTTCAAGACTCTGAGAGCATTATACTCGTTCCTCAGGGTATCCAGGTTGGAATCATACTTGAGGTATAGTCCAAAAGGTAACCTCTGAACCTGCGCATTTCCATCGTTTCCATATAAGCGGCTTCCCAGTTTTTGCAACAGCTCGTATGCCGTAATATGAATTGTGGATGGGAGGGAACCGCCACAAAAGCATTATTGGACGTATGAACGCGTGTCCCAGGCCAAGACTACTAGAACGCATGGGGACTGGGAACTGCTGATGGGGAACATATGTGATTATTTTCGGCTCGGAGAACAGACCGGGGGCGATGGTCCTTGCAAGATTCACCGGCTGAATGCTTCTGCAGAAGCGGGCGTGCGAGCCGATAAGTCGTGCATCAGCCTTTTCAATACCCTATCGCGAATGGTCGCCTAGCAAAGCAATGGAACCGCTCACATCGATAAGTTGCTCATCGCCAATAAGAACATGCTTAGCTCCAAACTAGAGGGGTTTGTTAGACCTGATGTCGCTTCAAATTTTAATGTCTCTTACCTCAACGATGGATGAAGGCAATCTTATTAATCTGACAATACCGCGCTGTAAGGCCTTGTGCACACTCTTGCGGATGAGCCAGTGAGTTTGATAAGATGAATATGTCTCAGCTCTATGGATAAAGAAACGCCACCAATCGAAGTATTGGGGGCCAAAGGATGCTTCGAGGAGCTGTATAATACGTGGCTGATCTTGGAATTAGACGCGAGGGTATATACAAACGACAGGAACAAGAAGAACTGACTTCCCGTTTGGGCCACGCGGATGGCACAGGTAAGATCGGGGCGACTATTACGGGGTCCCAGAGGCTACCCTGTTTTCCTGTTACGCAGCATATACCTCCGTATCGCTTGTTAATGGCATTGATCTTATCAGACGAAGGGGCTCGCGGGTGCGTGCCAGAGATGACTGCCAGCGCATGCGGTTGAGTTGAAGACAACATGTGTAGTGTCCTATAAGGATGGCTTTATTTCCAAGATGTTATTGAAGCTTCTAATAGTATATACGGAGTAGGTGCAAGAAATGGTTGGGAGGAGAGGTTCTTTAGGGTGGATGTCGCGCGGTAAGCAAGATCCCACCATTGGATAGTTGTTCCTGTTATCAGGGTTATAAAGTGGGGCATCCCGCTCCAGGCAGCATCACATATAAAGAACTCCCCCTCATAACCTTCACTCCCTCAGCGGCTTTATCATCACATCCTCTCTCAGTATTAACGCAATGGGCTCTCTTCCTCTCACCAGCATTCAAGTGCCCCCAGCCCAAGGCCAAACGCACTCTCACACCGTCGTCTTCTTGCATGGCCGCGGAGATAGCGCTGCCAACTTCTGCAGCTCGCTCCAATACTCGCGCGACTCCCAAGGCCGCACGCTTGCCGACGCTTTCCCTTCTTTTCGATGGGTATTTCCTCAAGCACCTAAAAGAAAATGCGCCAGTTCACCCGATGAGTGGAACCAGTGGTTCGATGTCTGGAACGTGAGGAATTTGGCGGAAAATGAAGATCTCCAGGCAGAAGGACTCAGAGAAGTCGTGCCCAGGATTCGCGATATTCTAGCCAAAGAAGCAAATGACTTGAACGGGAGGTGGGACAAGGTCATTTTGATGGGTATCAGCATGGGCTCTGCGACAAGCGTGCACACTTTATTCAACCTCGACATCCCGACCCCAGACAAACGACTGGGCGCCTTTATTGGCTTCAGCGGGCGTTGTCCGTTTGCCGGGCGAGCACTTGATGAGATGCGTAAGACGCTTCAAGTCGGTTCGTCCCCAACGCACAGTGACGTTCTCAAAAATACGCCTATGCTCTTGGAACATTGCGTCGACGATCCGTTGGTATTGGTTGATTGGGGCAGGAGGCAGTGTGAGATATTGAAAGGGTTTGGAGCGAATGTGACTTGGAGGGAGTATGGGAGCGGAGGACACTGGTTTAACTCACCCCAGGGCATGGATGATGCGATAGAATTTTTGAAGGCTGTACTTTAGATGCTAGACTTGGGCATTGGGAAAGGGCCGTGTCTACCATGGGTGGTTGGGAAGCTGCCAGCGCAGCTCGTTCATCACTGTCGTGACCGGCGTCAATCTTGTTGATTCGTTGACCACAAAACCTTACTTCTCTTCTTGTTTTCATTCGAAGGTGCTATTATTGAGTAATCTTTAGACTAGATAAAATGCTGCTGTAGCCAAGGTTGGCACATGTGTATCACTGAGGGTTGTGAATTCTATGGTGAAATGGCCAGGCGCTGCATTGAGGATTGCGCAACAGAAGGGCGAGCTGCGCCTAGTAATCCATGCAGTCCAGTCCGGGCTGGTGAAAGACGAGCTCCAACCTTGGCATGAACGTGAGAAAGTGGACGTTGGGCCATTTAGGGAGATATCTGAGACTGATAGATGACATTCTTTTGTTCCATTACTAGCCTCATATGACGTGGAGATGGTCCAGACCCAGCCCTGATGGCCCATATGAAGTAAGTGGTGCTGGCGTTGAGGCTGAGTCTTATTTTAGCTGACGAAGAGAGTGTGTTGGCGAGCTTTTGGTCAAGCCCAAGGCATCAGCCGTGATTGAGATTATTGGGCAAGCCAGAGAAATCTCGGAGAAAATGGCAGTGCTTACCCGCTATGTACGCATAATAATTAATTAAATGAGTTCACATGCTGTGTGGGCAACGCAATTCAAGGACCCCGAAAGCCCTTTTTCCCGAATCGAGTCGCATCGTGCGAAGACGCTACGTAGCCCGAGGGGGGCAAGAAAGTTTCTAACTTCTATTCTAAGTGACAAATGAATCTCGATAGGCTCAACACGTATTTGGTGGGAAACCTGGTCCCGTCTTTTTGGCACCATCATTTACCGTCAGAAGCTTTCTTACTCCCTAATGGTAGCGTAGCTTATTAGCTTAGGGTACCCCGTAGACCCCTGCAAGCTCAGCAGATCAGTTACGGGGTCCGCGCGCGATAATTTCTAGTCTGGGTTGGAGCCGTCGGATAATCGGCAAGTAAGACCACATCATCCCGGAACTCTAATTGGCCCGGTCGTACATTTTGAACATTGTCTGAACTCTCAAGCTAATGAAGCCTCCAAAATCGTTACATGAGATTGCAGAATGGCTGAGCCTCACTATTACGAGTGTTACGAGACAGCAGGGCTGAGTTTAGTTTTCATAGGTTACGGGATGGAGAATGCCCAGCCATTGCTACTTTGTGACGCAGCTCTGAGTGCCAGGGCTGACACAGGTGCCGCCCTTGGTGACATATAAGTAGGGTAGCTCTGACAGTTAGCTTGTTGTTTATCCAGAATTAAGGCATAAACCCATACCTGGCAGTTCTCCTGCCAATAAGCATTCTTAATCCCTGATTATTTCCATATCAACATCTCAACCATGGAGAGACACGACATGCTGTACTCCGACGTAGAGTCCGCATCATCGTCAACATACCAACACTCTCAAACAGACATCTCTGTTGTATCAGCATTAACAGCTCCATCGACTGTCGTACCCGACGAGGGTATCATCTCAAGGACCTATGACGCCGCCAAGAGCCTATGGCACATAGAATGCCCTCACCAATTACGAAGAGAGCACCAAAGGAACAGCCCTAACAACACGACCGCAAAGGCGGCATTCAAACACGATTACCAATCCTACGCACAAACCTCTCATATGGGGATCCTTGACCCAGCATACAAAGTTTTTGTTAGCAAGAAAGGTTATGGATCATTAATCTACAAGCTTCACGCTAGGACCGTTGTCGTTGCTGGTGATCCACTATGCTCAGAGTTCCATCGCAAAGCACTATTCAGTGAGCTACGCCGTTACCGCTGGGCTCGCGGTCTATCACTTGCATTTGTCGGGATTAGTGAGGAATTTGCCAAGTATGCCCATCAACAAGGCTGGGCGACAATGCATTTTGGCCATGAAGCCGTTCTCAACCCCCTTACGAACAAGGTTCTTCGAAAGCAGGCAGGCAAACGGATGATCGCTCAGAACAAACAGCTTCTCGATCCAAAGCGTGGAGGTATATCAGTGAGCTTCTACAGCCCCGCTGTCAATGAGACAGATCCAGAGCTGGAGCGCCAGCTGCAGGATCTTTACGATGATTGGAGGGAAGACCGAAACCGCAAGCATGGAGACGGCTCACAGGCTTTCGTCACTGTCTACGACCTCTTCTCGCTCACTGAATCAACAATCTTCTTATACACTTCCGACCGCGACGGCAAGATCAATGGGCTTGCGACACTACGAGAACTCGGCGCCGAGAGAGGATATCACCTCGACCCTTGCATTGCATCCCAAGATGCACCACGGGGTATTTCAGATCTTCTTATTGTTACTGCCATGGAGCTGCTGAAAGCTTCCGACGTGGGCTACATGAGTCTTGGCATCGAGCCCCTCGATGAGGTTCAGGAGGTTACCGGGTCATCGAAACTTGTGTCACGGCTCTGGAAAGACGGCTACAACCAAATGATTCAGTCGGTGCCTGTGACAGGCAAAGCAGCATACTTCAAGAAGTTCTGCCCAGACGAGTCGCTCACATCGAAACTCTTTATTTGCATACCCAGCAAAGGCATCCCGGTTCGAAGATCAATCGCGCTACTGCAATTTGCGAACATGAACCCCGGGCAGCTATTTACTCAAATTCACTTGGGAGATCGGCACAAGGAAAAGCAAACACCACAATCATGAGATTGTCTACTTTTTACCTTTCTTTTTGTATAATACTCTTACTCATACATATTGGGAGCGGGGATACCATTCGATCATTTAGTTTCTTTTGTCACATAGATAGACCAGTTTTATACAGCGATCCATGATTACAACATTAATCTTCCACCAAAGGCTTATAGAGAGTATTGAATGTTCTCGAGCACCTCATAGGAGCCCTCGTAACCAGCCTTTGTTTTTAGTGATATATCATGCATATTCAACAGCGGGATCATGTTAGTCCGATCCGTTCACGTCAGGTAAGCTCCTCCTCATGCTGTTGGTTCTTCAACTTCCGTATAATATCATTACCGTGCGCCCCCATTCCCCGCTCTTTGCTTTGTCGCTTCCCTCAATACCCGTCATCTGATCCAACTGTAGCGCCCAAGTATCGTGACATGTCTCAAAACAACAAGAACAATGTTGAGCCAAGTAAAGGTAAGGCAAAAGCTACGGGTTACCGGCAGTATTGATTCTAATTCTTGTTGTCCCTAGTATCATCACAGCACTCAAACGGCACTCGGAACGCAGACTGGCTATGTTTACGAAACATCATCATATGGCAAGTCCTTACCATGATAAACATGGGACTAGTCTTGTGTGACTGGAAAGGTTGGAAGAAAGAGCGGTACTCGGCGAAAGGACGAATAATATTTGGAGCGCTGCAGACTATTATCCTGGGTATTGTCTTGATGCAAGCTTTCCTGCGAAAGCAACGAGTGGTTGATCGTAAAGCTTAGACATTGCCCAACAATAGATAGCACGACATGTATAATTACTCAAGCTTTCGCGTTTGTACTCCTCACAGTTCTGTGGAATGACAGAATACCTCACTAGCGAACAAACTGCTACAACGTCGGGGAAATTTCAGGATCAACAGGCTGCGTGATCTTATATAAGTAACACCGCAGGCCAAATCACTTCGTGATACGTAGGAATTTCAAGCAGTGGAACAGCGCAAAGCTTGATTTCTTAGAGATCTAGCCCCAGATAGCTTCAATCGCGTCTAGTGCTGACGATGGCACGGCCCTCTGTATCACGACGTGGCGTACAGAAGCTGCATCGAGTATCGCCGATCGGGTATATCGGGACTGACGTAGGGGCTCCGATCGGCACAAATAAAAGATCTTCCATGCCGTCCAAACAAATTCTATCACTTGAATTTTGATGCCGTTCCACTTTAAAGCTATTTTTTATCATCTACCCAGGTTCTACTGAATCGTGAGTCTGCCGTAATGAAGGCCGATAGTGTATCTATGGAGGGAGGAGGATACTACAATGAGAACTCTAATCTTCAAGGACAAGCGATAGTTGAATCTTTGGAGCTGATTTGCCCTTCGGGGCATCAGGGGATGGCTCTTTTCACGATGAATCTGTTGACTTAAGCTTCATCCGGCTGATGTGCAATCTCGCAGATCTATCATTAACCTTGGCTGATTATGGTTCCTCCGAAGGCAAGAACTCGTATGTATCTTCCTCATGGCGACATACCAGAGCCACTAAACCTTTGATATCAGCGTTCGGCTTTTTTCGGAGTACCTAAGAAGGTTACCTTCTGTTACATCAGCAACATTGGTCTTCAATGATTCACCATCAAACGACTTCTCTAGCTTGACGTTGACAATTCATCAAAACTGGGATACCCTTTCACAATACGGAAAGGTATTCATAAATACTCTATTGTCTCCGAGGTTGTACTTTGAACAGGTTCTGCCCGATGCTTTTGTTGATGCTGGCTTCAACTTCACAGCTTTGCATTGGCTTCGCAACATGCCGGATGCATCTTCAACCCCCTCGTCCTTATCTGCTGCGGCCCACGAGGATTTTACCACCTTCCTCTCAGTCCGCCATAAAGAGGTTCGCCAGCATGGAACTATGACGATTTGCATTCCCAGTGACGGTGAAATCAGCGTTTTGCCGACCTTTCGATGTTTCGAAACCAGTCTTCACAGCCTCCATCACAAGTGTCGAGTAGACCCAATGATTGCTAGGCGGCTTCCAATGTACTTTCGGACATTCGACGAGATTCTGGTATCTATTGCTGCTGTCGCCACGAAATGGACTCTCAAGAACCACCATGCTCTACCACTCATGCACACCTCGTGGTCACCTGAGGTAATTGAGGCAAGTTCTGAACAAGCCAGAATGTCTGCTCGGAAGAGATATACAGATGCTGTGGCAGGCTTTGCACTTGCAGCATGTTCTCAATTCTTCATCGACGGTCTGAAACCTCAAGTTTACCATGGCCAAAGCCCTGGAGAGGAAGCGATCCGTTTGAAGGAGGGATTCATGACGGACTTGACCTCTGCATTCAAGGAATAGTTTCTCCGTACTCACTGCACGGATAAAGTTGGGTTCACATATGCGCTGCTAGAGTTGGAAAGATTGTAGATCGTACACATCTCATGTCAGCCTGTTGTCGTATGGTCCAAAGGCGGGAAGCTGAAAATATCTCTATTTTTGTCAATGTTGCCTGCACGGCCATATCGCCTCATACTGAAACTCATTCAGTCTCCTCGGCGCCGGTATCAATTTTCCCATACTCCATTATTTACGAAGATGTATTTTAATGACTAGAGTTTTACGCATTATCAGGCACTGTGCTGCAGTATGGCCTGCGTGGTATGATGTGTTGGAAAGCCGCATCGACGCGTATTTGTTGTTTCGCCACCTGGGAGTCTCTCATAGGTCCATGGTGCATGTGTTTGGCCTCTTACGTGCATTAGCTAAGGTCGGCTGGGAGAAACCGGGAAAAGACGCAGCCCCAATTGGCTGCAGTTTTGAGGCCAGCGTTGGAACCAACAGTAACTAATTTGCTACTGCATCTTCATTTGCCAAGGCCGTGGTCGTTCCTCGTTACTTTTCCCATGTCTCATTTCATATAACGCCACTGTCCTTGCTTTTTCCTCGGTTTATTTTCACCAGACAGAATCTCGGTTGCAACGAGTCCTCTCACTATGGCTGAATCTATAATGGATTTATACCGATCAGCAATGGTGGCCGAGGACCGGCAGCCTTCGATCGCTGTTGAGAATACATCGCCCGTCGAAGACTCAGTCAATGCCTCAACCGCTGAATATCGACCGCTCAACAAAAGAGACAGGATGAAGATGAGGAAGAAGAAAAGAGAAGAGAGAGCGCTGGCCGAACTTGATGCCGCAAAGCTTACGTATGCCAATGGCCAGGAGACGGTATACGCAGATGGATTAGTAGCTGTGGAACCAATCATGGTAGCAAATGGCCAAGGGCTGGAGCCTGCTGGACGTGAAGCTGACATAGAGGTCGTGCCTCCGGAGGAAGAAGAAGCGCCAGAGGCTGAAAGTGCTCCTGAGCTGGTACATGAGTCCACTCTTGTAGGACACAGCCCTAGTAAGCTTGCCTTTTTCAGCTTTTGACCTGACGCTGACGCCTCTGACAGCCGCTGAGACCGACATACCGCCAGCAGCGCCTGATGAGCCAGCGAGTCCCATATATCTACCCTTCAGTTCCCAGCATAAACTCATGGTCTATCTGCAGCAGCGGCTAGAGAGCATGTGCTTTGTCTTCGCACAACGCGTTATGCCGCACGCCCTCGATCGTCGTGGTTGGGATTGTGCCGAAATGGTTCAGTTGCAGCATTGGATGAGAGATTCTGTCTTCCAGGAATACGTGGAGGGTAAGATCCTTGACGTGGAACAGTCCGCTCAAATGCTCGATTCTATGATCGAGATCTGGCGCTGCGCTGTTAATCGCAAGCGAATCGACACAACCTTGTTGGAAACTCTACTCCGCTCCGCTTTGGAGCTAGCTAGGATTCTGGAAGAGTCATCCTCCGTCGACGAGATTGGACAACTGCGAGACAATGTCATCCAGGCAACGCAGCGACTGGCAGAGGAAACCCAGATACTACAGGCCAGGTACGAGACAAAGCTGCAGGGGATTACAGCTGCCCGAGCAAAGTTGGATATCTTGGAGGAGAAGACCAAAGCCGCGCTGTCCAAGAGGCTGGAGCAGAGTCAGTCCATGGCCAATGGTAGAATCATCATGTTTATACGCGAGGCAGAATGTTCAACCCCAAAAGTAGCTCTGCCTGAGGGGTCAACAACAAGATCTTGCCTTGACTGGATGAACGACCTTGAGAGTAGCCTGGCACTTGGAGAGGATGATCGTAAGGACTTTGTCGGTTAGGATCATGCCAAACGTTCATTTTAGGGTGACTTCGTTATAGCTTGTCGAGATTGGGCTAGGCCCGAAGTTCCATTTAGTAATTGTTGCTTTGACCAGCACCAACTGCCGGTTGCGGCATCACTCATTCTCCATCATTACTAACAATCTTCATCGTTACCTGAGCCAATGTCGTCAGTGATGCTTAGCTCATGGATTTTCTAAGCACCTCGGCAATAGTGGGATAAACGGCGGCAACAGCCTCACGGGCCACCCAAGACTCTGATTAATCAGCCCGGAACAAGCTGAATCGGGACATTGATTCACGGGAAGCCGATTTTAGTGCGATATGTGGGTTAATTGTTGCACCGTGGTGGAGTTTAGTTCCATACTCGGGGTTCTCGAGTTGTTCCGTAAGTGGAGATATCGGCCAATGCCTCGGCATCTTTCTACTCATCTCTCAAGGAGCGAGAAAACTTTGAACCAGAAATCAAAGTGCCAAAAATAATCAGTAAAAAGCTTTCCAAATTTTATACCAGTCTTGCTTTTGTCTTTTTGTAGCTAAAGGTGGTGGCCTGGGGCTTTTCTCACTCCCATTAGCTCATCTATATTGGGTACCGTATAGCCGGGCCCTCCATTATTCGTATAAATGGATACAGTCCCGAGCAATTGGTAACCCAGATCGATCTTTTTCTCATCCTACTACATCATCCATCAGTCCAATAAACCTTTTCAGTACTTACTCCTACATTATGGCTACCGTCGTTATTCAGTACCCTGTCGGTCACGACTTCGATGTCGACTACTATGTCAACACGCATATGCCTCTAGCCCACAAGTGAGTCTCGGTATCCATCCTCTCCCCAAAGAGAAATGTCTAATGAACCATAGGCTCTGGGGCCCTCAAGGTCTTGTCAGTGGACAGGTCATCAAGCTTGGTGGAGACAGCCCTTACCAAATTTACACTATCATTACATGGGACAGCTTGGCTTCGTTCCAGAAGGCCAGCGTTTCAGAGGAGGCGAAGGAGATTAAGGATGACGTGAAGAACTTCACCACCGCGACGCCTACCTATGTTATTGGCGAGACTGTCGCCAAGGCTTAGTCTACATATCGTCCTCGATGGAATGAGTGCGGTTGGAATTGGAGTCGTTTTGATGTCAAATGATCATGGTGGCGAATTTAGAAAGAATATAATATATTATGGGAGAAGAGGTGATAACAATCTCATCAATAGAGACCGAGCAACGGTATTCCCGTGATCGTGCCAAGAAAAAGAAAAGTTCTAGTTCATCCCGACTTGGCATTGAGTTGCCATCTCATCTTTCCGACATCCAAATCCGCATCTGGTCCCTTGGTTGCCTTGACCAGCTCAAAATCTCCTTTTTGGATATACACCACAGCGGTATGCTAAATGCACGTCAATATCGGTCCCTGCCCTTGAAGGACTCAGTATACTTACTGTTCCCAATGTCAGGTTCAGCATCCCTTCAAAGAACTGCGGCTGGTATTCTGTGGTGGCACTATTACTCTTGATAAGGCCGAGGATATTTTGAACTGCAACCTCGCCTTGCATCATACAAGCCCGAGCTTGTTTTGCGCCTCCAGATTGAGCAACATCCCCTACAGCAAAGATGTTCTGTCGAGAAGAGGGCAACTTTTGGACTTGAAGTGTTGGTTTGACTAGGATCTCGCCGTTGGATGCGATACTCTTGGGAGAATATGTGGCGAGGATATCAGATCGTGGACAAAGACCAGTGCAGGGAATCTGTAATATCATGTTAACTTGAGAGGTTCTATGGTTGGTCTGTTACGTACCACGAGGTCGAAGGTCTTAGTCTCTCCGCTGGAAAAGGTGAGACTGGTCTCCTGGACAGATTGACCAGCATCACTTGGGAAGACAGGTCTCTCGCCTAACCTGACCTCAATATCTTGATTCTTAAGTGCAGATATGACATGATCATGGAGCTTCTGACCAAATCTGGGCAGGAGTTGTTGCCTGGAATGAATGAGGGTAACGTTTTTGTTGGGGTACTCTTCTTTAATCTCGGTCGCCAGTTCGACCCCGACCGCTCCAGCTCCAATTACTGCAACCCTGTCGGCCTTGGCCACGCGTTGCTGGAAACCTCGTAGTTCTTTAATTGCATCTTCCTTGATCCGTGCATTCAATCGAGCTGGAGGAGGCTGGGCTGCGCCAGTGGCAATCACGAGATAATCGTAAGGAAGAGAGACACCGCCGACGGTGTGAACATGGGTCTCAGTGATATCAGATGCTTCGTCGCAGACTCGTTGGAAGATGCCATCCGGAGCACCTGCAGCGATGTTGTCGTACGTAATGAAAGCATTATGCTCTCGTCCTGACAAGACGGAGTTTCGAGGGAAGCTGAACGCGTAGTTAAAGTGAGAGTGCTTTTCGATGAGAATAACGCGATAGCCGGAGGGAAGCGTGTGAGCCAAACGTTGAGCAACAAGACTCCCCGCAAAAGAGCCTCCAACGACGATCACGACACGTGAGTCAGGTAACAGTCGATACGTAGCTTTATGGATAATTGATTGCCCCTTGTGCACAGCCATGCTGGCAAGATGGGACACGATGACTTTGACAAAGTCGAAATAGAAGCTTAGCTGCTGTAGACTCATTGTGAAGACGGGCACGCTGGGCGGCAGAGTTGGAGACGTTGCAGATCCACTAAAGGCCGAATGCGAGATGATCAGATAAGATCTTTTTGAATGAGAATTTTCGGACACGAGAGAGAATTAGCGGAAGCGGGTTCATCCGCGGGATCCGATTTCCATGCAGACTCCGTGGGTAAATCACGGAGATAAATGAATAAACCGACTTCTAACGGTGATTTCGAGGTTTGGGACAGGGGTTCTCCGAAGTCGGCAGAGACCAAACTGGCTTATAACGAGACTGTTTTGAGAACAGATCAAGGAGAAACTAGTTAGAAAAGATGCGTGTAATTAAGGAGAATTATCTTGCAAAAAAGTGTTAAAATATTATAATATCTGCTCTTCTGCTTTGGCGAAAATGAAAAAATAAAATTTGTGTCTGTTCCCTGGCCCAATACACCGACACGGATTCGGTAAATTCGTATCAGAACACCCAAAGCCGTGACAGGCCACCCACGCCGGCAGCTGGATCTGTTTGGCGGCTGCTGCTTCTAGACCCTGATCCGAACACGTCCTCCTCATCGGAAAAGCTTGGCGGGTGATCTTCTGGCGGCGGCTGGATCCATTCCGTATTGCGCTCTGCCTCAGGCCTGCTAAGAACCTTAATTGGCTCTTCACCAGATATCTCAAAGCTTTTACCGGCAGCCTCCCCTGTCATTTCCCATTTCAAGCGGTGCGTGTGCCGAATGTTGAATGTTCGGAAAGATGGATAGAGGTCCTTGCTTCGCTGCAGACGAAGGGCAAGTTTCGCTCCGATATCGAGACCCTCTGGTGGCGCCATATCCGATGCTGAACCACCTCCCTGTAACTGCTGAATCTCTGTAGCTGGAATTTTCCATGGGATGTATAAATCGTCACCATACTGATTAAAGGCATCTTCGGCATGTAGTGTTACCCGAGCCTCGCAGTCTGTCTCATGAACATTCTTCCCCTTTGGACACTTGACTTCCGTCTTTGCGACAACGTTGATGAAAATTCGGGTTATCTGAATTGACGGATGACCGGGCTTCTGTTTCTCAAGGTCGAAGCCTTGGGGTGGAACTGCCAAGACCAGGAATGACATGGGATCTGGACCTTCGATCTGTAGCGTTGTCGGTGTCTGAACCTCAACGCTGGCCACCAAAGGGTAATCGCCTTGGAGAGTGAGGGTATGGCGTGCCGTTTTAAGACCTATCTGAGCTGACAAAGGCTCTGGGTTGATATACAGCATCCTGAAGGGTAGTATTGCTTCAGAAGTACCAGAACCTCTCGACGTTGTCTTCAACTCTGCCTGCAAGTAATACTCGACAAACGCTGACATGCCAGACATATAGTCGTAGCGTTCAATCAAGAATGTCGGAGGGAGAGGTTGTTCCGATACATCCCCTTTAAGATAAGTCTGATCCGGCCCTGCCAACGGCTGCAGTGCAGATACATCTACGTGATTAGGTAGGCTGGTTGAGAATGGCCAGCTCTGCTCCACATCGTGTTCAGCGATATGTATAGGGCCTTCTAAAATAGTTCTTGAGTACTCTGTCGATTGCAGAAGATCGAAGCGTCCGCGATATGTCGATGTCAAGTGCCCACGCCTGGTCACCATTCGCGATTTACTTCGAGCATGCAACGAGATACTGACAGTTGCCAAAGAAGCGACGATATGAGTCTTCCGTGATATTTTACCGGTAATCACTTCTCCAGGAATGTATGTTGAATCCGGACGATCCAAGTGAATGGTGAGCTCAGGGCCCTTTTTGACAGGAGTTTGCGGCATATTGGCAGAAGTATCATTTGTGTTGTTCTTTCATAGAATCAATCTGTTGTGATTGACGTGAGGCTCTCTCATATTGATAATGGACTTGAGTGAGCAGCGTCGCGTGCTCTCGTCAGACGCGGAGAGATAAAGTCACATCACTTCCATTTCCAGCGAAATGTACGTCATCTCAGCCTTACAAGCCTCATTCAATCGGATGCTTGCGCCATCTTTCTATGTGCTCGGGCACAAGGCCAACAGCATTACATCATGATCGGATGGCGGTCCACCGCCTGGAGAGAGTCACTGTTGAGTTGGTCACTGGTCTCCTTTTTCTTTCTGTGCACCTCTCAGCACAGCCTCTCTCAAATGAGGATGTTAGGTAATCGAGGCTGAAGCCACAAACTTTAGGCACAACGATAACTCAGGCCTAATGACCCAAGCAGGGGCAGGCATTTCGAGCTTCGCCTTTATTGCAAATAAGGTCACTGGCGAGGATAAGAATAGCCCCTAAAGATGTCCATGCTACTTGCAGTTGGGCCAAAACCCTTAATTTAATTTAGTGGCTTCAATTTATTGGCACTATTGACAAATATTAGCGCGCTAGACCCGCCAAACGCACCGTCAAAGCCTTCTGTAATCTTATTCCCAGCCAGGAGACCTCCACTGAAATTCGAAGTGGTGTCGAACCGAAATAACCTTAAAACCTTTTCTATCACTGATTCCTTTGCCATCTTATATCTTCAAGCTCAAGATGGGATCCCAAATATCTGTCGTCACGTCGACCGATGCGACGGCCGTCGCGAGTGCGATCTTCAATGGCGCCGGCGTTTCAGTCACCGACGCGACATTCGAGAAGTCATACTGGGAAGAAAATGGACTTGGCGGGAATCTAGGCAGTGCCGGCATATTTACCTCTGGTCCTTTTGGTATCGGATCAGGCGGTATCTTGACGACTGGTTACTCACGGGACGCAGATGACAGCAGCTATGGCCAGAACGTTGACACGCAGATTGACGGCTCAGATTATTGCGGGCCTGATACGACAAACGCAGCTGTCTTGTCCGTTGAGCTGGTCGTGGAGCCAGAGTATAACGGATTATCTATTGAGTTCATTCTTGCGACGGAGGAAGACTTGTGAGTGACCCATCCCTTGTTTAACATTCTCATTAACAGAACTTTCCAGTGTTAATCCAGATCCAGTCGGTATCTACTTAGACGGCGTTCAGTACGCCGTCGATACGTCAGGCAACCGAATTACTGCAAAGTCCGAATACTTGGCTTCTCCTATTGGCATTACTGAACCTAGTAACCCTTCTCGAAGCACACAATACGAAAGATCTTCACCTCCGCTGATCATGGGTCTACCTGCAGCCCCTGGTGCACATACAATGATCTTTGCAATTTGCGATGCGAACAACGGACTCTTTGATTCAGGTCTGATGGTGAAAGCCGGCGGATGTGTTGATTGCGAAGCGGACATCAAGATCAACTATGCGACTACTACAACAACTGTTGGCCCGACGCCCTTCGTGCGCACCATCCAGGCTTCTGGAACCGTGTCTGGTACTGTTGTATATGGCGTACCCGAAGACGCGACGACTACTACTGAGGACGTAGCGACTTCAACCGAAGTTACAGCCACTACTACAGAGGCAATTACTTCGAGTGAAGATAGTAGTACCGCTGCAACTACTCAGAGCACGGAGGTATTATCCACCACTGAGCTGTCATCTACTACCAATGCGGATACTACATCGACACACACATCAGAGTCTCTGTCTTGGAGCGAAAGCTCAACGCAGATTCTTGCTACCACTACTAGCGAAGAGTCTGCGTCAGCGACCGGAACAACGACAACTATCGACCCGTCTACCACCATGATGTCAACTCAAGGTGGATTTACTACGATTCGAAGAGGATGCCGGCCGTGATAATTTAGTTGGGGATTTTGTATTAGCTTTTGAAGGCAAGGGATAGTCCTGCTTGATTGACAGTACAAACTCAATACAAAGGGCTTTCTTTCCACGAGTTTCATGGAGCCAAGGGGAGCCCCATGTTCCGGGGACCTCTTTACAAGCAAACTTCACACCCTGGTCCCTGTTGCCATCCTCTTGTAACTCGCCTCAGTCTTCTCACGAATTCTTTTTCCCCAAATCATCATTGGAACATGGAGAAACGCCATAGCCAGTGCCCATAACCCCATGACAATCGTCATATTCTGCAGTCCTTGGGCATCAAGCCATGGAACGAGGGCGAACGAGATGGCAATGCTGAAGGCATTACGCACAAAGGCAACCCCGATAAATGCTTCTCCGGTAATCTAGTTGGAGTTAGCGTGACTTGCTTTATGTGAGATTGTGGATTCACATACCGCTTGGTAGCTATCGATGGTCACGCAAAGCGCAACATCGCTCAGACCACCAAGTCCAAAGCCAAAGATGGCACTACCAATACTTGGATAGATCCAATGCATGCCCTGTTACTGTTAGTAGCTAGACGTGATAGATGTGAAGCTTTGCCTACCTTTGCCGTAGTGATACCGAACATGATAAAACCACCGCTCATACAAACTGCTGGGAAGTGGTTCAGCTGAAGTCGCATTTCCGGTTCGTAATACCCGTAGTTCTTTCGTGTGAACCAAATAATAGCTCGATCGGAAACTGCGCCGTAGGCTGAGCCCAAAATACAGCCGATAAATACTCCTAGGCTCATATTCCCAACCCCAACGGTACCGAAGTTGTACGGTGGCTGTGTGAAAACAATAGAGATGATTGACGCCTGAGCGGAGATCCAACAGAGGCAAAATGCATACGTAAGGGCTGTGTACATGACGGCTGGGAAGCGGAACAAGATAACGACAGCGGTCCGTACAACGCCAAGTAAGCTTTCGTCGGTTTTTGTGACCAGTCGCATGCGTTGACGCCATGTGAGAAGCGGTATATCCGAGTTGATCCGATATAATGGGGCATTCGATGTTTCCAGTGTGATACATGTGCTCATCTCGCCACTCTGTATTTCCGAGATGTTGTCCTTCTTCGTGGCTGGGATAGGAGTTGGGACCTCGGAGGACAGTTGCTGAGCTTCGAGACGCGGTATGTACTTGCTCTCCTCGAAGAAGAAACAGAAGTAGAGTAAAAGAGCGCCGTCAACTGCGGTGGTGATCCAATAGCAGCGCCTCCAGTTTCCATCCGCGGCCATGTATCCTGCAATTACGGGGCTCAGAAAGCTCTGCTATGCGTCAGTAACAATTCCCCTGTCGGTATAGTTCTCGACTTACACCAATCATGACCATCACCATATATAGACCATTTGCACTACCACGTTGATGGACGAAATACAAATCGGCAATCTGTCCTCGGTCAGTGTGATCCTTCTCAATGCATTATTCCCATACCGTCATCTCGACAATGCTCTCGTTGGTCGCACTAGCGAGTCCAAAGATCAACTGTGATACATATAATTCTGTCAGGGTCTTCATGCGCGCCGACCAGATGGCCATGGCAAAGATGATGGCTGTTGTAAGCAGGTACATCGACCGACGGCCATACTTCACCGCCGGAGGAATGAATAGGATACAGCCAACAGTGGTTCCGACATAGTTGAGGGCGTTCGCGTTGTTGAGTTGACCGTAAGACCATCCGAATTCTTGATTCCAGAGGACCCAGAAGATAAGCGGCAAGGAAGTCCTGTCAACATTAGTGGCTCGTCGCTTAGTCGAAGGGCCTGGTAGCTCACTGGGTAAAGATTATGGCCGTGACTGCGAGAATGGGAACAAAGTTCATAGACTTGCGAGCACGCGACCAGTTCTAGCCAAGTCAGTCAAGTCAGTCGCATCGTATTTGGCGCATCCATACCAAAGGATCGTTGGGGTCGTCAGTCGGCATTGGTTGCTTCACCAATTGAGGCGCTTCGGCAAGACCATCCTCTACCATAAATATGAGCTTGTAGACGAAGCATCAGTATCTGTATACTCACCACCAATGAGCCGGACCGTACCCGGCGGTGTCGTGAACTCTGGAGGAGCTGGTGCTACTTTTCTGGGCATGCTGAAAACGTGAAGAGTATTGCGAGAGAGATGTCTCTTGGGTGGGTTGAGCCGTGGACTTATGTGACTTCATATCAGCAACTGATCCAGGGGTTTTATGTAGGCGTTTATCTCTGTATTGGGATGGCTAGTTGTGATACCTCCTGCGAGTCAAGATAGCATAGCCAGATGATCGATGCCTTGGGGCTCCGCCTACCTTATACGGTTAGTCTTATCGCTCAAGTCTGTCCAAGCAGCCGGGTTCATTGTCCGAAATGCGGGGGATGCGGGGAGCTGTTGAGGATAAGGTTTAGTAACTTGGCAACATACGGCAACATTCTTGACCAGTATCGAATTTTGACCGTTCTCTACTTCGGCACATATCGTAATTCAATGCAAGTTTTCCCTATCGAGTGGTCAACTTGATGAATAATATGTCATTGAGTTGGTCTGGCCGATTGTTTATCTGCCTACGTAAACATCTTCAACCTTCTGTCCAAGAAAGTTGGTCAATCGCCAGCAATCTATCACAGCAGCCCCTGCAAATGACTGCAAAGCTCCGATGGCCACGATACCATTCATCCAATTGTACGGGCTATTTCCTGCTGCTTCAAAAGTGATATGAGTAAAGTATTCCACCTCATCCTGCGTATAATCCACGTCAATTGAGTCTGGTTGGGAGAACTCGATACCCGGCCCAGGACGGAACAGCCCTCGAGCCTGTACAAAGATATGATGTCCGTCATTTGTTTTAATCGTGTACCTCGCATCCAGCTTGTAGTAAATCTATTCCTGTTTGTCAACACAGAATGCAGCGATGCAGGCCGTTAACGCGCATACCTTCTTGGAATGAACTTGTTCTGCCCAATCAGCACCACTGTTCTCGACAAGTGTTCCCTCTATACCTGGTCCTTTTACAGTACCAGACTCAATACCTGCAATTGACCTCGTGATACCTGTGCCTTGTATGTTTTCGATATCGTAGCCATTTGTTGGGTGCATCTTGGCAACAAGGCGATACACAAACTCCAACCCTGGAGCCCTCATTGCCGGCATGTCAGGGTAAAACTGGTTACCGGGGCTCGGCTGGGGGATAGAATGAGATGGCTGCGACATTGCTTCAACTGATGGAACAAGAGAAGTCTATTGGATGGCTGGATGACTTTTAGTGCTATCTCTAAACCGTCGGATCTGTTAACCTTGTTTATATAACTACGCGTTTCTTACACAATGATGCTTGAGATCTTCAAGCCTCTCATTGTGACATGGAGGGCAATCAATCCCGCGCGGTACTGCATGCTTTTCTGGGTGTAGCGCAGACTTATTGTTGATCGTTACCGCTTTAAGTAGCCGGTGCCGCGCAAATCGAGGGTCCAGACCTTGTCTCTGGTTTCTGCACTAAACGAGACAGGGACGGGTTTCACGGGTTCCGACAATGCGATAGCCCGCGTGTTCATCGTTCGTAGTTTTTGAGAGAGAAAGTACAGATAAGACAGGCGCAGAGTAGTCACTATCCCTCCTGGCATCGGTATTCCGGGTCATCATGTCAAAACTGACGAAGAGTTCGTGTAAAGTCCAGATGAGGCCACTTGGCCTGGGTTTGTTCGTCGGTCTCTCTCCCAGTCTCCTCAACTAACTATCTCCAGACTATGGCTCAATCAAGACTGCTGCTGAGATCATCAGCCTTTCTTTCGCCTCAGATCCCTTGATCCGTTGGCTCTCGCGTGACCGCTCTGGTCCTGGCTGGGAGACTTTGACACCTACCCTGCAGCAATGGCAAGAGGCACGCCTGCGCGAGTATGCAGTCCGTGGAATCGCCATGGAAGCCGCTACAATGGATGATACTCATAGAAGCGTTGGATCTTGCTTTTTGTTTCCCCCCAGGCCAGTGTATCGATGGCTGAACCCACTCTGGTGGCCGTCATATTTGCGAGTCTTTTGGGACGAGTGGTGGGTCCAACCAACTGAACCATTCTGTCTAGAAAAGGTGATACAACTTGCACAAGTCAATAATAGCAGATCTAACAAGCCCTCACAGAGGATCGGAATCATGATGGAGTCTCATAACGATTTCGAGGAGAGGATCAAGAAGAAATATCCACCAAATTCTCTATACTACCTCGAGATTGCTGCGGTCAGACCTGATACGCAGGGAATGGGAGTTGGGAAAACGATCATGCAATGGGTGGTGCAGAAGATAGGAGACTATCCATGCTATATTGAGTGTACAGACAGGAATAATGTCGCGTTTTACGTCAAGTATGGCTTTGAGGTTGTCGAAGAGAAGAAATTGGTGGATGAGGAGGACACGATGCCACCAACGACTTTGTTTTACATGATTAGAGATACATCAGCACTCAAGAAGTAGTGTGAAAATCGATATATAACGACAAGTTCTCTGAGGCTTTGTTTGTTTCTTATTTTAATGGTTGCACGTATCTTTGAAGTGACTTTTGAGAGGTGAAAGTTATGTAGAATATGTACCGCTTATGCATATGTAATGCACACGCTAAGCGGCTTCGAGTTAGCACATTCCTTATCATTTCGATGTTATCGTTATCGCTCTCCATGATACGTGTATCTCGGCGCTAGTCTATTTCAGGTCTCTACAATTCCTGATCTTGATCTTTCGACTCGTGGCGACGAGCTATCTCGGCCCGAGGCATCACCCCTCACGTCAATCGAGACATTGGCAAAGACTTGATAACAATGGATGTCATCCTTTTGTCATAAGCTACGTTATAACCACATAATAATTAATCCACTTCGTGTTGTAACCCCCTCCTGTCACGCGTTTGGTTTGACATCTATGAGCTCACGGTCGCGACGCGGGTAAGTAACTTGACCATAACAACGACGATATCTCATACTAAGAGCCCCCAGTTGCTGGACTTGTAAAAGAAGACACAAGAAATGTGACGAGAAACGACCCGTCTGTGATAGATGTGTCCAAGCGGGCATGACCTGCGAGGGTTACAAAACACGATTGACATGGGGCTCTTCAGACACTGCAAGCTCAGCAGGGGGTGGTATAGTCTTGAAACCAATTCGTCCACCACGCCAGAAGAGTAAATCTCTGCGTAATAGAAGGGTAAGCCCCGCTGTTGAGACCGTGGGAGACCCGCTGGTGGACTTGCCCGACTTTTCGTCAATGCAGTCGCCAGATGAACTGGATCTGCTTTGCTTGCAATTCGAATCATTATCAGAAGGTTTACCAGACGAGGAAGTCTCACAGAAGCTTATGAACACTTGTAAGTAGACACAATGATACTTCACGACCGATCATCTAACTAGGGTATAGTTACTACCATCGGATACCAGACGCTCACAGGTCGTGCCGGACATGATACCACGTTTAAATCTGACATTTTACCACTTTGTGAAGATAGTATCTGTCTAAAGCACGCTTGCTTAGCGTATCAGGCAAGTCTTGATGTTGATACCAGTCATTTAACACCTCTCTACATGCAATCGGCTCTTTCAAACTATCTCAATGACTTGGAAAATCCAAGCATGTTGTGCCAGGATGTCACTTTGGCAACGGGGGTCTTATTATGCAGCGTTAGCGTAAGTCGAAATCTCACATTCGTACCAGAGCTATACTAATACTCGCAGATAAACTCACTATATATCTGGTCACCCCTGCTGAAAGGTCTTCACGGAGTCCTCCAAGCACGTGAGCTGTTGAATGATCCACAGAGACCCCCCGTGGCAAACCATCTCCTTGAAGCTGTCGGGCTATTAGATATACCGTTCTTCACTCTGAACAGGATTACACCGTCACTAGAAATATGGAAATCCTATGTCCAACCACACAAACACTCCGGTATTGAGCAAGTGTCAGGGATACCTTATAGTCTGATGAATTTGCTAGCGAACATGGACTCTACCACCATCGAACAAGATCTGTTGCAGTGGCCCGGAGAACTTGGCGATGAGTTCGCACAGATCCACCTCTGGGAAGCGTTTCGACTCGCCGGTATTCTTCACAGCCGCTGTCTGGCTGACCATCCCCAAGATCAAACAAATCCACCGACAGCCAAGGTTAGCACCGAAATATTACGCATGAAGGTATTTGCATCGATTCAAGCGATCATCGGAATCGGAACGTTCAACTTTCGACTCTCACTCGCCAGGGCCATATTATACCCTCTTTTCATAGCTGGCATTTTAGCCGAGAATGCCCAAGAACAGCAGCTGACCCGTGTGGCCTTCCAATACATAATGCAAAAGGGACAAGAGGGAACGGAGCAGATAATATTGGATATTGTGGCAAAAGTTTGGAAGAATGGGAAAGGTGGCAACGAAGCGTCTAAGTTGATGATAGCTACTGAGGCTACGGGGGAGCTGAATGCTGAGATTCATCTCTACTAAAGTTTCGTAATAAGAGCGCTTCAGAGCCTAAACCCAATGATGCATTCATATCTGCACGGGCTCAACATACCTTGATGAATAACAGCAAAGGTCACAAAGATCAGGATGCTAGAGTGAAGAATGCGGAGATCATATTGAGCTGCCCCTATGGTATCAGCTAAGCTAAGACTGCTTCCTTGATTCCGATAGCATCAGCGACTACTGGTTCGGCCTTGATATCCTCACTAAACTCACGAGGTCTGTCCTCAAAAGTCCCCATCTTATCCCTCTTACAGGCAAGGTTGTCAATAGCCAGTATGAGCTCTTCCAGCACACCCATATCAAGAATCTTCTGCATACGAGAATACTTTCGCACATTCTCATCTTCAGCTTCCGTAACGACTTTGCTAGTCCCGTCTGGTCCAAACCTCATCCATTGATCACCATCGGTGACTCGAGGCCATGGATCTTTGCCGTAGGAGTAATCGATAAAGCTACCAGCCATAGTTCTTGCAAGTTTTTGCTGGCCTGGAGTCAGTCTCTCGTCGAAATTGAGAAAGACATATAGTAGATCGAGTGCGTGGTAGGCTTGACCCTTGTATATGCTATCATGAGTGCACACCTGGTCGAAGTGATAACCAAAGGTTTGCGGAATATCTGAACGGTGAACAGCGATCCAGTTGTGGATTTTGAAGACTGAATCGCCTGTCATGTCTTCGAGGGCTTTCAGAAGCTCCTCTTTCGAGAGATCAGGAGTGACACCATAGAGATCAAGGATCTCATCAGTAGCCTTTTCACTCAAGAACTTATTCATGCCAGTTCTCCAAGAGTCAAAGGTCTCCTCAGCAAGATCCTCAGTGAAAATCATCGCCTCGTCAGTGGTATCTCCAACCATGTAGCTCTTAAGCCACGCCGGAGGTGAAGTGATACCGTTGGCGGTAGGTTTCGTCTTGTGGAAAACACCATCGTCGCATGGATTGCCCGTGGCGTTGAGGAGGCCCTCCACTGGGATCGTTGCAGCAGCGACGACAGCCTCAGGGACGTTTCGAAGCTGATTGAGAGCAGAAGGTGAGTCCGCATCAATACCAAGGTATCTCAACAAAGCGCGGTAATGCTTTTCGTGGTGCTCCAATGGCCATGTCTGGACGGTGTTCAAATGACCAGACATGGCGATGGCGCGATGGAAGGGCGCCGGATCCTTAGCAGCGATGTGGTGAGACACGCTCATACCTCCAGCAGATTCGCCGTAGATAGTGACGTTGTCGGGATCACCGCCAAAAGAGGCAATGTATCGATTCACCCAATGCAAAGCAACCTGCTGATCGTAAAGACCAAAGTTCCCTACGCCTTCAAGACCATCGCGCTCTATATCTTGCTTGATTGCGGCCGATGCGAGAAAACCGCCGAGGCCGACACGATAGTTGAGGTTGACTGTGACAACTGGAGTGTTGCGGGCTGCAGCAAAGGTCGTCAAGTTGACGCAATCGAAGACGCCCTTATTGGCACCGCCAAAAAGAAAAGATCCGCCATGGATATACACCATAACGGGAAATTTCGCACCAGAGTCAGAGCCCAGTCTTGGTGTTGTGATGTTCATGATAAGGCAATTGAGTTCATCTTCAATTGGCTCTTCAAAATGGGGCGCAATGTCAACAGGGATAAGGATATCTTCAGGTGTATTGTACTCCGGCGGGTTTGGCGCGCTGGGTCTATAAGCAGATTCAGTAATCATTACATAGCAGCGAACTTTGATCTTAATTACCCCAGCTTTGTCCCATCGTGAAAATCGTCAGGCCACGAAGTCCTGAGTTGTGAGCGTGTCCAACGCTTGGAGAGCGACGCGTAAGGAATGCCACTGAATTGGTGGATGTTGTTAGGGAAGCTCAGGCCCTTCACAACACCAAGCCCCTGAACGCTAAGCTCTGTAGTGCCGATCGGAGTTTTGCTGGCAGGCATGTTGACCAAGTTGTCGAGGAAAAGCTCGTTGAATAGAGAAGAGATATTGGAAAATGAGGCTCTTTGGTAGAAACACGTCTATACAGTCCCTAGGCAGTTTTTATAAGCTTGATAACAATGAATTTTACCCTCAAACACTTCAATTACAGAGGGGCAATTGTCGCATTGGAGATGCAGGTGAACGCTTGGTGATCCACTAACTCGATTAAGCAGGCTGAGGAGCGTCCAAACCCCGCAGACGCCCCGCGACATGATGATAATCTTTCTTAGGTACGGTAGAATATCGGTATGGGCGACTTTCGTCGTTGAAACGAACCCCTCAAGTTGCTCGGAGGCGGGGTTTGTAGATTGTGTTATTCGGATCCCGAGATTACCGTCTCAGAGACCGAGGGTTCCGTATGGGAGGACACGGCACTACTTGCGACGAGGCGTCTAGACGCAGGACCACGAACAAGATAACATTATGACTTGGAAGGACAAATAGAATTGAGGCTCGTTTATACGACAATCGGGGATGGTGAAGGTAAATGTACTGGATAAACTGCCTTATACAAGACGACGTTACCATTCTTATTTTGCTGAAGATGTCGACGGGAGAAACATTCCAGCTGAGCATGAATAGCGGCCCCGAATTATAAAGGATTTTCGCCTCGCTTCTAGAAAAATAATACTACAATCCACAGAATAATAATGACTGATAGCGAGACCTACAATTATGCTCAACTGAAGAGTTTCACCTGAGTGAGGCCATCTATTCGAGCTGAGACCATGGTGCCACCAATCGGGTCATTGCAGGGGATCTAGACCCAATGAAGCATGCCTATGCGAGGGGGGATGTTCCCGATCCTTTTCAGGGATCATGTCAAGCAATAGATAAGGGAAAGACCATATCGAGGCAATAGAATACACAATAATCTTAATCGCTGACTATATCTCAAGAGCTGTGTCGTTCAGTTTCCGGCTTCACATCGAGTATGAACATCATATTCTGACCCATCTTGTAACACCAACAAGCAAGGCTTACCCCGCGCGTTACATTCCAATTGATACCGGGACTTGAGAATACAACAAAAACTCATTCGTGTTCAAAAATGACTGGAAACGGTAAGCCTATGGCCCTCTCTCTATCTCATATCATTTGCTCTGACTCACTGTATTAGGATTCATCCAAGATGTCGTGGAGCTCATCACCGTTCAGTCGGAGCTACCGAGTACAAACCCAACGGCACCGACCTGGCAGACTCCACCGCATCCAGCCGTAGCAAACGCGCAGTCCCATGCCTTGCCCTCAGAAACCGATATCGTCATCATTGGTTCTGGAATCACCGGTATCGGCGCCGCACACAGTCTCTTGAACCATCCGAAAGGAACTGGTCTCAGGGTGACTATGCTTGAGGCCCGCACGGCCGTAAGCGGAGCGACTGGGCGAAATGGAGGACATCTTGTCTCTGACAGCGATTCTTTGTTTCCAGCTCTTGTCGACACAATTGGCGTTGAGCGTGCGATAGAGACTGTGCGGTTTAGCGAGGCGAACATCCGTCGCCTAAAAGAGCTTATCGCCCAGTTGAATCCGGAGGATAGAGAGGCTGTGGAATTTCGCGAGGTGACATCAGCAACATCGTATACTGATCAAACTTCATTTCGAGGCGCTATTGAAGAAGTCAAGCAACTACTCAAAGCGGTTCCTGACAGTGAGATCAAGTTCAAGGTATACAACAGGGAGGAGGCGGCCAAGGTAGACTGAGTAACACTCCTTCATGCGCCAACTGCTGACTGCTTATCGCAGATCTTCAACTTCACAAATGTTGTCGGCGCAGTTGCACAAACAGGAGTCGCAGCCTTGTGGCCATATCGGCTTCTGACTGCAGTTTTAGCGTCTACAAGAGAAGAGTTCTCAGGCCGCTTCACCATCGAGACGATGACGCCCGTTCTCTCGGTACAGTTCCAGGACGATGCGATGGAGTACCCGTACCTAGTGCGCACATCAAGAGGATCCATTCGAGCTAAAAACATCATTCATTGCACTAATGGCTACTCAAGCAATCTGATTCCTGGCCTGGTTGGCAATCTATATCCACTACGCGGGACTATGTCTACGCAGAACCTTGGGCCAGCCTTTCCACGAGCTGGTCACGAGATGTCTTGGTCCCAGGTTTCTCTTGGCACATACGACGCGAAGACTGGACACATTCATTTGGGCCTATACTACGCTCAACAGAATGCAAAGACCGGGGTTATGTTCCTCGGTGGCGAGTCCCAGAGCCTTCGTGGTCTTCTCACAAGCGATGACTCGAATGTTGCAGATGATGCTCGCCAAACCCTAACTTCTGCAGCCCCAAAGATCTGGAAGGATGCAGCTCCCGCAAAGGCAAGTAATGTCTGGTCCGGAATAATGGGGTTCACGGCAGATGGTATGCCGATTGTGGGAAAGCTTCCGCATAACCTCACGGGACGAAGTGGAAGTGGAGAGTGGATTGCTGCGGGGTTTAATGGGCATGGGATGGATAAGTGCTGGCTTACTGGCGAAGCTATCGCAAGGATGGTGCTTGGGGAGACAGACGTACCTGGATTTCCCAAGGCATACCTGTTGAGTGACGATCGGATGAAGAGTTGGTCACCTGAGGGAGCTGCTGAAACTCTGATGGATCATATCATGGTGGGAAGCCAGGCTCCGACAAGCCATCTTTAGTGTTCCCCATGTGCTTTTCAGCTTAGCATAGCTATTTTCAACGGGCTCATGAGTATAGCAATTCGCATCATCAGGCGTCCCATGTTTTGAGTAGCATTTAAAGGCTTGGAGGCACCAATCACAACCGGTCCATGGTGATACTGGCATTTTCTAGATGAACAACCCGCTAGTAACCACGAAAGACCGTTAGAGAAGTTGGGGGACCCCGTTCTACTCAGCCAGCGGCTACGATAAATACGCACCATAGATCAGATCCAGTTCAACCAGTCAGGAATTACAATACACGATCTGATTCTGCGTCTCGGAACTATTGAATAAGTTTAACAAGCTTGTTTCTCAGCCGGCCTCGCCTGAACGGCGGCTCGTAGCTTCATCACCCCATTCAAAGCTCTTGGTGTCGGACTAAAACATCCGGCGTCGGTCTCGATCATAAAGAGGGCTTTTCAGCGCTACTTTGGCTCTTGATCTGGACCTATGTCGGCTTTTTGTGATCCACTCACTCTTCCAGACACTTGAGCAAGTTAATATGGTCAGCCGCTCCACGCTTCAGCCTCAAAGGCTATCACATACCAGAACTTCGATGGCCAATGGTATTCAGTTTTCATGAAACTTGAGGAAAGGCGGCTATTTATACACTAAAATAGCAGGTCATCCTTGGGAATCCCAGCCAGCCTCGTGGTCACCCGCCTCTGGAATGTAGTGGTCATTTTGTCTCGAGAAACAGGCGCTATCGAAAGTCTCAAGCCACAGCCGACTTGGGACCTGCAGTTGAACATGAGATTGATAACAAGCTTCTGACTCTGAAAAACAGCGAATACGGCATTGCTGAGTGACTTGTCGACGAGTGCCAATACTACAGTATGTTGTTGGGAAGTTGAAGACACTTCTTTGGGGCATTATGATATTGGTCTAAGTATTTATCGACGGCTTTCAGTGGTCAGCAGATGCCATTTGAGGCAATATAATGGTTCGGAACGTATGCAGGTTGTCCTTGCTGGTCTAGGCCATGGTCTACGGAAAGAACAGGACCTATCCCAAATGTCTGACTCTGCAGACCGGAGATCGTAGAGCAAGCCACTCAAGATCCACTAGGGGTTCAGCCAGCCAGAGACGTGAATTGGTAGACTAACGCAAGGGGAACCGGCACAGCGTGCATTAGATAGACATTGTGCAGTCGACCTCACAAGGCGGACCATCGACAGGTGGAATAGATTCATCAGATGCACTATTGAAGTTAGCGTTATGACTGATTTTCTTAACCGCTCATCTGAATGGGCTACAAGTTATGAGATATGAGCTGATGCGGTGTTTGGCGTGAGCAAAGACGTTTTAGAACATGCTTCGAACACCGAGGCTCAAGAACCTTTACCCGGGAGCAGTCCAAAAACGAGCTTTGGTGACATTCAAGCGGTTTCCAATAAACTTGATTCAGGCCTTTGTACTTTACCGAGATGTCACAGAAGAATGCCATTGTCATAGCCGGGGCAACTGTATAAAAGGACACAATGCCATGTTCTCCCTCCCTTATCCCTCGCATTGTCATTCGGCCCCACGTGCCCCAACCCTTCAAAAAAGTGAAACAAACAGCGTCCCTTTTTCTGTCTATTGATTTCAGAGTTCAAATCCATATCACTTTATTCCGGAAAGGGAATTCAGCTGCGAACTAGCATGCCCAAAGAAAAATAGTCACCCACAGCGCTGGAATTCGGGGTCCTCCAACACAAATCCAGCCACATCCAGACCAGCCACTGTTCGTTTTGAGGGAGCATTTTCGGATCTAGGGTCAATAGCTAAAAATTAAGCATGCTCAGGGACGGCCAGGGACGGGTGGGGAAACGCATGTTGATCGCAATCAGCTACGGCGGTGCGCCATCTCGTCTGCACTATTCGCAGGCGAGCTTGGGCTGAGGAGAAGTCCCAGTGACGGGTTTAATATTAAACATGTAGAGCAGTATTTAAGGACGGGTATATATGACCCGCCGTTGATCCTCCAGAATTCCTTCCAAGAAAGCACAATCATCACATTCTGACTTCTCTTCTTCATCATGGTGAATTTCAAGAATATCGCCCTTGCAGTAAGCGTCCTTCTTGGATGCGGACTTGCTGCCCCTGCACCTGCTGCCCCAGCTGCTGAGGCCGGCGCTATCATCCCAGGCAGTTACATCATCACCTTGAAGCCTGAGGTCGATGCTGTCATGGCCAAGACCCATTTAAAATGGGTCAAAGGCGTTCACAAGAGAAGTCTCACCAAGCGCGAGACTGAAGTTGGTGTCGAAAAGACTTATGACAGCAAGTCTGGCTTCCAGGGATACGCTGGATCATTCGACAAAGCGACGATCAAGGAGATCAAGAAGAGCCCAGATGCAAGTCAAGCCTTTGCTGTCCGACGCCAGTACCTAGATGAACAAACAAGCTAACTATTTGGTCAAGGTCCTGGCTGTTGAGCCCAACCGTGTATGGAAGCTCAATCGCATCAAGAGCAAGCGAAGCCTCGAGAAAAGAGACGAGATCATCCAGAAGAAGTCAACCTGGGGTCTCGGCACGATCTCTCATAGCAAGAAGGGTTACAAGGAGTACATCTATGATGACTACGCTGGCACTGACATGTATGCCTATGTCATTGATGGCGGTGTCAGAGTGACTCACAACGAGTTCGGTGGCCGTGCAAAGGCTGCTTGGACCAACTGGAAAGGTAACAACAAGGACGATGACGGTCATGGAACCCATGTTGCTGGTACCATTGCTGGTAAGACCTATGGTGTTGCCAAAAAGGCCAACATTCTCGCTCTCAAGGTCTTCAATGGCGATGAGTCTGACACGTCTATCGTCCTTGACGCTTTCAACTGGGCAGTCAACGATATCATCAAGAAAGATCGCACATGGAGAGCCGTTATCAATATGTCACTCGGTGGCGAAAAGTCAACTGCCTTCAACAAAGCTGTCGACACTGCATCCAAGAAAGGTGTCGTCACAGTTGTCGCATCCGGTAACGATGCTATAGATGCCGCCAAGGAGTCGCCTGGTTCTGCCTCGACCGCAATCACTGTTGGAGCAATTGACTCCAACTGGGCTGTCGCTGACTTCTCCAACTGGGGAAAGACTGTTGATATCCTGGCCCCTGGAGTAGGTATTACTTCTGCTGGTCACAAGTCCAACACATACACATTTACTGAGGATGGAACCTCAATGGCCGCTCCTCATGTTGCTGGATTGGTCTTGTATGCGATGAGTGTGGAGGAGGTCGAGGGAGTTGCCGATATTACGGCGTGGCTGAAGGAACTGGCGACTCCCAAGAAGATTTCTGGAAACCTTCGTGGAGCGCCTAATCTGATTGCAAATAACGGTAATGGGGTTCAGTAGAATAGTCGCGCAATCAAATTTGTATATGCTGTAAGTTATTGAAAACAGGTCGATCGTCGATGGTCAATTTTACTCTTATTCTTCAATGCCCTCGTGGTTTACGGCTCGCTCGGCGACGTTCAACTTGTCGGGTGCAGGGTATCTTGAATCTGGCTCACCTTTGGGCAGTTCTTTAGATTGAGAGTGAGTAAAGGGATCCTGGAAAGCAGAAGACCTTGCTCACAAGTGAGGTAAATACTTGTGTAGGTTTAGGGTAATTATTAGATGAAGTTAGCATCTTTTTTGGCCAGCTATTTTTTAACCCGCAGTCCAATCATCCTAGGTCTTCTGGCACCCTGATGAGCAATTGAGTTGAGCATCAATTACGTGTCATCCAGAGATCTATCCCGAAGATACCGATTATATTAAAAGTGACTCTCTAATTAGTAATTGCCGTGCCTTGCGACTAATCATTCTTCGTAAGTCGGACAATATCGCTCTCCGCGGGCCTCTAAACCCTCGAGTCGGATTGATGGACATAATTCAGATCGGCCGGATGTAACGGTAAATTGATATCTATCTACCGGCATGCACAGACTGCAAATCCCGCTCCCACGGATATAACGGACACGTCTTCTGACAGTCGTATTGTTCCCCTGTCACCCAACATAGCCTCTCTTTTATCTCAGGCGGAAAAGATGGCAGCCTTCGATTTCATATCACCAGCTCTCGATTGGCTCGGCTCTGTGTGATTTTCGCGTATTTGCTCAACGAGGCCGCCCGCGGAAAGCTCCCGGTTATAAAGAAATTGGTAGCTCGCGTGGGAACAAGCACTACCAAGCCACTAAGATGACGATCCAGTGTCCGAGCACCTGGAATGTTGCCCCAAACTTCCTCCAATAGGTTTAATCGGCACCGCCACGCCGTAACACTTTGCCTTTTGCGTCTAGTACATCAATATTGGCGTCACAACCGAACGTGCCGCGCTACTGGGGGAATAAGCAGCCAGTGTCGTAATCAGTGCTGAGTGAATTGATAAAACCCCCTCTTTGACCACGAATTCGTAGCACTGTCATCGCTTCAGAGGCCTCATTCAAGAGAGACTGCAATACAATGGCTAGCGAACCTACAGAAACGCCTGGGCTGACTCTGCCGCCCGCTCCAACGCCGGCTTGGGAGGTCTTACAGAACCTCCAGCAAGGCCAAGAGGTCCGAAACTTGTACGAAGAGTTTGAACATATTGGCTGACTTGAGTGACCAGAATCAAGATCCAGAGCATGATGATGCCGAAACTGACGAGGGCTTTGATGGTCACAGTGATTCAGACCTGGACTCTGCTCTGGGATCCAACGTGGCGGACTCGACCTATTCCTTGAGCTCAAGTATTTTCGAGTACCGAACCCTGCATGGTAGGACCTATCATTCAGATAGAGGTACAGCCCAGTATTGGTATGAGTACTTCCGTTCAACATGAGACGGTTCTAACAAGCCCCAGGGCATCCAATGATGATCAGGCCAGCCAATCTCTGGACATTGCGTAAGTGAACGCACTGTGAAAATATGATGAGGGCGTCTAACAATAGTTAGACATCATTTTACTCTACTTCTGCTGGAAAATAAACTACATTTGGCACCTCTCAAGCCTGATATTCAGGTTAGATTCATTGGTCCTGCCGTATCAGATTTCATTTGCTGATAATAGTTTTGACAGAGGGTGCTTGATATTGGGACGGGAACAGGTAAGACGCCCTGGTATTGACTCAACCATTTGTTTCTAACGAACTTATAGCTGTCTGGGCCATGTAAGTAACGACTGGATTGGAGATTGAATGAGACTGATCACGATAAAGTGACTTTGCCGACGAACATCCTCATGTCGAGGTCGTGGGCACTGAGATCAGCCCTATTCAGCCAACCTGGATGCCATCAAATCTACAGCTGTAAGCTCCCCTTACTGCCAATAATAGCGCCGAAGCTCACCCTTAGGTAGCGAAATCGAGGACTGCAACGACACCTGGACCTTCCGACCCGACTCCTTTGACTTCGTCCATATGAGATTCATGCTGGGAAGCATTACAGACTGGACTGCCACTTTCCGCGAAGCGTTCACAGCTTGTGCCCCGGGCGGCTGGGTCGAAAGCTACGAAGTCTCATCTACTATGGAAAGTGACGACAATTCTATTCCGGATGGAAGCGCTATGAAACGCTGGGGTGAAGTATTCGAAGAAGGCGGCCAACGTGCAGGAAGAAGCTTTGCTATGATCCGAGAAGACGTGCAGAGGAAGTCGATGGAAGAAGCGGGATTTGTCAACATCCACGTCGTCGACCTCAAGGTAACTTCATACTCCATGCCAATTTTCTGGATCAGCCTAACAGTTTCGCAACAGGCACCACTGGGAGGCTGGCATACAGACGAACGACTCAGGCAGGTTGGACATTATATGCAGGCAGCTCTGGAGCGAGATTATGAGGGGTATCTTCTGTTCCTGGCGTGCGAGCTTTTGGGATGGACTGAGGATCAGGTCAGAGCTCTGTGCACTCAGCTCCGACGAGAGACCCGATCAGGTCAACATCATCCGTATTTCAGACAAAGGATTGTGTACGGTCAGAAGCCTGAAGTTTGATTCGAAGCAAGTGGTACTTCAGTAACTCAATATTGGATATTGCTTAGGAGGACCAGACCGCTGCAGATAGATTTAGGTAAATTTAGGACGCCTTTAGATTAGTCATTTTGGCACGATAAAGGTCCTAAGTTTTCTTGCCTCCCCTCGACAGGGCCCAACATTGGTCATGCGGCATCTCCGTAAATTTGTAACGTAGCAGGTGACCTTGAATATCAGATTCCATGAATTTGTAAGTAGGTACGGTGAGATTATTGATCAACTTCAACCTCATAACTTAATACTACAGGCATAAGAGATCCCCATATAGTCCTTGAAACCTCATAGGCGTGAGGCCTATAAGTGAAACACGCATAGCTCTGGTTGGTAGGCAGAAAAATCGTAAAATGGTATCAAGAAGCCTCGTGGCCGTTGATGGTCCTTACCTAATGGACCTTGAGGCTCGAGAGGAAAAGTCCAAAACCCAAATGCAGTTTGAAGTTCGCTATCAAGCTGCTTTGGGGTCCCAATTGAAAATTGCCATGGCCCTTCAGGGGGTGACATTGTTCCTCTGTCAAAATACTCTTGCCACCTTTTACCTTCGTCCTTGAGATAATCCATAGCACCCGCTGTATTGGTAATAAATGGCGATTCAGCTCCGTCGGTTGCATATGCAAATCTGAAGTCACATGGCATTGTCGGTCTGAGACGCTGAAACCCGCTCATCCAATCCTGAACAATTTGCCCAGAATCAGAGAAGGTAATAATGCAGATACTATTGAGTATATCGTCCTCGATAGGACGTGGGTCTTGCTGCCGTGAAAAGCTACCAGTCGCCCCCGCAACAGGAAGTGAACGGGGATACCTCAATGGGAACTGGCGGCCGAGGCAGCAGCTGAAATACTTGGCGAAAGCCATGTTTACTCTATCCCACTCAGTGTAATGTATAAAGGTGACATACCGAAGTCGGCCAATAACTTGGCGAAGCTGGTCTGTTGAAGCGGCAAGTTCATAAAAGCGACCAAACGAGAGACTACTCCTGAGTCTAAGAGATAAATTACGTAGTCCTGCCTTTTCGCGATCATGGCGCCAAATGTCGTTTGCAAAGGTTGTAAAATGTTCCAATCCGTGAATCTCCAGAGTGTCCAGCTCAGGGTTGAACCAAAGCGTTCCTGGTGCGTGTAACTTAGACCCCTTGACGGAGTAGCAAGGAAGATGTACCCTGTAGAATCGACAAGCGCTTGCGCGAGATTCGGCACTGGTGCCGCAAATAGCATTAGGTCTTGGAGGATTGATGAGCACTAATTTATAATGTTGATTGACAGGTGGGTGGCGAGGGGGTGATATTCGTCGACAGAATTCGCCAGATGGCCCGTCCCTGCCCCAAAGCTCAACCGCGATATATCGCTCGCACATGAGGTTTTGCTCCCAAATTATGTCCCTGACTTCCTTGGGGAGGTTTGGGAACAAATGAAATGTCGAATTCGACTTTGCCGATACAGGATTGAAGAGGCCTGGATGTTGGGCGGATGACTCACTAGAGGATGGCGTGGAAGACTCCATGATGAAGATGGAAGGTTGGAATGAAATGAATGCAGCTCCGGCAAATAAGGCAGAAAATGGTTCTTATATATGTTGTAACTGAAAGTTTATCGGTGACTCAAAAATTTGTCAACTACCACCAGGAAACTTTCGTTGATCAAACTTTGTAATACTATACTTTCAGATGCCGACGTATTATTTGCAGCTGTACGTGTAACTCAGGACATATTTTTCTGCATATGGACCATTATTCGTCTATGGCTTTCTATCGTTTATCGCGAAAGCGGCGATACACTTGGTTGATGGATTGAGTATTAGACTACGCAAGATGACACTTATAATTCAAGACACGGCTCAGAGGCCATCCATAGCCCCAAGCATATCATTTGCTTGAAATTTAGCCAATCATTAAAATCAACGTTGTATTTCATTGCTATTCCGGGAAAAATCCACATGGATTCCCCAACGGTGTTAGGACGCGTTGGCCGAATCATATCATGAAGCTGTTGGAAGCGAACCAACAGAATGACCGGGGGTAGAAACCTTTCCAAGACACATCCTCCCATTGCGGGATTTATGGATGCTTCATTCCTTGCGAAAAAAACCATTTTTTTGTGCGACTTTGATCATGGCATTAGACGAAACAACTCCTGCTACAGCGACTGGAGAGGATGATTCCACGACAGCTCAACCTCTGCATCCAGTCACGCACTGGGAGCAATTGAATGAGGTATGGCAACATCAGTCTAGCTTCAGGTAACACAGTATTGACGCATTCTAGGAAGAGGAGGCGCAGGATAACGATGCCGACTCTGTCATCTCCGCCCCCGCCGAGTCGACAGCGTCAATGACTTCGAGCATTTTGTCGTACCGAACCATTCAAGGACGAACGTTTCACTCAGAAAGAGGAAATGCTCAATACTGGTACTGTTGTGTACAGTTGACCTCGCGAATCCAGTAGCTAACGCCATTTCATCAGGGCTTCCAATGATGAACAGCAGAATGAGTCTATGGATATAGTGTGAGAATTCCCATCATCTGCTGACCCATTCTTTCGGCCGCTGAATCTGTCAGACATCATTTCCTCAGCCTTCTACTTGATGATAAACTATTTCTATCGCCTTTGAAGGATAATATACAGGTTTGTGAATAACCATGATCTTTGGTCGCCTCGCAACTCACATCAGTTAGTCAGCTCTGGATATTGGAACCGGAACAGGTAGGATGATTGTCTTCAGATTATCAGTGGGTCAATACTGACGAAAGACATCTAGGTATTTGGGCTATGTACGTATAAGACGAACGCCACTAGTAGAGAGAGCATATGCTGATGCTGAAACCCGGAAGTGACTTCGCCGACCAATTCCCAGGCGCAAAAGTCGTAGGTACCGATATCTCACCTATCCAGCCGTCATGGGTTCCACCGAACCTCGAATTGTGAGCCAGATGTACCATTAATCTGTATCTTTCTGCCGCTGATATCTTCTGAAAGCCACATCGACGATTGTACGCAGCCATGGACATTCGCTCCAGATTCCATCGACTTTGTTCACATGCGCTATCTGTTTGGCAGCATCAAAGACTGGTCAGCCTTATTTAAAGAAGCGTTCCGGACATGTAGACCCGGCGGCTGGGTCGAAAGTCACGAGGCTTCAGCAATGATGGAGAGCGACGATGGAACCGTCACAGATACCAGCGCTATGCATGAATGGGGAAGATTCTTTATCGAGGGGGGGAAGAAGATGGGACAGCCGTGTACCATCATCGAAGATGACCTTCAGCAAAAGTGCATGCGCGAGGCTGGCTTTGAGGATATTCAAATCGCTGATTACAAGGTAAGGGTCTACCCTGACATCCACGATCAGGGACTTGCAGCTGACTTACAGATTGCTATCGGTGGGTGGGCAAAAGATAAGAAGATGAGAGAGATTGGTCAGTATGTTCTAGCCGCTCTGGAGCAAGACTTTGAAGGCTACGTCTTGTACATGGCAAGCCAGCTCTTGGGCTGGTCTATGCAGGAAGTCAAGGTATACTGCGCGCAGCTGCGCCGTGAGCTTAGATCGACTGCGAACCATCCTTTCTTTCGTTACCGCGCGGTTTATGGTCGAAAGCCACAGACTTCTTGAATCGGGTTTAGATATCAACATTCATTTAATACGATATCTCTTCGCTTATTCATTGAATCTATCGAGACGAAAATGCTCAAGATTTGGATCCATCTCGCCCGTGAGGATCTGTTTGCTGAGCAGTTCTCCGACAATAGCAGCGTTTGTAACACCAGAGTGCATGACAGCGACACTGACCGCTTCCAGGCCAGTTGGGCCAATGATTGGCAGGCCGTCTTTAGGAGTCGGCTTGTAACCCACTGTGTAATAGTCAAACTCAATGGTCTCTCCCCCAACCAGCGTTGATCGGACCTTGGAGAAGACTTGATGTGCCATTGCTTCCGGATCGTCGCCTGGGTCATCGCCTGGATTCTCGCAGCCCGCCTTGATGATTCCATCTGATGTCTGCCGAATGTATAGATATTTCGAGTTGACTACATGCCTGACCAAGCTTTCATTAGTCGGTTTCGAGTTTACAATCAGCGCTGGTACCGAGGTGATAGGGACTGTGATTCCTTCAGTCGCCAGAAGGGGCACACTACCCAGCCCAGCAGCCACGACAACATGATCGCCAGAGATCTCCTCGCCAGAAGCCAGCTTGACTCCCTTGACGCTTCCACTCTCCTGGAGAAGCCCCTTAGCTGTCGCTCTGATTACTTTCACGTTGCCTTGGGCTTCTGCATTCGCCACGAGCATCTGAGCGACAACATGGGCTTCCATAGCACCCTCTTCAGGGTAGTAGAGGGCCCGATCTGGCAAGGTAGACTGATCAAAGAATGGCTCTTGCTTAGAAACTTGGGATTTCTTCATGTCGGCGATATCGTAGCCCCAAGCAGTGAGGTTACTCTCGGTCTTCGCCAGGACCTCAGTGGGTTTGTGCCAATTAATGGAGCCACTCCAGGAGATTGGAAGGTCTGGAAGCTCCGTATGGATCTGTTTCCATCTCTGTAGGGATCGACGGCGAAACTCGTAGTAGAACTTTTGGCTGACGGAGCTCGCATTGAGCCAAGCGAAAGAGGCTGTGGAGGCGGGCCCACCAATGTCCTCTGCAATGACGGTTACGCTAGTGTGTTGAGCCAGGTGCCAGGCGATTGCGGCACCAATAATACCGCCGCCAACGACAATGATGTGAGGTTGAGCGGAAGTTGCCATGCCTTGTTGGAATGTTTAACGGAAGAACTGAAGATTGACGTCAATGCGAGCGGGGGCTTGAGAATAAGCCAGAGGCTCAGGTTACACGAACCCCGCCTTTCAATCATCATACATGCGTAATGACAACAAGTCGGGTGACCAGAAGGATGGGAAAGGAAAAAGAGTCAAGTTTGTGAGTGATGAAAATATCAATTTGGACAAAAAAGTGAAAATGAGAGGCTAATCTCCCCCGGGAAGGCTCGAACTTCCGATCTCCCGATTGTCTATGAATAACAGTCGGACGCTTTAGCCAACTAAGCCACAGGGGATCAGCTAATTGGATAATGACGACCATTCAAACTGAGGGTCATATTCCCCAAGCGATTTCTTCACGTTCTAATCATTACATGCAGCCAATTGATGCCGTCCATCGCTCTCATGTTCCTATAGTTTGGGCTGCCGAGATGAATCAAACTGTGGCAAGTAAGCATGCTTCCAAATGGAAAGATAACAAAAAGCATACCTGAATATTGTGGTCCTGATTGAGCACGAGGCCGCGTTGACCGAAGGCGATCCATGAATTTGGGAGATTGATCATGGCTCCATGCCCTGCCTCAAAATCTTTCTGGGCTTTCCTCACGTCCGCGACGCTTTCCTTACCGTGTAGATGGATTGCGAAGATCAAATTGAATTTTGGACGGTTGGGGTTGCTCCCAAAATAAGCATCCGGGTTGAGGCTCAGCTCTACTGGAGTATTCGCAACAAGAGTGCGGACCTGGCTCCCTGCGAACTTCTGCAAACTATTGACGAATCCCGTGATGATATCGTCGGTTTCGCCGCCGGTTACAGTTAAGTAGTACATCGCGACAGGTGAAACCGATAAGGTGTCAACGTCTTCAGATGGCACGTTCCCAGACTCGTGTAGCGGAACAACTCTTTCCTGAACGGTCACGGGTAATGCCGATGCAAAGTCGGAGAAGTTGATACCATCCGGCCCGACGTGTTCTCTGACATATTGCGAGCCGAAAATCGTCTTCATATGATCTTCAGATTGGAAGTAAAGCTCAACGATGTCATCGGAAAAGGCCCACCAAGGATTGGCGTTTACGCCTCGGCCTTCTTGATTATTGTATACCGCATCCTGGATATGGGTCTGGAAATACTTTCTGCGAAACCTGTTAGAGTTGTATGGTGGAAGATTAGTCGACATACGATGGAGTAATATCTGGAGAGGGTGCTTGGCTGAGTTTGCCGTGAACTTGGAAGTGATAGTCGAAAAACTCCTGTCGGGTGAGACCGGGCTTTCTCCTAATGGCTACTATTTGCTTAATATGCGGCATGCTTGTTTTCTTTTTTGAAATTTTGACAGCGTTGTTTTACTTGCCGAGAACATGGACGGTTTGTGCGACGGAACTTAGCTATATAGCTGACACCTAATGCCGAGTGACCTGATGTTGTGGGGCCGATTCCGATATCCGCAAGTCAATGGCCGAGTGGGATCGATTTTCTGAAAGTCGAGTATTGGTGAAGTGATTTCTGACGAGTTGAGCCTCGAGATGCGGCGACCCGGTAATGGGGGAGCTCCGCGGGTGGTTAAAGCCGGCATTGGGGGGCATCCTGGCGGGACCGAAACACCGCCGTGATGACATGATAGTTCTGCATTGACTAAGCGGAAGACGGCATTCAGTGATTTACGTCCCCACGTACATAGGAAATTTCCAAATGCTTCAAATGAACAGAAAGTGTATCATAATTTCATAAGGTAGTCAAGAGAACCATTCAAGTGCTATAAAACCCCATAAATCACCCACCATAGCCACCCTTTCTAGTCCGCCGGTAACAAAAACTCTCCCTTCTACCCTACCAAACTATGGTCCTTCCTGCGGGGCGCAAGAAAGCTTAGAACCTTAATCCTAAATGACAGAAAAGTCTTAGGTAAGTTTAGTGTAGTTTATCGGACCTTTAGACTAGTTATTTCTGTCATTCTGGTCCAAGATCTTAAGCCTTCTTAATCCCGGCCTGCCTCGCCAGTGAGAGCATACCAATGCTAGCCAACATAAAGACAGCAATGATCTGCTGTCAAAATACTAAAAGCCGCGAAACATGCTGGATGCAGTGAAACTTCCCTTCTTGTTCTTATGCTTGCTGTGAGAACGAGGCCCGGCCTGCGCGTCAATCTGGGCTTTAAGCTTGCGCTGTTCCTCAGCCAAGGTCTTGAGCTCGAGTTTTTCATCCTTCTCTATTCGAAGTCGGAGCTCTTCAAGACTAGCATTTTGCTTGGAGAGCAACTTGTAGTAATCGAAATAGCGAGACTTGTGCTGGATGATATATACTGCTTCATCCGCTATCAGCTTAGGAATCGCGTCAAGATGTGGGATGACTTTGGTTTGAGCCCAGCCTAGGAGGTAGTCACTCGCTGATAGGGAAAACGAGATTTCTCTCGACTGTATTTCGAGATATAATAAGTCGAAAGACGTTTGGTTTTTTGAAGCCCTTGTCAACCCTCTCAAGAGTCATGTAGACAGTACTCTGCTTAAGGGGATCGTAGGCGTTGAGGAAGTCAACAAGATAGGTCATGAGCATGCAGGCATGCATGGAGCTGAAGTCGAGAAATTTCCGGTAATCAGGCCTTATCGTCAAGAGACGCTTAACAGCTTCATGACCATCGTAAAAGAGAATTCTTTCCAGGGTGACGAAGGGTAGGATCTCGATCATCCACACGAAGTCCCCTTCAACCCAGAAATTGGCGATTTGTCCTCGGAACGGTTGATTCTAGGCATCGTGAAAGGTTGTTGTGGAAGTAACGGAATTCCAAAAGATAGTCTACTTGATTTGCTAGCAATTATCTCGTTATGATTGGGGAGCTTTTGGAAGTGATAGACTGTAAATGTTTTGATAGAGAGAAGAAGAACTGAAGGTCAAGGGAAATACAGGCATATTTATACTCCGGTTAAAACCGGCTAATGTAGACTACAGTCGTGAACGGTTAGACGGAGCTATTCATCGTGAACATATCCTATCATACAGTTGAACTATTGTGTTTGGTCAACTTGTTGAGGGTCACATGCCTCTTGGCCATCGTTCAGTCGGAGTTCGCCGGCCAAGTCACAGTTGCGTTGCAAAGATTGGCAGCTTCAGATCACTCAGACAAGTCACAAGTCGCTGTATCTGAAATAACGGATGCTTCGCCAGAATTGTACTCACCCGTCTGTTCGGAATTTAATCAAGCCCCGGCAGATCTTTCCCAGCTTTTGTAAGTCGCTGATGCTCAAGGATCTCGGGCGGGAGGTTGTTGTTGTCGAGGATGAGCGAGCGTGCAGGTTCGGGAGAAGATCGATAACGAGGGATATTTTCATTGGAGGGTCTTTCATACGGTCCAAATACGGAGCCCCTTTTTTTCATTCTTCAAAACATCTTCGTAGCCTGGCCAGTCCCTCGCTGTTAGTCGTGCTTACCTCAGATACATCTGCCTAAAGATGGCGCTAGGAGAAAAGAATGGAGGAGAGAGTTGGCGAGGTAATACAGCCACGATGAGGCAAATATGGATATATCAGTAAATAGAAATACCTTTAAGAGATTTAAGAAGTAAGTAAGTATTGCTAAGAAGCAATTTTGTTAGTATCTGGTGATAGGGTCAGGATAAAAGAGCAGGAGGGCTCGATTACGCGTACTCATAAGCGAGTAGCGAAAGGCATCATAACAGCAAATGGATCATCTTTTTGACTGTAGAAGCGCTTTTGTCGACAATAAGGTGTGTGAAGAAGTGCCGAGTGCGAGTTGACGAGGAGGGAGCATCTGCATAAAGGGAAGGTCGGTAAATGGAAGCAGGTCGGATTTGGGCCGTGGCGAAGAAGTGTTCAATATCAAGTATTAGGTTGTATTTCGGTAGGAAGCCTGTCAATTCACTGTTGAGTTTGTTGTGTGAGTGAAAAGATTTGAATCTTGCAATGAAAAATAAGAGAATGGCGTGGACAACGCTGAAACAGGCACAACGACACCGACACATTCAGCCGTCGACCGAGCAAGTTGGCGATTCTGAATAGTTTTGACGCGTCGGAAATTCTCAAGGTGAGTCCCGTGCAAGTCAATTCAGTGTCGGAGCCACAGCTGTTCATCGGAATTGGATTATTTGGGTGGCACGGGGAATCATCAACATTCTGAAAAGGGGATATGGCTTCTTCCCGTCAAGTCGCCGTAAGCTGTTGTCCTCAGTGATTAACAGGGAGAGAATACTCGTTGACATAAATACGACAGTGATTGACAATAGACTGCAGTGGCTATGGTTATGGTTACCTGAGGTAATGGACAGTGATGACCCATTACTTGTGGCTCTATCTAATTAAATGCTCGATTTATGGCCTATGTGGTAATATTTCTTATCATTATACTGGATAAGTAAACGCCATGTCGAGTCGAGAAGGTTCGCTAACTAGTCTTGCCTATTACCAGTTACTGACTTGAAACTAATTAGAAAACACAAAAGCAATTCAGGCCCTTCGTACTGGCCAGGGATCCATCATCTCGAGTGACCAACAAACCCCAGAAAGCTCGATGTTTGTTGTCCAGTGGATTGATAAACCAGCTGGAAACAGGAATTAAGCCAAGGTCCCGGAATGTGAGCTGAAGATATCCTGTTCTGCGCAATTAGACGAATATCTGCACAAAGAAGGAAAGGCTCAGTGATAGAAATGCAGGATTCGTGGTAACGGCATAAATAACATCACAAACCACAAGTTCAGACCAACCTCTATTATTAAGTGTTAAAATAGACAGGATATTGTAGTTTTAAGTGCATAAGCCAATATAAATAATCCTTTAATCTTATCATTTCTAGACTTTTTGAGTTTATATTTTTGAATTTTCTGTATTAGCCATTTATTTAATACTGACTCTGTAATATTAAATAACCTACCAGGAATATTATATATATACTTCTTTATTACCCAACTCTGATAATGCTGTAAGACGCTACATGGATACGTGTTGACTATTGCCTCGATGGTGTAACAGATAATTTCATCCTAAGAAACGCATCCAACACATCTGAGCCAAATTGTGTAACAAAACCAAGGCATAAGTTGAGCTGCAACCCCTCATCTACAACTCTGAGACCACGTTCCTCCCACCACTCTAGTCATTTTAGAGATTGTACTAAGGCAATACAACCCATTTTGTAGCCTCTCGAAATGGCCAATACTCTTTCCATCATAGGACCTTCGAGACTTTGTAGTGTCTGCGACCTGGCCCTGAAAAGCAATGTCCCAGGCACCTTCCAGCCGCATCATAAGAGCGGCGTTGAGCTGGAACAGGCTTCAGAAATTGGCTGTTACATTTGTGGCACGATCCGACATAGAAATACGTGGTCAAGAAGGTGTGGAGAGTGCCGTTCAAGCTCTTTTCACTCTGTCATAAACCTTTATAATGCCGGTTTCGAGGAGACTCTAGAAGGACTGGTCATTGGGAAAATGCCGAGTGGCTGTTGCTGGCTTTTCCAGCTTTGGAAGGAACCTGGTATTCCTCCCAGCCCGTATCGTGTGCAATCTTTAACTAAAACATTTAGATCCTGCTTCCAGTATTCTTTCTTACGTACCGCCTGTCTCACACCATGATTCAGATCTCATCAGACTTGCAACGAATTGGCTGGACTCATGTTGCCAAACTCACACAAACTGTCGAAATAGTGTCCCAGGTTACAAACCGACAAGATTAATCGAAATTATCGATGCCTTCCATGTCCGCCTTGTTCTGCCAGGAAGTCTTCCTGTTGAGTCAGTAAGCTATGTCGCATTTTCCCACTGCTGGGGAAAGGTTGAAGCGATTAAGCTTTTGCAAAGCAATCTAGGCCTATTTCATCGTGGCATTAAAACTCGACATCTTCCTAATTCCTACCAAGAGGCTGTTCAGCTATGTCTCCAGATGGGTCTCAAATACATTTGGATAGACTCTTTGTGCATTATTCAGGATTCTCTGGCTGACTGGACACAAGAAGCCAAGGACATGAAGCGGGTCTACGAGCATGCAATATTCAACCTGTGCTCTGCTACAGCGTCTGACAGCTCTGGAAACAGCTTTGTGGCCCGCCGTGCATACCTCCTCAAACCTCAGCGTTTGAGGATCCATGGCGAAGTCTTCCAGTTTGTCTGTGATGATTTGCTGCAGGATGACATCACATATTGCACCTTGCGTTCCCGGGCATGGGTCTATCAAGAATGGTATCTTTCCAAGCGCTCGCTAATCTTGGGCTCGCACCAGCTTTGGTGGCACTGTAAGGAACAACTCGCGTGTGAAATATGGCCACTTGGGACACCAAAGGCCAACCGGGGAATGTGGTGGAGGGAAGTGCAGATGCTCAAGGAGTCAGCACCAGCGGGAGACTCAAACAGTATGGACGCCTGGAGTCAGCGTGTTGAAGCATACATGAGGACCAAGTTGACCAGAGAAACTGACCGCATGGTTGCATTCTCAGGAATTGTCCAATCTTTTGGCCAGTCTTGGCAATTGACCCAAGATTATCTTGCCGGCCTTTGGCGATGTCACCTGCCAGCAGCACTCTTGTGGAAAGTTACATCTTCAGCACAGAGATCAACTACATATACTGCAGCATCATGGAGCTGGGCGTCTCTTGCTGGAGATTGTCTGGTTGATACAGACAAGGACATACTTCATGAACCGTGCTTCATCACTGTCGAGCAAATAATGCCCCTGCGTGTACCAGGACCAGAGGGATTCCCCACGGGGGGAGCAGTCACGCTCAGTGGTTATTTGTTTGAAGTTGTCTATCGATCTGTCGGGCTTTTCATGGGCAGAGGAGACTTCACGGTTCCCGGAGACCAAACGACAGGTGGTGAACTCTACCTTGATGAAGGATCAGAGAATGAGCTATTTGTCTCATACTTGGAGGCACCAGACCTCGATGATCTTGGTGGATGGCTGGAAGGTAAGGCCGTGCGGCTATCAATGCCACTCGAAGACGCAAAGGGTCGTTTCTATTTCTTATTGTTTCTTGATAGGGGAGACAAGTATCGTTTTCGTTTTCGAGGACTAACTTTGTATCAGCCTATTGATCAGTCAGGTTCCTTTTATCGTGTCGGATATATGAATTGGGGGGAGCTCCCAGGGGTCCTCAATACGGATGAACTCGCAGTCAATTGTGTTAAGAGCATGGTGAGGATCTTATGAAGCTTGAGTTATAAGGCTGCACTATCGGCGGCTTCTCGCAGGGATAAAGCGTTTGATGTGACATTTGACTTCTTTAGTAAGGGTTATGTTAAATAGTGCCACGACTCTTATTTCTCCAAGCTATTGTTTACCATTGGTTCATCTCGCCAGATGGTTTGGAACTCATACGACGAAACGGCATTAGAGCGTTAAAAACGTAAATGTACTTGCCAACTCCGCACTGACCAGATAAAGCCACCAGGATTTCGCCTACCCTAAAGACCACATTGCTAAGTATTTTCTTTTTTTGCTTTGAGTCTTTCGATGAGTCTGTGCATTGGAATTGTCCCAATGGGATAATTCTGACTTGAATATTTATCAAAATCTGCGCATATTCCTTTTGCATTCTCAAGACTTTGCGAACTGACTAATTATGGCTTGAGAATCGTTGTGCCAGTGGAGGAGGACTCCTTTCGCCAGCAACTCCACCTTCCATCGTCCCAAAACCAAGCCCCTGTTCCCGATCCTGCGAATCAGATTCTTTCTCCTGTCTATAACCCTGGATGGCCAAGAAATCTGCCCTATTGGCCCGCTTGCGGTCGATGGCAATGGATTAGCTCCCTTTGGCATGCTTTGCGATTCCCAAAACGATCGAAAGAAGTGACAACGACACTCAGGAGGGAAATCATGATCCCATTCTGCGGAAAAATTTGTCTTCTATGCAGGTAAGACGTTGGCAATCTCGGCAAAACCGTATATGGCGGTTTTCGCTAAGGAGCTAAACTGCATTCGCATCCAACCTGGTGGAGAATGAACATGGGTAAAGTCTTGGGAGTAAGCACAGCTGGGATGGCGAGCCTACTGCAACCTTGTGAGGCAACTTTATTTGGTCTCGATTGCAAGTGCGACTTGGTTTTTGCGAAGGTAGCACGAGGTGGATGACTGTTCGCGGCGATGACAGAGTGCATCTTGGTAATTTTGAGTTACTTCTGACCCCCTTTTCCAAGAATTCCTTGACTATGTATGTAAGCTTAAAAGCGACTGTTGCAACTTCAGCTTCAGTTACGTATCGAATCAGGCTGTGCTAGTGCTCTAGCTAGGTCTTAAGGTGTCTTGGCAGCCTGAAAGACAAGCTTCTGAGCCAGGGTTTCGTTACGGCCTCGACTCTGATAGGACACCCAAAGCCTCGTTTCAGTTAGCCATGGGAACTACCTGCACAAGGTTGCGATCGGTAATAGCCAGATCCCAGCATCCGCCAATTTGGCTATCCGCCACCAGCCTTATGGGGTCTCGATCAGACGATACCCAGCAAACCCGTCTCATCGGAGCGAATGCCCAGGTCGTTGTTCCCAGGAGGGCGTTGCAAAATACGAAGGCAGGTCTTTACCCAGAAGACGGCTCGGCTAGGCTTCCTCAACTGGGAGGTGTCACCGCAGATGGCTCTGGGCATTGGGGGCCAAAGACATTGACTATGCAGCTTATTCTTTAGCTGCAGTAGCTGACACCCTTTAATGAAAGCGAGGCAAGCGCAATTTCGCCACGTTTTCGTCCCATATAAGCACTTCCCGTCGAGACATCCTTGGATACGGCTCCCGACTGGACTTTCGTTCTCTTGGACAAACCTCGACCCAACCTGCGACCACCTCATCGAGTGGATATCAACACGCAATGGATGGTAAAATCGTCAACGATGGACAGGAGCGTAAAACGTATGCTTATTCTCCTGTCCAACACCAACAGGCTTTCCCAGAGCCGGTCGTGTCTCCGCAGCCTTCTTTAGGCCAGTTCCCTCCCCAGGCCGTCTCCCCCGAGTCAATCGCACGAGAGACATTCCCGCACCATTCACTATGGATAGATCCCCAGAGCCCAAATCTTCGAGATACTCCCGACTACGATAGGGCTCACGACAGTCACAGAGGTCTGATGGGCCAGGTGCCTGCTAATGACACACACTCGAAGGTTCCTGATGTACACGTCGTGAATCGATCTACTGCAGGTGCCTTGCCTGAGTCTGGACCTCTGATGTTGAGGATCATGAAGAGTCGATGGTCTATGATTGCTTGCCTGGTCCTTGGGGTCGCTGGCGCAGTCGGCCATCACTTTCTATACATGCATCTCGATGGCCAGGAAGCAAAACACCAACAATGGTGGATGCGACTGGGTCAATTAATCTCATTCATAGCCAACGCAAACTTCATACTAGCTGCCGTCATGGCACATCAGCAAGTCGCATGGCGAGCCGTAGGCCAGAAAGGATTCTCGATCCACGCTGTTGATGCCCTGTTCGGAGCTACCCACAACATCATCGAGCTTTTCAACAGGGAGGCATGGATCAAATCGTGGTTTGTGATGTTTCTTGCTGTATACATGTGGCTCAGCCCTCTTGTTGTCATTCTTTCATCAGCATCACTCTACGTCGTACCAGGCGAGAGGATAGAAGATACACTCTGCCCCTCAATCCGAACTTTGAACTTCAGCAACGAGGCAAAGGAGAGTTTCCAGACTCCGAAGAAAGCCGAGGGCGAAGTCATGAACGGTCGCTCACTTTCTGGCTACAACTGGACAGCCCCAGATGGAAACCTTGCCGAGGGAGCTGCGGAGGACGACGACATCTTCGAATACTATAACGTTCCTTCTTCTGCACTTGACCGCATTGCCGCTGGTGTGTTTTCAAGTGGACAGACAACCCAGAAAGCGAACATCTCGCTCGAGATCTGTGGAGATGGATGGGATTGTTCAACGACTGTCCATTTCGTCGGGCCTGGATATAAATGTGAAGAGCTTGCCAACGGGGTAGGATCCGAGATGAAGAGCTTCGGAGATGCTGAAGCGCCTTTCAACCTTAGCCAGCTTGTACCTGCCTCCAACTTCACCTACTTCGCAAACACCGATCTGGGAGAGTATATGCGTCCTCAGATGGACAATGTTTCTATTGGTGGAATTCCTTCCGAGGTCGATGGCCCGCCTTTTCCCAAGCATCTCGGTGTTTTTCGAACCGAACCTTCAATCTGGATTGGCTACGCCGCCGTGGACGATCACACCAAGGCTCATGCGATGGACAGCGAAGCCGATGGCTGGAACGACGATTACACTCCTATCATCTTTGCTTGCGATCATTGGGAGGTCAATTACACCGTCACCTTCAACTTTACCTCGGGATTTCAGAAGTACAACATTACCAACCGTGACTACAAGCGAAAGATTATCGATACTACCTGGAGCAGTTGGACCAATGAGTCCACGGATGGAACAGCTGATGGAAACGTTGCGGAGCCAGAGAAGAACTATGTCAGCCCGCGCAATGATTACGCTCGATACCGCCGCATAGCCGCCTACCATAGTCTCGGGCTCAGACTTCGTGAGAAGCTCTTCGGCAATGTCAAGGTCCAGGGATCCGTCTTAGCAGACGGAGCTATTACAACCACCAACCTCCTCGATAGACATGAGAGTCTTCCCGTCCACGACTTCCAGCAACAGGTCCGCCGCGTGTACGAAGACTTGATAATCTCACTCCTTTCTGATCCTCAGCTTCTTGTTGTAGCATGGGCTGCCGATGCATCCAAGCTGTCTGGTACCGGCATCGGAGGTGAAGACACCAAATACCAATGTGAACGCCGACGAAAAGCCAACTTCTTTGACTACGGTTGGCCTGTCCTTGTCGCTGTTTACGCCGTGTCATTCGTCGTCGCATCGATTGGTGTGTACTATGGCATCGATGCTATGTCAAGTGATGGTAACAACGCTCAACGTGTGATGACCTTCTCTGCTATTGCGGGAGCTACCAAGAAGGTTCCAGTGGATGAGGTTGAGAAGCGAGACACTAAGATCAGGTGCTTCCCTAATGATCAACGGCCAGGAGAACGGACATATGAGTTCAGGGCTGAGTTGGAAGGATAATTAGCTAGAGATATGTGGAGGAAAACATTAATAGCGTTCATTAAGATATCATCTGTACTATAATTCTAATTTCTTAATGTCATCTACTGTCGTTCCTAAAAAGAGAAAATGCTCCAGTTTTCAAGGAGTGGATAATCAAAAAGTGAAATCGTCTTTGAGACATTTTTGGAAGACTGCGACCGAGGGGAATCGAACCCCTCTCTAACGCTTGGAAGGCGTTAATGCTAACCACTACACCACGGTCGCTTATTAATGATAACCGTATTTGTCTTAGAGCTTATATCGACGAGACCGGAGAGTTCTGCCATTCAGCTTCGCAATATCCCAATTCCATGGAGGAATACCACTGTGTCTTATGCCAGCTTTGGACAGATTCAAGTCTTTTGTATCTATAGAACTCAACAGGGAACACATGCTACACAGTACCATTCTGAGTTTAGAAATCTTAAATAGCAGCTCCAATCACGGGAAGCAGATTGAGGCGAAGCTTTAACACAGTCTGCAAGCCCGAAACCCGTTGAGTCCACGGAATTCCGTTTACAAAAGAAGCTCAATGATAGGCTCCACCGCATGAGCTTCATCTTATCTTAGCATGCTGGGCAAACGATATTCCGCCACTAGTGAGAGGGGCAGCGTAAGCAAGAGCTTCTATTGCAATTTTCACAATCTCTTATTCGTGTTCTTGTTGAAATAAAGCTCTCGAGGCTATTCTTGTAGATAATCGCTGTTGAACGAATCTGAGCGATAAAAAATGGCTGGAACCAGTCCCGCGCTGAAATGGGGCGGCATCTTCCTCCTCACGTCCATTGGGTACTTTGTCTTTAAGCTTTACCAGCAGCGGGTCTTTTTTCGGCGATCGGTCAAAAAGTACAACCTTGTGAGTTAAATCAAGCATTCAGGTCTCATGCCCATCGCTAATGCATACAGCCAACACTACCTGGTCACTCATGGCTTCTAGGTAACCTCATCGCCGTGGGCAAAATCATGATGAAGTATCCGGAAGACGTCCACGGTCAATTGATGCCAGATTTCCTCGCTCGAGACTACCCTGAAATCGCGGAGCTGGGCATTTGTTACATCGATCTGTGGCCCATCTCATGGCCGATGTTGGCAGCCTTTCATCCTGATATCGCGGCGCAGTTTACTCAAGAAACGTCACGACCAAAGCATGAAATTATCAGATGTCAATTTCGACCGTTGACGGGGTTAAAAGATCTTGTTCTGTCCGAAGGAGCGTTCTGGAAGAAATGGCGAGCGACCTTCAATCCTGGTTTTTCGACGCAAAACATCACGGCCCTGGTTCCTGAGTTCATTGAAGAGGCATTGATTTGGAAGAAATACCTGCAAGAGATCGCTAAAGATGGACGTGTTGTCCCCCTTGAAGATTGTGTCATGAAGGCTACTTGCGATATCATCGGTCGTTCTGTCTTGGGTATAAGTCTGGGCATTCAAACAGGCGTTGACGACAAGATTTTCCCGACACTCAAAAGTGCCATCTCACTGCTTGTCACAGACTGGTCGCCACCTCAATGGAGTAGACTTCTAAATCCTTTCCGTCACTCTCGCCTCGCGTCTCTAAACCGTCAACTTCGCAGCCAACTCCAGCCACTGATAGAAGCTCAACTTCAAAATCACGAACGCAACGAGGGGCCGAAGACCGTGAATGGTCTCGCCATCAGAACGTATATGAAGGAATATGGCTCCGAAGGCACTTCAGGGAGCACTATTGACTCTGACTTTCTGGATGTCACAATTGAGAATCTGAAGATCTTCCTCTTCGCTGGCCATGACACCACGGCATCTACGCTCTGCTTTGCTTACAATTATCTTTACCAACATCCAGATGTCCTTGCCAAGTTGCGGCTGGAGCACGATGCAGTCTTGGGAACTGACCCATCTGATGCAACCAGAAGGATATCTGAAACCCCGACATTGCTCAATCAGCTCTCTTATACCACTGCGATCATAAAAGAGACTCTGAGATTAGAACCGCCAATTGGATCTTGCCGAGAAGGCTCTCCGACATTCTTCCTGAGACATCCTGAGACAGGGCAGCAGCTTCCAACAGACGGCTTCATCCTCTTCTCAGCAAGCAAGGCCATCCACAGAAATTCTAAGTTCTGGTCTGAGCCTGACAAGTTTATTCCGGAAAGATGGCTTGATCCTGTCGCTCATAAGAATGCGTTTCGTCCATTTGAGCTAGGTCCTCGGGGATGTATTGGTCAGGAATTGGCTTTGACAGAGTTGAGACTTCTTCTTGCTATGACCGTTAGGGAGCTTGAGATTGTGCCTGCATACAAGGAAAAGGACGAAGTTCTGTTGGGATATCAAGCTTATCAGGCACAAATGCCTGGAGAGCTGACAGCACATCCCAGTAAGGGTATGCCTGTCACGGTATGTCTTAGGAAGGCCGGAAATACCAAGGAATAGAATGGAGGTTCTGCGAAGCCAGTCTATGGGAGACCTGTGACTTGTGAAACGCAATGGCGGCGTTGGAGGTTGAGACATACTACAGCCAGTCCGCACGCGAAGCCATCGAGGTGGCATAAGCAGGAAAAATGACGAAAAGGCAACAGATCATATATTGATAAATCATCTGTCTTACTAACATCTCAGAGTTGGAGGATAGATTGCGTTGAGCCTCCATCCAAACGTGCTCAAGCCTCCAGGCGCCGATCAGCCCAACGGACTCGAGGGCGCTTCAGACCTGCACCACATCCTTCTTCAGCCCATAGTCGGCGATACCCATCCTAGATTGCATAATTTCCAACTCCTCCTGACCTGCATGGTCACCGAAGATCTCGTCCATCTGCTCCAACGTCTTCCCCTTAGTCTCTGGGACCAGGAAGAACGCCCAAACAGCCGCGAGGAAACACCAAGACCCGAAGAAGATATAAACGCCGAAACCGATACTCTCAATCATCGGCGGTGTTGCGACGCCCACAATGAAATTGAAGAGCCAGACTGTGGCTGTAGCAAGTGCTACTCCCTTGGACCTAGAGGCGTTGGGAAAGACTTCGGCGGGAAGAGCCCAGCCCAATGGAGCATAGGAGACTCCGTAGATGAGGATGAAGCAAAAGGCCATTGCCACGGCAGCCCAGCCTGCAGACGGATTGGAACTCCACTTGTCATTGAATACACCCACTAAAACTGCCATGATGCCCCATGCTGTGCCACCTCCAATGCCGCCCCAGATCGCTAGTGGCCGTCGTCCAACTTTGTCGATGATGAAAAAGCAAACCGTCACTGCAACAAGTTGTAACATATTGAAGACACCAGACATGATCAGAGACATTTCAGAGGATTGACCCAAGGACTGAAAGAGTGTAGGGGCATAGTAGATGAATGCGTTGATGCCTGAAAGCTGCTGGAAGAAGGCCACTCCAACGGCGATGGAAGTTCGATGCCAGGACTTCTTCTGGAAAAGATCCTTCCAGCCAAGAATCTCAAGCTTGAGGCCGCTGACGCCTGGGTGTCGCTTCTCTTGCATGATCTTCTGCAGTGCCACTTCGTTGAGGATACCGATATGTTCTTTCTCAACGCGAGGGTCGGTTCTGGGGAGTCGACGTAGCTTTTCTAAGCTCTGCAGCGCATCGTCTGATCGGTCAACAAGGGCAAGCCATCGTGGTGAGTAGGGAAAGAAGTGGATGCCGATACCGAGAATAGTGCTGCAGACCATCTGAAGACCAAACGGGAGTCGGAAAGAGAGGTCGCCGGGAAGATGGCGGGTAGCATAGGTGATCCAGAAAGATACGACCACGCCTAGAACACATGAGACAGACTCGAGGACAAGCAGCGTTCCTCTCAGGTTGGGCGGTGCGATTTCTGAGATGTAGATTGGTGCACCCTATTCTGTTAGTCATTATAATAAGACAAAGACCGCATCTGCATACCATTGCAAGCGTCCCAACGCCAATACCGCCTATAGTTCTTCCAGCCACCAGAAGGCCGTAGGAGTTAGCTGCAGTCTGCATGATAGCGCCAATGTTGAAGATGACAACAACGATTGAAAGAGCCTTTTTGCGTGAGATTTTGTCGGCGAGCGTAGGCATGAAGAGGCATCCGATGAAAGCCCCGAGCTCTAGCATGCCAGTCATGAAGCCTTTGCCAAACGCAGTCTCAGTGCGAGGGAATGCCTCATGAAACTGGCTCATCACGTTGACGATGGAGATGACTCCTTGGTCGTAACCGAAGGAGAAGCCTCCCATGGATGCTAAGAAGGCAGCGCCGAAGATGTAGGGCGATTGAACGACACCGCGAATGCCACCTTTTCCATATGAGATCTCCTCGTCTAGAAAAACGATGGGAGCATTGTTTGATGAGGCAGAGGGATCTTCAATGTTCTCGACTTGTGGGTAATCCTTGGGAGGATATCCACTAGGAGAAGGGCTCTCAGCAGACATTGTGCGAGCTCTGGAGCCAGTGATGTTGAGTAATGAGGCCGGTCAAGGACAAAGATGATGATTGATGCGATGAGAATAAGAAAGGCGAATTAAAAGAACAGCAGAGGGCATGATGATGTTATATAGCCACCTGCACCACCATCGTAGCTGCGAGTCATGGAAAGTAACAAATCATGAAACGTTTTCGTTCCCCGCGGGGAAATCGTCTGGGGAAGACCAAGGCGTTGGAGCTAAAGTGTCGGGATTTATCTGGAATGATGGTGCGTTGCCTATTTGGGGGAATTCATTCCGCGGGTTTCAACTTTGTGGCTTCCCCAATTTTAGGCCAAGCCACTAGCATCACGACTTGAAGGCATGAATCCGATCTCAACCAATGGGAAGCAGTACATTATCACTCTACAGTGGAATTGGTACTAAAAGCGGACAACATTTCCGGATACCGTAGTTGGGGTATTGGCCCTCGAAGCTGATGGTATCTGGAAGAACCCATGGCACAAGGCCAGGCCCAATCATCTACTGGCAAACAAAAATATTATGTTGTTCTAGAACCATGTGCAGTCGGAGAGAAGCCCGTTGGCAAACGGTCTCACAGCCGAAAAATGCGCATTCGTTGAGCTTACACGTATGACTGACGTTCACGTACCTGGGTTTGACGATGCATGCATGAAATATCGGTACCATCGCATCATGGTTCAGCTTCCTTCTTTGGCCTTCAATCGCATCATAGAATGCTTCTGCAAAACTTGATCTTGGAGTTGACAATGCCAGTCTGGCGCCGTTAAGAAAATACAATAAATTTGTTTTTTCTATTCTTGTTCAACCATCAGCCTCGGGCGTGGACGAAGCGGTGCAGCTAATGCCACGATTCTTGTGTAAGAAAGACCATTGTCCGGTCCTATAGCGGCTAGCCAGTCCATTTCAAGACTGGTTTAATGACTTTGCCACTCTTCATGTCGGCCATAGCCTTCTCATAATCCTTGATATCATAGTATGCTATCAGCTTCTCCAGTGGCAGAAGGCCCTTGGCATGCATATCGATGAGCTCAGGGATCAGCTAGTCGTAGACCAGTCAGTAACGGTAGGCTCAGATCAAGGCAGGACTAATACTCACAACCCCAGGGTTGCTGTCACCCTCAGAGCAACCCACGTACTCCTTGCCGTACGTGAGATGACTCATGATATCTATCTTAGCATGCGCGTTGCCTCCAGGTGCGCCAACTGTAGCTGCCCTGCCCCTCATCCCCAACGCAGCGACCATAGTTTCGATGATGGAGGGGACGCCAGTACAGTCAACTGCAAAGTCGACACCAAGAGGGGGGCAGATGTTCTTTATCGCCTTGATTATGTACTCCTGATCTGGACCGAGAACTCCATCCGTAGCACCTAACTCTTTGGCAAGTTCTAGTCGCTCTGGCTGCAGGTCAATCGCGATGATTCTGCTGGCCTTCCGTGCCTTTGCAGCCATCACGGCAGCCAAGCCAACAGATCCCACGCCGAAAATCGCGATAGAGGTACCGGGCTTAACATTCAAAGTATTGAATACAGCACCGGCGCCTGTCTGGATGCCACATCCCAATGGCGCAAAGAGGTCCAGTGGTGTTTGTTGAGGAACCTTGACAATACTTGATCGATGAACAATTGTTCGCGCCGCAAAGGAGCTTTGGCCGAAGAAGGTGCTGTAAATCGGTTGCTTCGTCCCATCTTTCATAATGGACATGGCAGCTGATCCGTCCGGTCGCTTTCCGCCGAAGTTGTAATCGTTGAAGCTGTAGCAATAGGCTGGGTGGTCTGATTTGCATCCAGGACATGAGCCACAGGATGAGAAGGATAGAAGGACTTTATCGCCGGGTGAGACGGAAGTAACATTTGCGCCTATCTCGAGAACAACGCCTCCTCCTGCAATGGCCATGATTGTTAGCATGCGTATTTGTGATGCAGCAGTCGACATGGGCTACCTTCGTGGCCAAGAACAGCATTCGGTGCGCATGGCAATTTACCACTTGCACAAGAAAGGTCAGTATGGCAGACACCAGAGGCGTGGATCTCTATCAGCGCTTCATCTGGCTGCAGAGAGTCCAAGTAGACTTCCTTTAGTTCGAAGCTGCCATCCAAGGCTGGTGCAATAAGTGCTGTTGTCCGTGTCATTTTCTCGTCGATGAACAATGTAACATATTATTTCAACATGGGAGAAATCCCCCGCATTATTAGGCTTTTGATGCGCTGGTTGCAAATCGCGGGGGTTACAGCGCTTTTCCGAGGCTACTTGCCGCTGAAAGATGCCGGTCGGAGACGATGTGGGGGCGGAATGGCGATCTCGAGTAACTCCGTTACTGGACTACCGACTACATAGTAGGGTTACTGGATTATGCGCCTGAGGGTTCGAGGTCTTTCTTAGATAATGGAGCGAAATGCTCGGGACGGTAGTGGAAGCAATAAAATAGTTCTGGGATGACGAGAAGGTTCTAATCGACAGCTCGCCTAGTGAATATGTACATTCTGAAACCCTGTGATCAAGTCATTGACTTGAAGCATACTCGTTTGATCATATCTCGTGAGAATCGGTTCGTGTGCTGAACCGCTCGCATCAGGCACCGTAGACTGAGGACTTCCGAATGAATCACTTGAAAGGCGATCAACCAGCAGTTTCCCCAGGAGCCAATATTCTGGAGAATGCCGCATAAAGCCTACCCTCCTCCATAGATTCTCCGTTGCCACATTATGTCTGTCAACCATGACATGCGGCGGTGAGAATGAGAATTCATCTGAGTATGTTTCCCAAGCTGATTTCCAATTATCGAGAGCGTTGCGAACTGCCTGTAGTTGATCATGGCCACCAAAGGAGTTTTGGTGTTGAAATATCAGTGCATGGAAGGCTGTAACATGTATCAGAACGGTAGGGTAGTCGAGGCTTGTTTGGTAGTCTTACCTGATACAACCGCGAAGAGGTTAAGGGGACCAAGATCAGCGAAGAGCCGTCGCATGTCATTCGAGAAAGATCTTCCACAAAAGCTCTCAACAACCTCACGAAAGGTTATGTTTCGTATCAGCGTGGATCGTAAGTGCCAGTTTTGTAGTTCTCGAGCGCATTCTGTTGATGTGCTGGCTTGGAAGGCTGCTTCAGGAAATGCCATATGCATGCTCATTTCTTTGATGACCATCCTGGGAGGTAGGTTGTTGAAGATCACGAATGCATGGTCCAGGAGATATATCCAGAGAAAGATACTTAAGTAAATGTCAGTTATTGGTCAACATGTATACGGAGCCTGTTTACCGTATAAGTTGCTCTCGTGCAGCAAAGTCTCTCCAATCAAATCTGTCATATAGGCACGTAGAGTAATCCGGGTGCCTGGCAGACATAATACCAAAGTCTCTTGCCATCTGAACATTTATTAGTTGATGCGACCAGGAGAGACCGGATATCTTACAGATATGACAGTACTGAACCGGTATCGACGGATTCGTCGTTTGTTTGCCTCTGTTCCCTCCCATCCCTGGTAGAGACAAACCATGTATGCTGCCTGCAGGGCTTGGATCTTCGAAATGTTTTGGACCGGATTCAGCAACAGGGTGTCCTGGTTGTTTAGCGGGTCGTTGCAAAAGTCGTCATCAGTAAAGACGATTTCTTCGACACAGTTGAACCAGATCTTCGCTTGTTCGTTATCAGTCTTGCTAGGCGATACACTCGCACCTATTGACGTTAAGATTTATCCTTCAGGGATAGCTTTAGGGTTACATACCTATCAATGCCATGCAAGCCACAAGGATTGACTTCGAGGTCACTGGGTCAAAAGTAGGCCGGTGCACGAAGTTGACGTTAGGGTTCCATATATGCCAGAAGAGGGAAAGATATTTCCGTAAATTATGCGGAGAAAAGAATTGGATACAGGTCTGTTCTAGGACCGTCGACCATTCTAGCTCGACGACGCTGTTTCGAGGTTTGACGGTAACGACTTCTTTGATGTCTAGAAGTATTTGGTGAGTTTGGATGATGAGAGGGTCATGGAGATCTAATGGTTGCGGTCGCGGAAGATCCCTTGATGAGCCATTGAGGTGTACAAGCTCGTCTAATTCCGTAGTAAGGCAACCCTGGCCTTCGCCTGGTCGGTGAGATGCCTCAACCTGCACTCGCTGTTCAAATGTCCCGCAGTCAAATGAGCCCACCAGCCCAGATCTTCTCGTGAAATTGTCGAGAAAGTGAAAGGTGTAATTGTCTAGGTGCGTTTGGGGACTGGTCGGTATTATCTGAAAATGACCGGCGGCGAGGTTGATGAAGTCCAACCAGTCTTGATTGTTATCTGATCCTTGGAGCATATCAGAGACTGAAGTATAGTTGCCAAAATAGTCGAATAGCGTGTCATCTCCAAACACCACGGTCGGCAGGTTGGTTTCGTCATCATATTGCTTCTCATCCTGGCCTACGAGCAAGTTGCTCTCTGTTACTACACCGTTACTGAAGGAGTAAATGCATTGGACCGACTTCCGACGGCAATGTTCGCATGGCTGGCCAGTGCTACAGGCCTTCTTCTGCTGAACGCAGAGGTCGCATGCTCGTCGGCTGCTGGACGCTGTAGCCGATATCTCCCCGGTCCTGACTTTGGTCTGGCAGGCTAGAGCATGTCGCTTGAGTACATCCGCTCGTTGGTATGATTGGCCACAGAAGCTACATCTGTGAGGTCGGAGGCTAGTGTGGGATGCAGCGTGGCGCTGGAGGTGTTCTCGTCGCTTGTACGTCTTGCTACAGCGGGGACATGCAAACCCGGCCCCTGAGGATGATACGTTGTCAGACATTGTCGGATGTCAATGCGGGTGGATTCGATTGTGACGAGGGAAAGACGCAGCTTTGATGGGACAAAGATGATGCAACTCCGCATTCCGGTTTCGATCCCGGTTTAGGTTTTCAGATCGCGGGGAAGTGGGGCTGTGCTCCGTGGAGGAAACGGGGCCAGTCGGAGTCCTTGTGGGAGGCGAATGAGAGCTCAGAAGTTGGTCAATCACTGCTTTTGGTAGTTGGAGACAAGGGCCAACATGATCAATCAAAACATTTCAGGGCGCATCTCCCCAGACCAGAAAGTGTGGCGTCTATAGCTATCCCACATAGTTCCGCTGCAAGACTCGACACTGGGCGATTGTGAGACGCATCTTATATAAAGGCAGATGAATGAAATGATTGTCATTTGCTTCCAGCTCACGAAACAATTGGATTCATTTTTTTTTACTCACATTTCTCCATCATGCTGACCGTACAATTATTTTGGGTCGCTCTCGCTGCGATCTTCGTACGTCTTCTGTTCACTGGTAGAAGACCCAAGAATTATCCACCTGGACCTCCTACACTGCCGATCCTTGGAAACATTCACTTGGTACAGTCTGCTTCACAGAATTTGCAAACACTCTTACTGATAGTATCAGATGCCCACAAAAGATGCCCATCTGCAATTCCGTAAGTGGGCAGACGAGTATGGGCCTGTTTATAGTCTCATCCTGGGCACCAAGCCTTTCATTGTCTTGTCAAGTGCCCAGGCTGTCAAGGATCTGCTCGATAAGAAGAGTGCACTCTACTCTGACCGACAAGAAATGTACGTTGGGCAGATTCTTGGCAGCGGTGGTCTCAGACTTCTGATGATGGTTCGTCATTCTCGACCCCGACCTTTGCCTACAATGACACTAACATTTATTTCCTTCCTCAGGGGTATGGACCAACATGGAGATCAGTAAGTCATCCTTGAGTGGTTTGGCTACGATATAGCCAGCTAACACAGTCTTAAAGTTCCGCAAACTGGTACACTCGCTGCTCAACGTCACCACAGCCAAGAGCTACGTGCCCTACCAAGACCTCGAGAACAAGCAAATGCTGTATGAGATGATCGTTCAACCCGATCGATTCCTCCAGAGTATTCGACGATACTCCAACGCACTCACAACAACCATGGTATTTGGCTGGCGCTCGCCTATCTATCGAGACCCCAAGCTCATGCAGCTCTTCGACGGCTTTGCTGAGTTTGCCGAGATCAATCAGACTGGTATCGCTGCCCTCCTTGACTCGTTCCCCGTACTCAGAAAGCTGCCTGACTTTCTCTTGCCCGTGCAGAGGAAAGCCAAGGAGCTTCATAAGAAGGAAAAGGATCTCTACATGAGTCATTGGCTTAAGGCGAAGCAGGACATCGCAGATGGCTCTATTAAGCCATGTTTCTGTGTTGGATTAGCCGAAGCGCAAGAGAAGGAAAAGTTTGATGATGCGCAAGCTGCTTATATCTCTGGGACTCTCCTTGAAGCGGGTTCAGACACAACATCTAGCACCCTGTATGCCTTTGTGCAGGCAATGCTTCTTTATCCTGAGATCCAGCGAAAGGCTCAGGACGAAATCGACAAAGTAGTCGGTAAGCGCATGCCAACTATGGATGACGAGCAGAGCCTTCAGTATGTCCGCGCATGCATGAAAGAGACATTGCGATGGATGCCGACAACCATCCTCGGTGCTGTTCCTCATGCTGTCACGCAGGACGATACATACAACGGATATCTTATCCCCAAGGGCGCAGGTGTTCTCAACAATGTCTGGGGTATTCATATGGATCCTGAGCGTCATCCCAACCCTCGCCAGTTCAACCCTGACAGGTACCGGGATGACTTCCAGAGCTTGGCAGACGCCGCAGCCAACCCAGACGCGTCAAAACGGGATCAGTTCACTTTTGGCGCAGGCCGTCGTATTTGCCCTGGAATTCACGTTGCCGAACGAAGCTTATTCCTGGGCATTTCACGGATCCTATGGGCATTTAATATTAAGCCTACTGTGGATAAGAACGGCAAGCCCGTTTTGCCAGATCCAGATAAGCTGACTCAAGGCTTCGTATGCATGCCCGAGGAATTTCCAGCTAGAATCATTCCAAGGTCTGAGGAAAAGAAGGCTCAGGTGATCGAGAGTTGGAAGAAGGCTGAGAAAGATGTCCTTGATCCTGAGACGAAGCAGTGGCGTTAGAGAATGTTCTCAATTAGTAATTATGTATCTATCAAGTTTTCATAGTTGACTAAAGTCAATCAACAAGAATGGCACTGCAGCATTGCTTCATCATGTGTCCCAACACTATTCATATCTCGGAGGCAGATCGTAATCTATATGTATATAAGTTTAGGCAGAGCCCAAGAGCTCCTCGACAAGACCAGCGACGGACTGGACGACGGGGTACTTAGGGAAGTTGGGCTTGTAGACCTGGGACATGTCAGTATCGTGTCTTGTAAAAATGATAAGGTATGGGCACTTACAGCCTGGCAGACAGCGTTGAACTCGCTGCGGGGAGCCTTGCCACGGGCAAGCTCGTCTCCGGGAACTCCAAGCTTGACCACCTCCTCGGCCTTGTCAACGGTATCCCAGCCAGGTCCAGCAGCGGGGTTCTTGATCCACTGAACAAACCAGTTGTGGATAGAATCGGCAAGAGCCTGCTGAGCCTTGGTGACACCCTGAAGAGCGGCGAAGCACTCATTACCACCGTGGAAGAAAGGAACCTCAGTACCGTGGGTAGGAGCAGTGTTGGGGGGTCCAACGACGTTATCGTACTTGCCGAAGAAGCGGTAGACCCAGGTCTTCTGCTGCTCACTTCGCATGTCGAGGAGATAGTCAACGGGGCAGTTGAAGCGGGCATCACCGTACTGGATACCGCTGCGGAGAGACTCGGTGGCGTAGTCGTTGGGGTTGTATGCCTGGATCAGAGACTCATCGGGGATATGAGCGCTATCGGCATCGAAAGTGTTGATCCAAGAGCTGAAGTTGCTGTTCTCAGCGCCGTAGACGAGGCTGAAGATGGTACCCTCTCCATTGGAGGTACCAGTCAGCATGGGGACATGGGAAGGATAGTTTCCGGCAGCGAAACGGGCAGAGTAGTCAGAGAAGCGGGTGATATCGTCAACGACGGGAGTGAACCAAGTGTTGAAGGTGGAGTTGAAGTTCTTGGTCTGGAAGTCAAGGATGTCCTTGTTGCGGAGACAGTCGAGCTGACCGTTGCCGCCCTTGGGGCAGCCAACTTCCTCGGCGACAGCGTTAAGAGCCTCATCAACGGGAGCGTAAGCGGGGCCGGACATGGCGTTGGCGCTCATCTCGACGGCACCTTTGAGGAAGGTGTTGGGGTTGTTCCATAGGTAGTGATCGACCTGGACACCACCTGAAGAGTGACCACCAAAGACAATATGGTCAGGGTTACCTCCAAAGGCTGCATAAACGTTAGTCAAGTTTTGCATGTGATCGATAAGCGTGAAACATACCCCTGATGTTCTTGTGGACCCAGTCAAGAGCCTTCTCGACATCCAAAATGCTAAAGTTCTGTGTCTCATCAGGGTTGGCGCTCGTCAACTCAGAAGAATGAGGCGAAGCAAAGATGCTCTCGCGGGTGTTGAAGTTGACGTAAACAACTCCATTGCGAGCAAAGTTTGTGCCTTGGATCTGGGGGTTGCTGCTGGAGCCAGTGACCATAGCGCCACCATACATGTAAACGAATACCTAGCGGGTGTCAGTTTGTGTCTCGGAATATGATGCGGGAGGGTAGGGTAAGGCTGACAGGCATGTTCTTGCCCTTGGATGGGGCCCAGATGTTAAGGTTCAGACAATCCTCATCTTGACGAGTAAAGGCATCGTTTGAGATGGCTTGAGGACATGTCGCACCATATGACGTAGCCTGGAACTTGGAACGAGCCTCGGGAAGATCCTGAGGAGCCTTCCATCTACACCAGTGTTAGCTCATCAAAATGTGAAACAAACAATTAGATGACCTACCTGTTTTGGCCACCAGTGGAAGCAGCAAAAGGAACACCAAGATAAACGGCGTTACAGTGCTTGTCACGGAAACCTTGAATGTCACCCTGAGGAAGAGCAGCTTGCGGAATTGGAGGACAGGGAGGCTTCGCAGTCACAGGGACAAGACACGTGGCGGCCAGGATTAAACCTGTTGTTGTGAACATGCTGCTGAGGCCCATGATGAGGAATGTGATGAGACGGGACGGGAAAAGGTGAAGATCGACTGAGACACGAGAAAAGCTTGAAGAATGAGTGGGCAGAAGTTCCCGCAGCTTTTGGTTTTTATCACCAAAAGATGCTTGCTATTATTCGATTCGCCTATATCAGAGACGAAGAATTTCCGAGCGGCGGACGCTTAGCTACAAAGAGACGTCTGAGCGGTCTCGGCAGTGGAACCAAGGCCCTTTAGTGCTGGGGGCTTCTAACTGTATTTAGTAGGACACAGCCGGAACATGCACTATAATAGAGTTTCGCGGAACGTGCACCGGTCGATTTTGTCATGCATGATCCGAGTCATGGATCCAGAATGCCTGTAAAATCTCGACTTGGAAAAAAAAAAAAGGATGTCGGGTAATAAAAAAAGGGGCTCACGGGAAGAACGGGAGGCTGGTGAGACTATCGAAAAGAAACGCCGGATATACTGCGTAGGGCAGAAGTTGAGCGGATTCACGGCCAACTCTGTTAGTTGCAAGCCATTGCCGTTGATAGCATCACAGTGGGCATTTTACGCTGATCTTTTGATGCCAGATGGATCCGAGTCTCAATGAGAGATCCCACATCGCTTATCCATCGGTGCAAAATGACAGAATTTGTGGATTGACAGCTCCTTGGTGATTGAGATTCTTCTCCACGATAGGAATTGATCGGCCAAGCTACCCCTGGTCAATCGCTACAGTGCCAGTTCGCCGACCGAGCTTGATAATCAAGCACAGATCTCTCGCATCGGATTGGAACCCTTACGACGATCCTCCGAGGCAGAAGGTTACGAGAATCCCTCTCGGCGCCGACAAACCACGTCCCTTGCATATCAGCCAATCCAGACACCCGGACATCAGCCCAATTGTCTTACTGCTAATTCCGCTCAATGTCACTTGAGTCATAATATTAGAAACCAAGGCACTAATGAATAATACCTTACGAGATATAGCCACAGCCAATATTTGTGCGGAGTGTCCACCTTGTTGTTCCGAGGTTTTTCTTTCCGCGCCACTAGTTCAGGTGCACAAGTCTGGTTGGAAACATGACTGGTTATCGCCGCGCAAAATCCACCTTTGGTGCCCTTTTGACTTCGGAGCTAGAGACAAGTCTGTCAGGACTCTCCACAGAAGTAACGGCTTCTGGAATCTCACTGTGACAATCTCTTACACAATGAGCTGATACCAAGGACCGAGTCCACGGGTCCTGTTGATCAGGGGGGTTTGGGGTTTGGGCTCCGGATCCTTCGGTAGGAAATAAGTCTTGCTGCATTCCCACCTTGCCTTGCATTTTGTGCTAGGTTGTTTTGCAGATCAGATCAGACCAACGTCGCAATGGCTGAGGGTCTGGGACAAGTTGTAAGTTTATACTTTTGACGAGGTTATGGTGATGTTTTTGCTGATGGCTTTAGATTTCGTGGTACATTTGTACCGTCATTGCGTGCATCTTCCTGATTTTGAGAATATGGGTTCGTGTGCGCAAGCTTGGACTATTGGCGATCGATGATGGACTCATTATTCTGGCGGCGTGTTGTTTGATCGGTGATTTGATCATCCAGCAGCATATGTGGAATTTGGGAATGGCGGATATGGCGAATGCTTCTCGCGATGAGTTTATCCAGATCATGAAGGTGGGTTGATGTCTCTCGATCGCAATAGTGACATTTGCTAACAACCAACAAGATGATCGTTCCCGGATCGATTCTCTACGTCACCTCGTTATGGGCCATCAAGATTGCTCTGGTTCTGTTCTACAAGCGACTTGCTGCTCCTGGAACAAAGCTGCAGGTTATTTACAACGTCACTCTTGGTCTCTTGGTGATTTTCTGGGCTACCATCTTCTTCCATATCATTTTTCAATGTTTCCCACATGACAAGCGATGGTCGCAAGATCCAAACTGTGCGTTACCTCACTCCCGTTTGAGACAACATATGCTGACGACTGAACAGATCAGTGCGACCCGAAGGAAGCAGAGAAGAACTATTGGTTGACCGTTATCCGTATGTTATTTCATCCCTTTGGAGTCTATATGCGCAATACTAACTCTTTGCAGTAAATATCGGCACCGACGTCATCAGTATGATTGGAAGATACGAATTCAAGTTGCCTGACTAACAAATCGCAGCCATCAGTCTTCCCATCACCATGGTCATGAAGCTCCAGATGAAGACAAAGCAAAAGATCGGTGTTGCAGCCATCTTCGCCCTCGGTTTCCTGGTCGTCATCGCGAGCAGTACGTCCTCCAACTTCTTTACCACGAGCTTCGCTAACGACTTCAGTCATTCGAGCCTACTACTCCAAGAAGAACGAAACCATGTTGACATGCACCGTTTCCATGATCGAAACCGCCGTCGCCATCATCGCAACCTGTCTCCCACGTACGTCTACCCATCTCCCCTATCTCCATCCCACTAACAGATTTTCTAGCGCTGCGAACTCTCTTCCTTGGCCAAATGTCATCCGCCCGATCAGGCTCCAACTACGGACGCTACGAGCTCTCCTCCACCGGTCAACCACGATCCCGACGAACGAACCAAAGCCGAATCGTCACAAACGTCATGGGCGGTACGCAAAAGCTCGACAACGATTCACAGGACGAACTATTCAAGGAGTCTGCGCATTCAGTGGCGGGACGAAGTACGACTAGCGATAAAACTCCTGGTATCACTGTCAACACCACCATTCAAATGCACCATAGCAGCGAGGAGGAGGCGAGACGATCACAGGCTAGGCTTGATAGCTTCGCTTAAGTGTTTTTATATGTATATATATATAATTTGTAATAATTTATGGAAGCGAAATGTTTACTTGCAAGCAAAAGAGGATGCGACGTCTGGGTTGCCGCCCTTGTATGTTAGCCGCTTCGGATAAGCGCACAGCTCAACAGCTCGTCGCTTTTCCGTGCCAACAGTCTCCGCATACAGAGTCTCGGGTGCTTTGCCGTGTTCAACCCACTTGACAAGAGCGTCAAAGGCACTTCCAGGATACCATCCATCGCCGCCTTTGCAGTGCCCAACACCTGGTGCTTCGAAGAATCTGTAGTAATCCGTGGCGCTAGAATCTTCCTCGAGAACACGCTTGTAGTAATCCACCGAGCCCTTGTGCGGGATGAGTTGATCTGCTGTTCCGTGCCATGAGATCAATTTTCCTCCTGCTTTCTTGAAGTCTGTGAGATCCGGGTCTGATGTACCCATTACTGAGGCAAAGCGGTTAACGGATTGCCGGAAGAGCTTGCTGTACTCTGCGTGGGACAAGTCTTCCAGACTAGCTGATTGATCCTGAAGAAGGAAAGTGGTGAGCCAGTCTTGAGCAATGGCGAAGGGACTTGAAGTGCAATCCTTCAATGATGTGCATGTGGTATTGGCAAGACCACTCAAGTCTGCGCCACGATCAAGTCCATACCAGAGAAACTTGCCATCTTCTGTCTCCGGACCGCGCCAGGTCAAGCGAGCAACCTCAGCGCCCTTCTTGGAAATCTTGATTGTGCCAGATGGGTTGGTACACTCTACCGATTTACCAACGACAGACTTGGGGTCGAACTTGCACAGATCTGGGTTTGAGATAACACCGTCTTTGACTCCATCTAGTTGGTCACAAGCTTCAATTGCAGCCTTAGTGATGGCATTGAGCTCGCAGATAGGAGGATAATAGTCTGAAACAGGTTAGCATGGCAGGCTTCTAATAATGGGGCAATAATCTTACCGAGCTTGTGCATAACAACCTGCGGCCAGTACTCCGATGTAACAAACTTGTCCCAGTTGAAAGCAGAAGCGGTAGCAAGAACGCCATTATACTGAGTTGGATACCTCTGCGCCATCATATGGCCCTGTCGTCCACCTGTAGAACACCCCTGACAGCTATCAGTAAAGCCCATCTGCCCAAGAGTATGATGTACTTACGTTCCAGTATGAGTATCTTGGCTTTTTGCCGTAATAAGCCGCTGTCACGGCTTTTCCCAATGTCGCTGCATCATCCAGAGAAACAGCTGCAAAGTTCTGCAAAGCAGGCCAATTGAGGTTTCCGGTGCTATCTAAAGCCCAGTCCAACTCCTGTCTGTTAGCCAAGAGGTGGCCACCATCTGTAGTGACAGCGGCATATCCATTGGAAGCAGGTTGTGCAAGGTCGGGTAGGTCTCCCGTTGACCAGCCTCCGCCACCTACTCCAACAAATCGTCCGTTCCAGCCTGAGACTGGCAGTGTTACATATGTGTTGATGGTGTCATTCCAGCCTGGGTGTGTATACTGGACTGTAACTTGACACACGGGAAATGGATCCGTTGAGTTATTGGGCCATTCATTGGTTGGGAATGACGGCAGCTCGGCGTTGGTGAGATTGGTGCTGATGGATAGAATCTTGGCATTGGTGAGCTTTATGGAGTGGAATGTATGGTCTGTGCAGGTGGGCTTTGCGAGTACGCTTTGAAAGCCCTGAAACATGAAAGCAAACGATATGGCGGAAAGATTTGAGGAGAGCATGGTCACAAAATGCCTCTGAGGCTTGGCGCTGCGGGGATAGGTCAGAGAACAGAATGCCAATTGGCAATTGTAATCAAACAGTGGACTACGTAAGAGAAACCATTTCTTGTGAGTATTTCCTCAGATATATAATACTCCATCAGCGGCATAATGCTTCGAAGCGATCATCGTCAGCCAAACCCATGCGTTTACTCCTCCTCACTAGGAGCCCTATTCATTGGGCAATCTATCTACTCCGAGGAACACGCAAGACTAGCGAAGATCAGCACAGAAAATCCCCAGATTCAGCCAGTCGGTAAGTTCACACGGGAACGAATATCCCGTCTCTTAATACGCAAAACAGACCTATTTTCAACGTATCCCCGGATAATGTCTCAAAGACTGATCCCCTGTAGGATCGTGAAGTATCATCGGTCAAGGGCTTAACCTTGTTGCGGTAAAGTTTACCCCATATTCCCATTTCAATGCCGCGGAGACTAGTCGATATTCGGACGACCCCACGATTCGGGGTCTGAAGAAGACTCCGTCAAAACAGCAAATCTGGGGTAATGTACTGCTGGCAGGTGATTGTTTTTGCTTGTGAGTGGACGGAAAAGCGCTGTTGCTGACTCGGGTCTAAATGACTCGCGAGATATCCAGGGTTTGCATATACCGCTACCGCGCCCTGGAGCAGTTCCGGATTCTCGGTCATGGGAGGAAGCCGTTCAAGGACATCTTAACAAAGATTACAAAGAGAATAATTCGGAAATGCATGTACGTTGGATCTGAGAAACTCAATTTTGGTTACTCTTTCGGCTTCTGACCAGTGACTATCAAGCAATCAAACATTGGGTGCACAGACCTATCGCGTGATGCCTCTCTAACACGAGCATTAAAGAGCTCAACCTCTTCGCGTGACCATCCCAAAACATCGGTAAACAAAACCGCCGTAAAGGCAGCTACACCCTCTCTCATGTTAACTCCCATCAAAGTTCCTATCTCTTTGAGCCGTTCATCCTTAGGCCATGGTCCGATTGGAAGCTTGAATCGCTCCTCTTTGACACTAGCGAAACCAGCTTCCTTAGCCCACTGCTGAAAAGACGGCGCAGGATCCATGGTTCTTCCAATCTTATCACAGGCGAGTTTCAGGTGGTCCATCATCTGGACTAACGCGTTGTCGGGCTTGATCGAGTCATCCTCGGAATAGAGCGTATTGGCTGTTTCTTGAAGCTCGATCCAGCCGCCTGGCTTCAGGTTGGCGTATGCTTGTCGAAGTAGTCTGGGCCAGTCTTTGATAGACCCAGCCATGTATCTGCAGTGGATATAATCATATGGGATTGGCTCAACCCATTCCGCTTCAACATCGTCCACGATGAATTTTACATTTGGAGGAACCCAGTCTGGTTGTATGGGGCTAAGGTCATTTCCGACCACTGTCGCAGAAGGATGCTCGTCACCGAACTGAATTGCCCAAATTCCTGTTCCTGTTCCGATATCAAGAACATTCAGTCCCTCCGAGGCTATGGGAGCCAGGAACAATCGATCCTTTACAGTTCGGCAAAAAACGTGGTGAATCATGTCAAGGCGATCCTGCTCCTGGTCATCATTGGGGAAACTGTATTGTCCTGCGCGATCACTGTGGTATCGTCGGCCATGCTTCCATTTGTATTTGAGAACACTGCTAGCAATAGAGGTAGTTGCACCCACGGAGTCAGCGGTGAAGACCGAGTCGGAGTCGGAGGTGGTATTTTCGTCGACCTGAACTTCAGGCGTTGTTGGGTTATCAGACATCTTTGCAGTTGTCAACTATGGGAACCAAGGTACGCAGATGCTTTTATCAGTATGATCGATGATAGAAAACTATGTTGCGAGTGTATAATATGATCGTCGCATGCACAAAGTGGAGGTGCCGCGCAAGCAACGGCAGCCGAGGCATGGAAAACAACTCATCCAGTAAGAGCATATGCGGTTCTGAAGATGAATGTAACCCCAGACATATTGCAATAACGAGGTTGCTGATCATGATGAGATTAAGACTTCGATATGCAGGTCTGATGAAAGCCCCATCAAAACGCCTTTTCTGGAAGGTGGATAAAATAACAGCCCATGTTTGTTGCGTCTTCTCATAGAGGCTTGTTGCAAGCGCAAACCTCACCGATAAGATAAGACAACGTGGCCGAGTGGTTAAGGCGATGCCCTGCTATCTCTTCTGAGACATCATAGGCATTGTGTTCGCACGCGTAGGTTCGAATCCTGCCGTTGTCGATGTTCTTTTTGTATTCATATCTTGATGATAGATGAATCGATTCTCATTCATTTTTGTTTTGTTGATGATTCTGTGTCCGTTCTTATGTGCTGAGCATTTTATCGCATCGGCGGGGCACTGATGATCTTTTCTCTCCTAAAACACTCCGCTAGATCTGAGCATGAGATAAAGGCAGATAGCTGCTAGTGTGTCTTCAATTGATAACCGAAGGCTTGAATAGCGCACATGCAAGCGGTGTATGATGCGCCTTCGAATAAGATCTTGATGACTGGACAGGTTGCACTTCACTACTGTGCATAACAGCTAGGCTAGGGTTAGCCCGATCACAGAAGCGGCAAACAAGATGACCTAATAGTGTTTGTTGATGCGGCCCGTCAAATTCAAGGACTCAGGATTTCATGCACACTGGGTTTATAGCAGCTAGCCATGTCAAGTGTTCCTTCAAGCACATAACGTGTGTATGACTTCCTCGAAACGGAATATGTAAGTCATTAATGCAAGTGATCAAGAGCTACCGGCCTGTTCAAGGTTCGGGCAAATGATGAATGTTACTGATGAGCTATGGTGCTGATATCCTGTCTCAACTTCAGATATTTATCCTCCGTTTTTTCTAGATAGCTAAGTTTATTAGAGACTACATTTCTTTCTTAAGAATGTTGCTTGTCTCAACGTTGATATGCACATATCCCAGCTTTCGATACCTTTCACAAGTACCCATCACATTGGCTTCGCTGGGTACTCATCCCTCTCTCATCTCAACGTCCTTTCCGTCCCCTCCTACATCCGGAGTGACCAGTCTTTCCAGCTCTGTCAGCTTCTCTCCACCCAGGCTCGCCAGTCCCAAAGGTCCCATATCGACCATAACTTTCAGGACATAGAACGCCGATTTCATGCGAGTCAATTGATCCAAGTGCGCAGCCAGAGTCTCGGCCTCTTCGGCACATTGCTCAGCCGCTAGTTTCGCCGACGCAACCATCTCGTCAACATGTTCGATGTCTTGTTTCTTGTGGTTTATGATCGCCATGGTCTTCTTTGAGTCATCCTCAAATACTTTCAACGACTTATCGCAGCGTTCTAGGGCGATATTCCAGCCATCGGCATTGTCAGCGGCTCGTCGCTGGATGATACGAAGGATAGAGTCTCGGATAACGTTATTGTCCTGTATATCCTGACGGATTCTAGTCAAGTCGGCTTGTGCGGTGTTGAGTTCTTGTTGGAGCAAACGTTGCGAGGAGTTCAACGCTTTCAGTCGGTTCTCGTTCTCAATCTGCTGGGCACGTACGCGGTCGGCATTGTTTCGAATGGCGGTAGTCTTGTTGTTCAACCGCAAGATGTATGTGCTCTAGAGCCAAAAGTCAGTCCATTCTGTGCTTGAGAGTAATGCAGACTCAAGATTACCTCATCATCTGTTAAGTCTTTCATCCTCGTGCCTTTGTGGCTCGCTTCAAGCGTACCGCGGGGCGTGTGAGGTGGCAGAGATGATGCCTTTTGCCGCTTTGATGCTGGGGCGTAACGAGCTGTAAGTTCGCTCGCATTCTTCCTCTTTTTAAACCAACTTGCCCCTCTTGGTTGGCTCTCGGTTTGCTCAACACTGAGTGGTTCGGAGTGAGAGTTGCTGAGGTCAAGCGAAGGCGGGGCTGTGAGATCACGCTTGTTGTTCTGTCTGGGTCGAGGTGACGGACTCGGCGACTGGGCGACGACGATTACATCGCGGACTAGATTGGCATCACTACTCTTGGCATATCCGCTATGTCTATTGTGCTCAAGATTAGCGCTCCGTGTCTGGGCATTGTTTGTTCGATGTTTCGCCCTTTGATGCTGGATAGACGTCCGGCCACGTTGCTTGCGGGTTTCTTTTTCGGTCATTTTCCTTTGCTTATTCTCTCGGGGGGCCTGTTGCGAAATCGCTATCTTCTGCTCTGCAATCCACTAGATTGTCGATATAACATCTCGGCCCTTGAGTATCGAATCCTTGCCTCTCTTGTTTACTACGCGTTCCAAATGTCCCAGAACAACCTCGAGGGAAATCTTGGGTGATGAGTGCGCCAGCTTAATGGCCTGGTGCAACTTCTGAAGCACGTAAACGCTCCAGATGGAAGGAAGATGTTTCACGTGGAAGAGTTCCCAGGGCCACTTGCCACAGGCGTCGCGAATGCGGTGAAAACACGTTTGAATTGGGGTGCCGCCGATTTTGTTGAATGGAGTTGGGACTGCGACTCCGCTCCCTTTGGAAACAGTCGAAGGCGCCATAGTCCTAAATGCATAAAGAGTGAGGAGAAACGGAAGACAGGGAAAGATTTTCGACGATAGTAATAAGAGAGTAGATAGCTTCAAATGAATGAGAGATAATAAAATTCGATAAATATCAGCATGTACATGGTCGCGCAGGTTGACGAACGGAGGTTATGCTTTGCGATATCGCGTTTGTGTTGTTGATTGGAGGTAGCGTGAAGGTGAGGCCCAGGTTTGTTCACTCAACAGCTGTGGGGCGGTGCGTCAAAGTGGCGGTGCGTTTATCTTCATCGCTTTCGTTTGGCGACAGTTTCTTACCCTGCACTTTACGAAGACGTGTACGATGGTGGATGAATCATGCGCCTTAAAATCTGATTGAGGCATCTCAACTTTTCACTTGCTACTCTCATGAGGCAAATGCAATTTATACGTGAAAACGGTTCTTGTCTTGTGCATTTGTTCATCCTGCTATATTATCGTATTTAGTTTCTCTTTATAATATTATCCTCAAAACGCAAACATGCATCAACACTATCACCCTTATACGACCTAAGCAATATCCCGTACAAACAAATAAACACCGCTACATTATACTCCAGTCAGCTTGAAAACCTCCTCCTCTTCCTCCTTTCTTCTCTTCATGTCGTAGTTGCGCTTGGACTGCTTTTTCTCCCTCTCCATGGGCTTACGCAGGACCACTGAGCGATGCAAATTGATCGTCAGGTCGTGGAGGCGTTTCTTCTCTCGTTTAAGCTCAGCACGGAACTTTCCAGTCCTGTTAGATCCTTTGTACCATAACTTCAACCTTTTCGAAAATGAACTCGCCCAGATGCAGCAGTCTTGATCACCACGCAAAAGGCTCTCAACCCCCTCTTCAAGATACGTGGCAGGCGGGGAGAAGAAGAACCTGGGGAATTCGTAGGCTTTGTTCGCAAGCCAGCCCGTGGAAAAGATGAAAGCATACGTGGGAGGGAGAAATATTAGTGGTTCCTGGCGACTGACCCACTGCAGACTGTACCAGCGTAGTTCCTCGAAAAGTATTACCAGTTTTGACTGATAACCTTGGTTCTTGTTCTTGTTCGATGACATCATAGCATAGTCCAATAGCAGCGTGATACCGTCCTCAGAAGACGGATCCACACCTTGACAGTTCTGCCGAAGACAGTCGTATTGCGCTTCAATCGAAATCGAGCTTTCCATGTATGCTCGTTTCCAAGTCGCGATATGATACTCTGTCATGTTCAGAATTACTGGATGATTCGAACCCACATGGGAAACCAAGCATTGAAGGATCCGCGAATGAGCCCATGACAGAAACTTGACAAACTCATCTGGGTTGTTCCGGAGCACTGCGAGTTGCCCTTCTCGAAATTGTTTTGATTGGACTCGGAAAAGCTGAAGCCTGACTTTCAAAATTTTAATAAATCCTTCTAAGGGATGTCCAGAGGGCAAATTCTTTACAAACTCTTGCAGTTTGTCTAAGAAGGTCTCAGAGAGCCCTTGGCGGTTTTTCTCCAGCCGTTGAATGCCTCGTCGACGCATGGTGTGAAATACCATCAGGATTCTGAGCAAATACACAAGAACGTAAGGGTCGTTTAGCTCGTGAATGCTCTCTCCATCCAGAAATCTCGACTTGATGCTCAAAAGCATATCTTCAAGTACAAATTTGAGATTGCCGGTACGTGAGCCTCGCGCAAGTATTGCAGCCTCCTGGCTTTGGTGGAATAACAGCTCCCAAGATCTGGTAGATCTTCCAGTGATAGAGTTTGACTGAAAGTTGAAGTTGCCGACCCGCCAAGTGGCCGAAGTGCCGTCAAAGACTCGACCAAGGAAGGTTCTGATATTGATCACAAACGCCTCAAAGGTTTCTGGTTGGGTGGGAGGGCTTTTTTGAATCGTGGGAACCGGGGCCTCCCTACGACGTGGCTGTCTATCATCTTGATTTGGAATGGATCCCGCGTTTCTCTTTGTTCGGTTCTTGGAAAATTCGGGACCCCACTGCCGAAGCCTGCTTTTATACATGGCCTCCCTAAAGATGTCAGTCTACCGTTTGTGACTCCAGGTAAAACAGGAAACTGACGTAGGTGGTCGTCTCCAAGAGCTCTTTAGCAGCTCCATAGTCTTCTTCAGGCTTAGGTTATCGTGAATGTAAACCCGGCGGATATCTTCTTTCTTCGCTTCCCACTCTTGATCTGTTATCTCTTGACTGCTAGGCTGTGGGTGTTGACCAGTGCCAGTTGCGATCTGCGGTAGAAGGGTTGTATTGATGGAGTCGAGAGACATTTCTGCAAATGTACTATGCATCTCGTCAAAATGCAAAGGCTGGGTAAGACTCTGTGCCTGATTGACTTGATCAGGTCCAAGCATGGTCATATCCAAGGATAATTGGGTGAGTTGTTCGAATGTGTAGGAAATTGGTTGCATAGTCTGAAAACAAGTAAAATCTTGTTGATCAGTCTGGGGATTGTCGATGATCATATCGTCGGGGCTGATGCCGTGTCCTGACGAAACATGATAAGCATAGTCAGGCTGTGATTGAGGGGCATGGGTATTTTCTTGTCCAGGTTCGAAGCTATAATATCCAAGAGAATCCTGTTCGGAATTGTATGGCCACTCCATGGTGAATGTGGTTATAAGGTTGATTGTAAAGAATCGAACAGGTCCGGTGCGATGGGTAAGATATATATATACGCAATCTACCCAGAAGCCATCTAGTCGTAGATTTCCATAAGATGAAGATTCAGAATGCGCCTGTCAGATGACATTTGGATGCTCGATTGTGACAGGCCCAATGCTAAAGTATCCTGCATGGCCAACAGGTATTCATTGGATGGTCCAAAAGTATTCTGCATAAGAATGGGATTTGATCATTGGTTGATCCTAAAGTATCGTGCATGGATGGTGTACCAGTTCTGCACCTCTGATTGGCATACTTCCACGCATGGCGCTCTTGAATCATGCCTCAGAGCCTGATGTCTTACCAGTTTGGACAATCCTTGAGGACTGGTGTATTCTCCTCGCCTCACCTTTTCGCTGCAAATCTGCATATAAACCCAGCTTGGTTCCGCTCGATTCTGGTCTTCATCGCAACACTCACTACTCTTCGTCATATTTTTACTACTCTAAAATTTTCCCATCTACCTCGCTCTCTCAAGATCATCATGGTATCGACACGAGTCCCTGATGAGGGCTACGTTTCTAGCTCAATGTCCCGTGAGAGGATTGCTCAGAGAATTCTCGAGGACATTGAGGGACAGAGAAGAGGGAAAGACCGGGCTATCATTGTTGTTCTCGGCGCAAAAGACATTGATGATCTTAACAAAAGATTGAAGGAATTGGAGCCGAAGCCAGAGAAAGGTAAATTTCTGGGCGTCCCATTTTTGATGGCCCTGACTAACAACCTCTCCAGACAAGTCGCCTGTCATTCTCATCGGAAGCATGCTCCTCCAAAAGGTAATTTTGGTAGTTACCGAGCAAAGTCAGATCAGAAACTTGACTATCATGGCCGATGAAACCATTTCTCAGCTTTCATTTCAAGTTCCAGCTTCCAACGTCCAGACTCTGAAGATACGTCGTTGTGGTCATTCCAAGAACGACCAGGACAAACTCCTTGTCGATGGAAGCTCCGAGTTTCACAACAGACGATTGGATGAATGGAAGACTGTTTCGCACCACGGACTCAAGCTACACATTGGTCGAGACGTCCGCATCCACCGAAATGACGAGCCCCCTTGTAAGCCTTCGAAGGCTCCAGATGATAATCCAGAGGACCCAAGTGACCCAGTCTCCTCAGACAAGGCGGGTGAGCGTGACGCTGATGATGACTCTTGGGGCTACATCAAAACCATAATTTCTGTTGCCCTCGGCACCTGTGCCTTCTTCATCGCCGCCTCAACCGAAGTGTCGGGTCAAGCCACCGTTTGTGCCTTTGACTGCGACTTTAAGAAGTGGATTTTTAAAGGTCTGTTTGCGACTGCGAAAGGCGCAGGTACACTATCGTTTCCCTGGTGCGTTTTTATAGGATTGGCTGTTGGCGTTGCAGCGTACTGTGTTCTTTCGACGAACTGGTTTCCGTCGTTAAAGTCCACTTCAATCTCTTGGACATCATCTCTTCGGAAATGGTGGGACAACACTGCTGAGGATGGAACCCCGCATGGAAGTATATTGTCTCGCCTCTTTAATTGATATCACAGCGGTTTCCCTGTTGCTGAATGGAATTCCGGCCCTAGAATGTATGCAAAGGCTAAAAGGATAGATGAATTAGTATTTCATGTTAAGTATAAGAATCTTCAAAGGATTAAACGCGTTTATGTTATAGTTAAAACAAATCCACTCAGCATACAAAAATGCAACAGCCTAATACAGAAATGCAAAAGTGTGGTTCCGCCCGGGATCGAACCGGGGACCTTCTCGGTGTTAACGAGATGCCATAACCAACTAGACCACGGAACCAAGCCTTGTGATTGGATGAGAAGTCGTCTTGCAACGAGGTCCTTGACCTCAAGCAGAACGAGGAAGACTTGCGACACTGCAGAGGGCTCGGAACAGTTTACTAAGATCTAATGATTCGCGGCATTAAGAAATTCACGATACGACTCACTGTTTAGAAGAAAAGCGTCTAAATAAGAGACGCAAAATTAATTAATCTACATACAGCATATATCACCGCGGTTTCATAAAGCTATTTTCGTCGCTTGCACATTATTAAGAGGGTGAACTGCAGATTGGCCAATAGCATGTTTCCGATAGACGCATGCCCCACTATATCTCTCTTATCAAGGCGACCAAAAATGAGAACTCCTGTGAGCATGACATGGAATCTTCCGACCGCATCTAGCTTGGACAAACCACAAAAGTATATCGCATAATATAACGGCAAAAAGACGAATCAGAGGGCAATGGGATTGCTCCCGCCAGGGCTTGAACCTGAGACCTTCGCATTACCGACACTCGGGTTGAAGTATTAGTACGACGCTCTAACCAACTGAGCTACGGAAGCCTTCTGATTCGATGACTTGGCTGGTGAGGCAGTGGCCTCATGTTGCAAACAGTCTCGAGATGGGGAGCCGGGAGCTGTGGTGGAGCGCACTGAGCACGGATAATCATCAAGATCGACTGGGAGGAGGTATTCCTGGCGCAGAGAGATCAAGTTCGCCGGCTGTTTGGTAGCTCTGCTTTACGATACGCCATTGACAGAACGCGAGAGCAGACAAAAGCTACTGTGAGGGCCTTTGTAGCTACACTCACGGAGGCTTGGCAAAGTACTGAACCCTTTATCTGATCTGCTGATCTGGCTACAAGACTCAAGACTTAACTAGACAAAGTTAACGTGATAACGTTTTTGCAGGAGTTGCAGTGACTTGTACTTCAGAGTTAATTTCCAATTCTCTTCTTTACAGACATGCGATAATCAAGACAGGTTATACCCTGAACGAAATCTTATAGCGAAAACACTGGGATTGTGATTTGACACTGCCTTAGAACCAGCCTCAATCCTTTACAGATCAGCCTCTGAATTCTCGTCCTCCTTCTTGTCCAGTCCAACGATAGTGTAATTCTGACTCCAGTATTGAAGCTGAAGATCATCCTGCTTCTCATCCGTGAATACTGCCTGGAAAGAAAACACTTTCTTGGTAGCAATTTTGTCGGCGAATGGTTCAAGCATCGACTTGGAGTTGTGGAATCGGAACTTGTACTTATGGTCGGACAAATAGATGTCGGCGACAAGTTGGCTGATGTCAGAGCTGAGTTTGTTCAGATCATCAGGCTCACAATACCAAGTGAAGTCGAACTTGCGTGAGAGGCTGTCGGGAATGTCGCCCTCCCAAGTGATGGTGACTTCTTTGCTGACGTCGATTGGCTCGGAGGGGTCGGGACCAGTGAATTTGAAGGCCTGAGCTGCGGGGAGGGCGGCTAGAAGGGTGGTGAGGAAAGTCTTGGTCTGCATTGTGAAATTCTATTTTAGTGAACGGACTTGTTTTGCGAGATACTGTCAAGGTGAAAAGGCCGATATTGATGCTTTATCTTTGGTAAATTATGCTTAAACTGATGCCTGAAGCCTCGTCATGGATTACGCAAGTGATGGTTGGGTATTTATCAGCTATTGCCAAGTGGCATGGCATGAGTCTCGGCTATTGCCATTTGTAGATGGTGGCTGTAGGATTCGAATGCCTGCATCTGGATGTCAAAGCTCAATTCGATATATATTGATGTTTTCAATGCCCTCAATAAGTAAGTGGTCGAATAACGGCGTAGCCTGTTGAGTGTAACAGACTTGTATGCCCTGACATACCTTGAGAATGAAGGTCTTGGGCCGCTTGCCCTGTTTTCGGTCACGATGGATGATTGCACAGGGTTGCTGGTGTAGTCCCAATGCTGCGCCACCAAGACTCAAGGCTGTGCATGGCTGGATAATATCATTGGTCACACTAACAGCATGCTTTTCAGCTGCCCTCATTTGGGACAGAGTTTGTTATTTGATTTATCTTTCAGTGGTGTTTTCAACCATACTAGTCAAGACCTTGCTGTGTTCTTGGCACGGGATACCACGGATATCACCTTTAAGCTTAACCTCATTTGTCCTTGCGTAGAGCAGACCAATCACGACGTGTCAGCGCTGAATGCTGCATTATATGTCGTGAAATCTACGGCTCAGATGACCCTGGCCGAGCGTATCTTAGCGCGGTTTTCCTCATCTAAAGCGAGCCCCCAAGATAAAAGATAAATTGGTCTCGCCTCAGCCATCTCATCTTAGCCAATTCAAGGTCTCTTAAAAACTCGTTCTCAAGCTCACTTCAGTGCAATTAACTAGTCATCACATCATACTTGCAGCATTTTCTTCACTGACCGTTTGGTTCGCCCTACTAAGACAGTCAGGCATAGCGGTAGGGCGCAATGTCCGACTGGGTTTTCTGTAGTAAATAGGACGCTGACAGCCCATAGAAAGAGAGCAGCAACCTTCATTATTCTTTTAATTACACAACTTACGAAGCATTCTATCATAGTTATCATTTCAAAATATACGTCTTAGACATCGGTCAGAAACGCCAACATGAACAAGGCCAAACAGGCTGCTGATCTGGAAGAGACACCCGACATTGTGCCCGACCGCCCTCTCACCAGTAAAGCAGCCGAGGAGGACTATCAGAAACAACTCGCCCTCCTCGAGCAGCAGAATAAAGAAAGAATCGAGATAATTCGAAAGTGGGAATCCTCCAACTCATCAACACAAAACATCCATCGTCGCACCTAGGCATAGGGCTCCTTTGCCCGCAACGGATGACGGGGCGTCACTGTGCCGGGAGGGAGAAGTGCCAGGAACAGCCCCTAATTTGTAGGGATTGAAGAATAGCATGTATCGACAGTAGTTCATCCACCATTATTATCACTTGCAAGCGCCACGCTGTCAATGGAATACTGTAATATGAGTGATAGTCTTGAGCCAAGGAAATCACGAGTAAAAAGGCAAACTGATGTATTTGATCTGTCTCATGACATTACTGTGATCTTTATGGTCTCGTTATTGGCCAAACTGGACAACATTCTGCCTTGTCAATATTGGTGTATTGATCGTGGTAATCATCGGCTAATTGTCATGCAGCTGACTGCATTTCGCGGCTTCACAGCCACAAGGTTGGGCTGAAAATATTGCATCAGCCATTTTGGAACGCTGGGACCAATTTTCAAGCCCTTCTCTCCTCAATCGTTTCTCCTAGTAATCAATTCTAGGAGGCCTGCTGTTTTCAAACTGCCAAACTTTGTGCGACCATTTTTATATATCCCCTGCATCTCAAGCCTATGGCAGCCTCTTCAAGCTGACCATCAGCTCCCATTTACCCCGCTCGATATCACACGACTAAGCCGCACTGAAGATCAGATCTCTTGATAAATAAGATTTTGGGCTTTGGCGCTCGGAACATACTAATATGCGGCTCATAAACGTTGAGGACCTAAAGCTGGAAACCTTCATTGGCGGCCAAATCCCACCATATGCTATCTTGTCGCATCGATGGGGAAATGATGACGAGGAGGTCACCTTCAAGGATATGACGAGAGGCACTACACAGAAGGTCGGAATGACAAAAGTGAAAGGCTGCTGTCGCCAGGCCAAGAAAGACAACCTCAAATATGCTTGGATCGACACTTGCTGCATCGACAAGGAGAGTTCCAAAGAGCTAGACGAGGCTATCAACTCCATGTTTCAGTGGTATCGGAGAGCCGCTGTATGTTATACCTACATGGCTGATGTTCCACATGAACAAGATATCTGGGAATCGACTTCCAGCTTCTCCACAAGCTCATGGTTCACAAGAGGATGGACATTACAAGAGCTCCTCGCTCCTGGGGAAATTCACTTCTTCGATGAGACTTGGAACCCTATTGGCACCAAGGAAGACTTGGCGAGCGAGATTGAAGATATCACGGGGATAGCTCGCAAATTCCTGCTCGGCTGGGTAGATTTCCACCAAGCAAGCGTCGCACAGCGTATGTCATGGGCATCGAAGAGAAAGACTAAAAGAGAAGAGGACATAGCTTACTGTCTCCTCGGTATCTTCAACGTTACCATGCCTATGATCTACGGCGAGGGCCACAAAGCCTTCGAAAGGCTTCAACTCAAGATCATGGAGCAGACGACCGACGACTCAATATTCGCATGGGGAGTCAAGGTTCAAGGCATGGAGTCAGAATCTCAGACTAGCCCAAGAGAGGATGACATGTCTGCCGGAATTTTCGCATCGTCCCCAGCGGACTTCGCCAAATGTGGCCGTATCGTTCCAAAAGCGCCTGACCCGGCATGCATCAACACCTTCGCTGTTTCCGGAGGATACATCCACACCTCGCTCAAGTTACGGAGTTCAGAGAACGGAGTAACGTATGGCCTACTCAATTGTGGTCTCGAAAACACTGCAGATGGCATCATCGCCATTCCGCTCCATTGCACAACGCCTTCAGTTGTGACTATTAGGGAGTATATCCGACCACTGGGCTATGGCCCTATCCTTCTTTCTGGGCGGCGAACTGACTATCGTGATGGTCAAGAGGTCCGCATCCGCGTGAATCGGCAGACGCGACCGACGAAAATGACAGGAAGACGCTTTTGGCTCCACATAGATGGCCATCAAAAGCTCAAACTACATCTCCAGGAAATTTGGCCACCATTCAGTTGGAACAGGGGGCGTGCTTTTGTCACGGAAATCGATGATATAAATCGGAACTTCAGACGGAAACATCTCGCTCGCTTCACTACCAGAGCAGAGCGGGGAAGTGATATCATCGTTGTCCTGGACTTCAGCATCGATACAGTAAAGGAATGTGCGGACTGCTTTGTAATAGCAGCACCTGAATCATTGGATTTAAGTATGATCAATGCAAGCCTGGAATATATGCAACCCGAGCACCTGCAAGACAAAGTCATAGACAATGGAAATGTCATTGTAAAGGTCTCGGTGGAAATAGAAGACATTCCTCAGGGCTCAATATTTCTGATGAGAATGGCCCGGACCGATGAGAAACCACGAACTATTGTAGATCCCTGCCACCATATTTCCAAGGCTGCCGAGATGTACATGTTCATTTCATCCCTTTGCCAAGCAGAAATTGCAGAGGACACTATGAAGGAGGTGATTGATGGTCAAGCCGCACCTTCAAAGCTATGGCTATCGTTGAAAGATGAGCTGGATGCGGTAGCAGAAAAGCAGAGACTTCTTGCCGAGGAAAGGGCTAGGATTGAATGCGAGATGAGAACAGCAAAGGATAGGATACAACAATTCGAGGGGACACTTGCAGAAGGAAGGAAAAGGCTTAAAGAACTCGAGGATCAAACAGCAGGGCATGCGAAGAACCTGGAGAAAATGGATGGAGTCGACGGTTCAGCGAATTGGGTCGAAACTTTGATACAGAACCAGTTGAATAAGCAAAAGGCACCTCGAAACACAGAAATCCCGGTTTCTGCGGGCCCAAGCCTTCTCCCGACACGCCTGATTAACAACCAGCAAAGCATGGGCGGTTACATCCCCCTGCTCTGGGCCGCTGCCAATGGAAAGAAGAGGATCTTACAAGCCCTTATTGACAGGGGTGCAGACCTAGAAGTCAGAAATACCGATAACTCATACACAGCTCTTATATATGCGGCAGCATATGGAAGAGTCTCTGCAGCAAGCCTGCTTCTCAAAAAGGGCGCGATGATAGAAGCTCGGGGTAAGGATGGAGATAGCGCCTTGATGGTGGCGGCCCACGAGGCACATGCATCGGTAGCTTCACTCCTGATTGACAGAGGAGCTGATATAGAAGCACGAAATACCTTTGGGAACACATCGCTTTCCATTGCTGCGAGACGAGGACGGGAGGCCGTGGTCAAAGCACTGCTGGAAAAAGGGGCTGATATAGAGGCGAAGAACCAATGGGGAGACACGCCCTTATCACGAGCATGTATCTATGGCCGTGTGGGCGTCGCCAGGATGTTGATTGATGAGGGAGCCAAAGTCGGCGTGAAGAACAAGAAAGGCGTTACACCTCTGCAACTGGCAGAGAAGAACGGACAGACTGAGGTCGTCGATATGCTCCGGGCATATCTGGCGACAAAGAAAGATGAGGGACGAGAACCAAGTCAGATGTTACCATAGTGATTTGACATTAAATTCTGAGTGAGAGGCCTTCTGCAAATTTGAGGATTGTCAGCTTAGGTCGTCGTTCACGTTAAGCAATTACATGACCTTACAGATCTTCAGCTTTCATGACTGATGTTTGAAGGGCATTTCACCCAGCATACGGAGGCTGCACTTTTTGATGCTTAAGGCAGCTGCCGACAAAAGGCTGGTTATCTCATGAGTCATTACATAGATCTGTTGTCATATGGGAACTGAGAGGTTGTTCTTCATGGTCACTCATCCCTGTATTACATGCTCAATGGGGAAGTCTAACACGTCCCGACAGCCGAACCGCAATTTTGGTAACCAAATTTTGACTCTGGTGTGGTGATTGCGACAGTGTTCACCGTACAAAGTCTCTTTAAATACTCAGGTCGGGATTAGCTGGTATAGAATATTCCAGTCCCTTGTGATTATGAGAACACCCCGAACAGGTCTTTGCTTTTATTTTCTCATTACTAAATGACCATCAGTAGGGGTTCTTCATTCAATCGGTCATGAGTGATAGTTAATGTGAGTGTAGTCTGTTCAGACTTTCACTTTTTGAACCTAAATAGGTTTTTGACCACTGAGGGTTGACTAAATTGGCGCAGAATTTATATCGTCTCGAGTGCAAACTTTCTGCGGCTCAAATACGAAAGTTTCTCAACTTTCTACATGGCTCTCTGCCAAATACTGGTTATATATCCTCTGATAATTGGAGGTCTTTTTGAAGCTTTACTGCTCAAGGAAAGTTTCCCTGGCCTATAAAATCTGCCTCTTCTCCATTGTTCTGTCCCAGAAATCTCAACCTTGCAAATGCATCACGGAATCGTTTGAGGTCAGCCTGCCATATCAGATTCCATATTGTACAATACGACGCTGTACAATAAACCCTTGTGCACCATCAGCATCTGCACTACAAACAATATCGTACAATAGCTTTGTACGCTTCAGCTTTGTACATCATCCAGTTGTACGCTCACGCTCACGACCTACTCACCATGGTTCACACACGTTCTCAGAAGCGCAAGGCTGAGGACTCTGAACCTCAAGACCAAGCTCCTGTCTCCACCGGTAACTCCTCCAAAGTTGTTTTCGTCAAGGCCTTCAAGGGCGGCAAACGCGCTAAGGTAGCCTGCGATGATGACGACCAACTCACCGTGCCAGCACCACCGGTCACAGTGCACCGCCACCACAACTTGAAAAAGCTTATTATTCGCAACAAGACCTCAAGGAACCAATCCATGTACCCCATGGTGATTCCTGTAATCTTTCGTGGTGTTCAGGCTGAAGAGCCTGAAGACAAGCCCATCGAGTTCACTTTCCGGTGCGAACTTCGCCCAAAGTGTCCCGACACCAAGCAGAATTATCTGCCCACTCAACAGCCCGCCACTGGTACAGTCCAGAAGAAGAGGATAGTCCCAAAGCCGGTGCAGTCAGATAAGCAACCAGCTCGAAAAAAGTGATGAACAAGCCAACAGGCTGGATCGCCCTTCACACCTTTGTCTAATGAGGCTTGTGAGCAGGCGATATCCATGGCGGCCTCCGTTTTCATCAAGAACTAGGTGAGAAACATAAAAAACTAAATACTAGTCGAAAATGACCTAACATTGGGATGCTTTTAGGTCCTCGCGAACAACCGGGCGAAGGGTGAAACCACCTTTTAGAACCATAGTGCCTGAGGAGCATTGTCTGGTCTTGCTCCATGATTGTGGTATTTGTTGTCAGATTAACGACGTGCATATTACGATGCGGTTGCGGATGTTAATGTTACAAAAGTCGAAGGAGTCGTCTCTGTCAAAGCCTCGCGTGCTTATCACGAGACACTTAGCACTGCAACTGGGAGGTTTTTATTTTCTTTTTTATTTCTTCTGGTTCGATGTATCCCACTAAGATATC